TTTAATGGAAGGACATGACCATCTCCCCCAGTATTAGTCTTCCATCTGGCGAACCCCGTGCTGGCCATTTTGATGTAAATTCTGCACCTTAAGTCGATGGCATTCCATGTCACGTACTCTGCTATGGTCTGGCGTGTTCTCTTGCTGAAGGGGCCACACATAGTGAGCCCGTCACTCTGGAGTAGCCTGCAGCCTGTGTTCTTCCCGTCGGCTTCACTGTCCTTGATGAAAATGGTGTTTACAGGGAGGCTGACTTCTGACAGGACGGAGGAACCAGGAACCAGATTTGCCTTCCTGTCTGAAACAGCTAAAAAGAATAAGTAATGCCTGGCTGGCCGGTGTGGCTCAGTGGCTGAGCGTCGACCTAGGAACCAGGAGGTCAGGGTTCGATTCCCGGTCAGGGCACATGCCCGGGTTGCAGGCTCGATCCACAGTGGGGGGCATGCAGGAGGCCACAGATCCATGATTCTCTCTCATCATTGACGTTTCTCTCTCTCTCTCCCTTCTTCTCTGAAATCAACAAAAATATATTTTAATAAAATATAATAAAAAGAATGAGAAATACCATCGGAAACAATGGTTCTCAGGCATGAGACCCTCTGCGCTAGAGACGCCTGATGCCGTCAGAGACGTGGAGCTGAGACTGAGAAGCACAGTCACCCCAGCAGCCCCCCATTTCCTTCTGATCCCAGGCCCGCTGCCTCCCTCCGCCCGAAGCCACCCAGACTCCCCGCAGCAGGACGAGGGGACAAGCTTCCCACCCCAGAAACTAGGAGAGCAGCTCCCTGGGAGTGAGGCTGCTGCACGCAGGAGGGGGTGGGGGCCCTGAGGTGGCGGGCTCACGGCCACGCGTGGTCTGCAGGGCTGGGCCAGAACGTCTGCACATGCTCTGTGGACCCCGGCACCCTCTTCAAGGGCCTGAGCAAGACTCACTCACTCGGCCACATTCCCCGAGGGCCCCAGGGAAGGGACTTGGGGAGGAGCCGAACCTCCCGCTTCAGGGCGGGCTGAGGGGCAGCTCTCCGGGGCGTCCCCCGCACCCCCACATGCACACACACAGCGTGTGAGCCCAGGTGCACACAGACCAAATCCGAGTCTCCACTAACCCGCTCACACGGCTCCCCGCCCACCCCCAAAGCGGTGATTCTCGAGGCCCCGGCCCAGCCCGTTCACACGCTCTCGGACCTCCTTCCCGGCCAATCCACGCGAGGGGCAGCCTGCACTCGCGCCCCAGCTTCCCTCCAATCTCTCTCGGTCCACGGCCCAGTCGGCACCAGCATGGCAGCTGCCTCGGTTCCAGCGTAAGCCCTCCCGGGTGCTCCCAGCCCCACAGGCAGGCACGATCCCAGGCGGCGCTGTAGCTCTTACTGGGTGGCCCCGGGCAAGACTCGGCACCGGACCTGCCGCTCACGCCTGGGCAGCTCCGTGCGCGCACCGGCACACCACGTGCTCCTGTGACGCCGTCTGGGCAGAAGGCGGTCTGACACGGGTGGGGGTAGGTGCAAACCCGCCTCACCACACGTCATGGACCCACAAAGGTGCATCTGAAGCAGGTCCCAGCTCCTCCTGCACAAAACCAGAAAGCTAGCACACAGCCCCGGCCTGGGGGCAGGTAAAATCACACAAACGCCGAAAGTGGCACAGGGCACTCGCAATGCCGCCTCCTGCCTGGAAGCAGATGCGCCCGAGACCCCGGCTGGTCTGCACCGTGGGCCGCGCAGGCGGGGATGGTTGAACTCGGAGGACCCTTTTCCTTAAACACTTTAATGTCAGGAGACGGGTGGGCTCACCGAGGTCGTGGAAGGTCGCCTGTGCCACGACCAGCAGAGGCTCTGCCTGAACCCTTTCCAGCAGGAAAAGCTGCCTGTAAAGCTCTCCCAGCAGCCTCGCGGGGAGGACACGCCCCCTCGCGGGGAGGACACGCCCCCTCGCGGGGAGGACACGCCCCCTCGCGGGGAGGACACGCCCCCTCGCGGGGAGGACACGCCCCCTCGCGGGGAGGACACGCCCCCTCGCGGGGAGGGCACGCCCCCTCGCGGGGAGGACACGCCCCCTCGCGGGGAGGACAGGGCGGCGCTGTTCGCTCGGCCTCGTGGGAGCCGCCAGCACGTCTTGCTTCTCCCGAGTCTGTCGCCCTTGACTTGGCAAAGGTGTGGGAGCCCCGATGGTGTCTGACCGACAGACCGTGACGGGCGCTTTCATCCTGAAGCCGGAAACCTGGTTTACGCGACACGCCCATCGCTCTCATTCTGCTCCCACGAAAGCGGCCACGGGCCTGCTCCCTTCCTCCCGCCTGGAGGCAGGCCTCGCGTCACGGCCCAGACATCCCTGCAGCCGCGCTGCTGGCTCTGTGGGTGTCCCGGGCCGAGGTCACACAAGCCTCAGGATGAATGAGGCTGCCGGCCGGCGGCCTGTCCACGGCTGCGCCCTCCCTCCGTCCAATGCCTCCTGTTGCTGCTTTGAGCCCTGCGGGCGCTGGAGCTGCAGCAGCCACTGCGGAGCTGAGGGAAATGACGAAGGTGGCAGAGCTGGGCCTGACCCTCCTGGGGTGACAGGCAGGCACCCGGCTGTCCCTGAACCTGGTTCCTTTGCTCTGGGAGTCTCTCTCCCTCAAATGCCCGGCCCCTCCCTCCCTGGGTGAGGCCCACCGGGTGAAACTACTCCATGAAGTCGGCTCCCTGTCCCTGGCCCTGGCCAGGAGGAGCCACCTGATCACTGGGCCCTGGAGCAGGAAGCGCGTGCGGCCGAGGTCTCCCCGTGCCCCCCTCCCGTCCCCCACCCCCACCTGTGCGTCTCCGGCTGAGCTGTGGCATCCTCCTCTTCCTCTTCACCCCGCGGGTGTTTACGGTGCCAGCCGTCTCCTCACGTGCACAGACGGCTCAGAGGGGCTGGCGGCGTGAGTGTGCGCGCCCAGATCTGAAAGGGCTGAGGACTGCAGGGTGACACCGATGTAACCAGAGCGCCCCGAGTTGAAACCATTGCAGCCGATGGGAAGCCGAGGTGCACCCGTGCTCACACCCGCTGAACACGCTGAACGTCTGCATCCCCGTGTGGGCGGGGCCCTGGGTGACGTGAGGTTTTGCCGGGAGCGTGGGAGCTGCTTTTCAACTCAGGCCCCACAAGCCGAGCTCGCCATGGCCTGCCGCTGCGCTTGGCCGCCAGGAGCTGTGCTTTTTATCTGCCTTTCAGTCTGGAGTTTGCACGACGGCTGGGACTGTCTCTAAATCCCGGTCACGCCTTTGTCAGGTCAGCTCTGTCTGCAGGCTCCCCCGCCCCCCACCGGGAGTGGCCGCCCCCCACGCAGCAGGCAAGGCGCTCCCAGAGCCGGTCTGTGTGCCCCAGTGAGTGGCCTTAACCCAAAGGCCCGAAGACACGCGTCCACGTCCTAAGCCAGGAAACACCTGCCGAACAGGTCGATGCGACCAACACGGTGAACACGGGACCTGATGCGCAGCGGTCGCAGCGGCTCCTCCTGACCGTTTGCTCTTCAAAGGCGCCTCCAGCGCGGCCAGGCCCACCCGCCAGAGACCAGGAGAGGAGCCTGGAGCAGACACAGTGAGTGAAACCAGGGACCTGCGAGCCTTCTCGGCCGCAAGTGCCCGGGGCGCGCGGGGGCCGCCTCCCGAGTGACCCACCCCGAGGTGCAGCCCGCGGGCGTCGGAGTCACCGCTCAGCGTGTTCTAAGCAGGCGTGTTTCACAACTTCATTTATTGATTCAACAGCAACAACAACAAAGGGTTACATCTCCCGTGTGACAATGAGCCACATGCGACCAGGGAGGTCACGCGTGTGAACTGCAGAATTCACCACGCACCATGGCCCCGTCCCTGTGGTCACAGCCCAGCCCTGGGGGCTCGGGAGGCAGAGTCCAGCCCGAAGACGCTCCCAGAAGCGCCCGTGGCCACTGGCGACCCCTCCATTGGAGTCAAAGCGGGCGCCCTGCACTGAGGCTGGAGAGATGGCCACTCAGCACAGACGGGGAGGTGTCAGCGCAGACCGTCCGACCGGAGCGGCCTCAGCAGTGGACATGTGACCGAGGGATTTAGGCGACGCTAGGCGCAGCCTCTCAGAGCCTCGGTCAGCACGTCAGACCTGAGGACGGACGTGGACAGTGCCCTGAGGCCTTTAGGAAGGGGGGGCGGTTAAAGGTCTGCGATGGTGGCTCTGCCCTACACCGTGCTGGCTGGGTGCGTAGCAGGAATGCGTGTCAGAATCGCTGGGGGGCTTATTCAGAATTCAGGTCGCAGGGCTCCCCCAGGTCTCAGACCCATGGCTGCTGGGCCGGGCCACCTGCCTTCGAACAAGCGCCCAGGAGCTGCTGATGCCGCTGAAAACTACTGATTTAAAAGCGTTTAAAAATGGTGACTACTGATCCAAACTAAGAAAAAGAAAAGGCATTTCCATCCCATCGCTCCGTATACTCCCCTAATATTATCATCTGTGAAATTCTGATAAAACTTGTATAAACCATACAGATTACCAAGTTCAAATTACTTAATTTTGCGAAAGCAATCATCCTTTTTTATAGCATCTTTGAGATGAAAAGAAAGGTGATTTTTTTCATGTCATACCATATACCATCATCCAGTGCAAGGGAAATTTGCATTTAACCCACTGGAATCTTATTTAGACACTTGAGAGCTTATCCAGTAAAAAGATGACAAATTAAAACATGATCCTGGGACCATTCCCTGTAAGGAGGTGGAAGGGGCGTGGCCGCGGGCCTCACAGGAAGGTGAAGTGTGTGAGGCCCAGGGCCTCGCCAGCGCCCAGCCTGAGTCTGGACTCAGAATCACGCACACGTGCGTCACCAAGAAGGGCTCCCCACCCCCCAGCTCACACGGGGTGACTGGGCTGGAGGAGCCGCGCAAAGGCTTGGTTATTAATGAACAGAGGTGAGCGTGGGAAACGCAGGCGACAGAGGAACCCCGGCCGGGCGTGTCCAGGCTCCTGCGCTGGCTGAGGACTGACGGGGCTGGGGGGGGGGGGGGGGGAGGCGGGGGGCAGGGGCAGACTCCTTCCTCTAAAGCGGCGTCCCGGCTCAGACAGGCAGGGGCTGGGGCTGGCAGCCCTGGGCAGGCGGGTCAGAGGGCGCTGGAGGAGCCGACTGCTGCTCAGCAAAATCAACAAACACCTGAAAGGAAGAGTGAACATGACTGTCACCTACAAGAACCCGGCCACCCGCTCCTCAGTGTTATACAAGGACACCCTCCCACAGCACACCCAGCTCTTCCTAAAGCCTCACCCCTCTCTCTCCCACCCTCCTAGACCCTCTCTCTCGCCACCCTCCTAGACCCTCTCTCTCTCCCACCCTCCTAGACCCCCTCTCTCCCACCCTCTTAGACCCTCTCTCTCTCCACCCCTCCTAGACCCTCTCTCTCTCCACCCCTCCTAGACCCTCTCTCTCTCCCACCCTCCTAGACCCTCTCTCTCCACCCCTCCTAGACCCTCTCTCTCTCCCACCCTCCTAGACCCTCTCTCTCCACCCCTCCTAGACCCTCTCTCTCCACCCCTCCTAGACCCTCTCTCTCCACCCCTCCTAGACCCTCTCTCTCCACCCCTCCTAGACCCTCTCTCTCCCACCCCTCCTAGACCCTCTCTCTCTCCCACCCTCCTAGACCCTCTCTCTCCACCCCTCCTAGACCCTCTCTCTCCACCCCTCCTAGACCCTCTCTCTCCACCCCTCCTAGACCCTCTCTCTCCACCCCTCCTAGACCCTCTCTCTCCACCCCTCCTAGCCCCTCTCTCTCCCACCCCTCCTAGACCCTCTCTCTCCCACCCTCCTAGACCTTCTCTCTCCCACCCCTCCTAGACCCTCTCTCTCCCACCCCTCCTAGACCCTCTCTCTCCCACCCTCCTAGACTCACTCTTCCCACGTCCTCCTGGGTCCCCCTAAACAGGTAAAACCTCTGAAATTGAACCCCAGGGGGGTAACTCTGAGCAAATGGAAGCCTGGAGGCCGGGACCCGGGGTGCAGAGCCGACAGCAACAGGCCTCCCACTGGTCACCCCATCCGCGTCCTGCGAAAGCATCAGCGCCGCCCGGGAGCGGAGACGGCACGGGGCGTTTCGTGCGGCCCACCTGCTCCAGCGTGGCCTGGGCCAGGGCGTAGTGGCGGATGCTCCCGGCGGCCTTGCTGTCCTCCAGCAGCTGGAACAGGTCGGCCAGGCAGGCCCACCCCGCGGGCACGTGATACTCCAGCACATTCAGGCGCTGCCCCTGGAATCCAGACGGAGTGGCCCCTGACACAGGCATCAGCACAACCCATCTGGGCACCACCCACGCGGGCACAGCAGGCCAGGGTCCCTTCCTGGTCTCCGCGTGGGGAGAGGACAGTTTACCGCGAGGCGCACAGGACGCGCAGCAACCCTGGCTTCATCCCCGCTGGCCTCCCGCCGGCAGGGCAGCCCCTGGGCGTGACCGTCTCCCAGTCCCATAGAGCGACCGGACAGGGTGTCCCTGCGGCCGCGCTCTGCCTGGCGGGACCTCCTCCTTCACAGCAGAATCAGCGGGTGACCGCGACGGGGCAGCCCCTCCTGGAGGCAGTGCAGGGGGAGCTGCTGGCCTCCCTGGAGCCAGGGCCCCGGGGCTCCGCTGCTCAAGGTCAGCAGGCAGAGCGCGGCCTGGACTCAGAGGCAGCAGGTCCCACAGTCCCGGGGGGAGGCTGTGGCCGCACTGCGACCCCTGGGGAGAGGCTAAGGGGGCACAGGGGCCCTGGGGAGAAGGCAGAGGCCCTCGGCCTGTCACCACCTCCGGCACCGAGGTAACATTGGCCATTATCTGTCCGGGATCCAGGGAGCCGGGCCAGGAGCTGTGCCCAGGACAAGGTGTGACTACAGTCTCCTTGGGGGACCCCAGGCAGCCCCCTTCTCAGCGCCACCAGCTCCCGCCCGCTCACATCTGCAGGAGGCGGCCCCTGCTCTGCGCAGACAGAAGCAGAAGGAGCAAGCGCAGCCACAGGAGCCTTCGCTGCAGACAGACACTCAGCAGGGTCCCTGGCGCTACCTTCAGCCGGGCTCCCGGGAAGCGCAGCTGCAGGCGGTCGGAGAGCGCGTGCTGACTTCCTCCCGCGCAGACCCACACGCGGATGGTGTAGCCGGCCCCGAACCTGAGCACAGGGAAGCGTGGTTACTGCTCGGACCAACACAGTGCCTTCTGAGTCCACTGCTCAGGAGGCAGGAAGAGAAGCAACCACTCCAAATGCTGGGGTCTTGGAAGCTCAAAACTATATTCACGCCCGGCCAGTGCGGCTCAGTGGTTGAGCATCAACCTAGGAACCAGGAGGTCACGGTTAGATTCCCAGTCAGGCCCATGCCTGGGTTGTGGGATCAATCTCCAGTGTGGGGAATGTAGGAGGCAGCCAATCAGTGATTCTCTCTCATCACTGATGTTTCTGTCTCTCTCTGCCTCTCCCTTCCTCTCTGAAATCAGTAATAAAATATATTTAAAATATATCTGTATATATAAAAGGCCTAGTGACTGACCGTCCGTCTGTCTGACTGACTGGTACTTATGACACGCACTGGCAATTTAAAAATTAAAGTTGACTCGCACATGCGCGATACATGTAAAGCGTTCGCTGTCGCCAATCACACGTGACCAACCGGCCGGTACATATGACGCGCACTGGCAATTTAATTTTGTGTTTTAATCTTATAATACTATACTATATATACTATTTTGACATGTAATTTTTTGCAGCAACATAATTACCACACGAATCTTTCTTCTAATTACTTTCTTTTCCATGTGCACGAGTCCGTGCACCAGGCCACCAGTTTACGGACATGTGTATATATATTCAGAAATTAATTATAGCTGTTATGTAGTTTGCTCTGATTCAACTTATACTGAATTAGAGCAAAAACGAAGTTAATCTCTTTTCTTTCCTTTTCTTTTTAAAAAAAAATATTTTGTTGATTTTTTACAGACAAGAAGGGAGAGGGATAGAGAGTTAGAAACATTGATGAGAGAGAAACATCAATCAGCTGCCTTCTGCACACCTCCTACTGCTGATGTGCCCACAACCAAGGTACATGCCCTTGACCGGAATCGAACCTGGGACCCTTCAGTCCTCAGGCTCTATCTACTGAGCCAAGCCGGTTAGAGCACTAAGTTAATCTTTTAAAAAAATCATCAAATCCTGGAAGCAACACCCATTTGATAGAGAGGAAGGTGAAAATGCAAACTGAGAAAGCGAGTGCTGAGGTGGGAGCTGAGCTGCTGGAGCACCCACCCCCCCACCCCCCTCCCCCAGCAGGGCTGTCAGGTCTGCAGGGACCGAGGTGGCCGGGGAAGGACAGAGGGACAAGGGATAGGGAGCAATCAGCCAGCATGGCTGTCATTGAACCAGCCGCCCACCTGCCCCTGCGAGACCACCAACCCCAGGAGCCTCTGCGGCCCCAGGGAGGGCAGCCTGAGGAACTGCAGGGGGCCCCCCTGTGGCCGAGGGAGGAGGGCAGCCTGAGGAGCTGCAGGGGGCCCCCTGTGACCCGAGGGCCACAGCTGGGGAATCAAACAGTGACCTCCCCAAATCCACGGGCCGCCCACAGCCACGTTATCCCACCGCTACAGGCCAGGTGCCGGGCATGGGCCATCACAGCATCTCCACGCTGAGTGCAAGTGTAGCTCCGATGCCTGTATTACCAGTCAGAACAGTCACCAGACAATAACTGAGCCCCTCACCAGGCACCAGCCAAGGAGAGTGAGCTGAACCTGCACAAGGAGCCGCGCGGAGATCGTAGAGATCAGGTCGGGCACCAAGGAGACAGAAAGAAAATCAATGAAACAAAAACCTGGTTCTTCCCAACGATCAGCAAAATTCACCAACCTTTAGCCCTACTGACCGAGCAAGACGACAGAGACTCCAACTCCAGGATCAGGACTGGGAGCCGGGGCACGCCCAGCCTCATGGGAGGGAGGGAGGGAGGAAATGAGCGGCTGTGTCTCCAGACACCGCTGTTAGCGACACACGCTGCTGAGCCCGACTCCAGAAGAAGGGAAGGAAACAGACTTCCAACAAGGGAAGAGGTGAAGCTGGTGGTTTCAACCACCCAGGAAGGAAGTGCCAGGCGAGGCGGCTCACTGAGTAGAAGGCAAGTTTCTCTCCAGGACACGAAGGAGAGCCCACACGGACGTTAACGTCATGCGGGAGGGCGACCGACCCAGCAACACCCACCCGGGCCCGGAAAGGTGACCTTCGCGCCCCAACACGGCGTCACAGGCCAAGCACCCACAGGGCTTTCTCCATAAATAAAAGCATATTAACCTGACACCTATGGCTCTTCAACACATCTCTGCTCGCCAATTAACGTTAAAAACATCGAACAAACAAAAACAAGAAGAGATGTATTGACTTAACAATGAACCGATATAAAAAACAGGTTAAACAAATTAAAAGGAAAACAGAGACTTTGAAAACAGTTTAGGCAACACCGAGTTTTTAAGAAGTTATATTGGGACATAAAATACTCATAGAAACTGATGACAAAATCACTAACAGTCCAACAAGGAGCGGAAAGAGGACACGAAGAGGCTGAGCCAGGGGCGCCTGCGCGAGGCGTGGGCCCAGGTGCCTTCGGCTTCACCATTGAACGGGAGCACCCACGGCGCCCGGCTGCCGCCCTCCCACCCGGGAGGCCTTCCAAGGCCAGCACGCGCCTGCCTCGCCCGGGGCCAGGGGCACGGGCACAGCCTTGCAGGACAGCCTGTCCATCTTCATCTCGACTCTGCCATGGACGGCCAGCCCTCCCGAGCCCACAGTGGTCCCCGTCGCCGGGGAAGGAGACAGCGGGGCAGCAGGAAGGGCCGGGCCCTGAGCTGAGGCTTCATCACCCGCTCCTTCCGGCGGGGAAGCACCTCCAGGCACCACCCCGTCGCTGCGGACGACAACGAATAGGCGGGGAGAGAAGCAGACGTACCTGTCCTTGAGGTGCTGGGGGGTGCCCAGGCACCTGAAACTGCCGTCCACCATGATGGCGAGCCTCGTGCACAGGGCCTCGCACTCCTCCATGCTGCGGGGAGGAAGGAGCACGTCAGCAAAGCAGCGAGACGCCGGCCCGCAGGTCATAGGTCATCTGGTACCCACAAGTCAGCCAGCATCCACACCCACAGGTCATAGGTCATCTGGTACCCACAGGTCAGCCAGTACCCACAGGTCATAGGTCATCTGGTACCCGCAGGTCAGCCAGTACCCACAGGTCATAGGTCATCTGGTACCCACAGGTCAGCCGGCACCCACACCTGCAGGTCAGCCGGCTCGCAGGTCATAGGTCAGCCGGCACCCGGTCAGCATCACAGAGAGCACCTCTCAGTGGTGGGCGCTGACCCCACAATAACCAAGCGCCTGCGTGTTTCCAGCCCAGGAAGCAGGTGAGATCCGTGAGCGCCTCCAGCAACAGCACAAAGTGCGACTCAGCAAGAAGGACCCTCCCAAAGCGGTGACATTTATGGAAAGAAACAAGTTTCCTGGTGGACTTAAATGAAGACTTCAATCAACAGAACGAAGCATTAAAAAAAGGAAAGAATGGATATTTTTAGAATGGGAAATTATTACAATATAAAAATTATTATACAAAATTATTGTAATGTAAAATATGATTGGTAACTTTAAGTGTCAAATATGATAAGCATAAACACTAAATGTGATTAGTAAAAAAATGTATAAAATATGTTTACCATATATAAAAATAAATATGTGATATTTAATATACAATACGATAAATAACAATGAAACTTGTAATTATAATTCATTTTGTAATATAAATTAACATTATTTTGATACAAAATATTTAATGAAGATTTATAATTTTTAATTGTATTCTTATACTTATATAAAATATAACATCTATACTAATAAAAGCCTATGTGGTCGTCACGCACCATGATGCCCTCAGGCCGTAACAATCCATCACCAAGAGGCTGCAGGCACGCACAGGTGGGTGGGTCCCGGTGGCTCCATGCAGCATGGAGGCAGGACCTCCGGCCCCGGCCTACCTCTTTAGGGCAATCCATCAAGGAGCCCCGGATGGGTGGGCGGGGCCTACCTCTTTGGGGAGATGGATCGCGGGGCTCCTGCACTGTGAGAGGGCACAGGCCAGGCTGGGGAACCCTCCCCCCCAAGTGCACGAATTTCGTGCACCGAGCCTCTAGTTAATTATAATAAGGCTATGGTACCATGCCCATCAACATTTTATCACTCCGGATGAGAAATTTAGAGTAATTCTTATGTCTATCTTTAGAAGCATTTCTGAGAGGCAGGAAGTCTGAGGGGAGGGGAGGGTGGCCCTGTTTAGGGACCACATCGCATGGGGCTGGGACAGTGACAGAGGTCGTGCACCAGGCACTGCAGGCGGTCCCTGGCCCAGGAGAGGACAGCACAGACGAGACATTAACATCTCAGAACGTGCGTGGCCTGAGGTCAGGGAGGAGGCACAGGCCCGGCCAGCCCTGGACTAACTGTAGTTCCTCTCCGTATTCCCACCCGCACTTCCTGCCCCTGCGGCCCCCAGGACCAGGGTCAGTAGTGAGGAGAGGAGGGAGTCACCGAGCCGTCCTGCTGGCACGACTGGCCCTCAGACCTCTGTGCGTGGACGTGGACAGAGGCATGAACCGAGGCCACGGCGTCGCTGTGAGCAGGGGCTGCTAGAGGCACCGTAGCAGTGGGTCCTCTGAGGCAGTCGGACAGTCATGTGAAACACGGGAGCAGGAGGGGTGTGTCATGTGACACTGGCACCCAACCTCAGAGCCCCGCCCCCCCGACCTGAGGCAGCACGGGCAGGGCAGGCGGAGTTTCCACAACTGGCCAGCAAAGGGGTCATGTCAGGCAAGAGTGCATTTGTCACATTTAATTCATTTAAACGTGAAATTCTATTCTCTGAAGAGCAAACACATACAGAAGTTAAAAAGGCAGAACTTCTGGTCACAACCAATGGAGAGAACTGACAAGTCCCTTCCCCCAAAACAACTCTAAACCGGTCGAAATGAGCAACAACAGCCATTTCCGAATCCTGCATATTAACCAAGGCGTGAGCCACCGGAGAAACGCAGCTGACACCTGCGTAGCCAGGGGAAGGTCTGAGCTGAGGCCTCCAGCTTCCCTACATGGCTGCTGAGTCAGGCACGAGGACTCACGGCTGAACCACTGGGCAATGTCCACGCCCCACTCCGTGGTCGGTGCCGTGACTGTCTTAGAGCCGAGGGGACAGCCAGCGCCAATGGCTCCAGCCCCGGCCTGAGCTGGGCTCCGCTAGACAACATGGTGTGGTCGGGCCCACACACCTGCCAGACAACATGGTGGGGCCAGGGCGGCCCACACCTGCCAGGCTGTACCCTGTGGGCAGGGCAGAGCCTGTGCAGCCACACACTCCATGTTGGTCCCCGGCTCCCCACACACGTCTCGGGGACCACGGAACCCAGGAGGAAGCAGCCTGGGCAGCTAGGAAACGCCTGTGCCCGGTGTCCTCCCTGTCCACACGCAGATCCCTACCCGGTCAGAATCCCGTTGCTCAAGGCGGCTGAGCACCAGCCCTGCCCAGGTAGCGGCTGTGAAAGCTGGGAGGACCTCAGCACCTAGACTCTGAAAATGACGACAACATGCCCTGTCTGGCATGGCTCAGTAGATAGAGCGTCGGCCTGCGGATGGAGGGGTCCCAGGTTCGATTCCAGCCAAGGGCACATGCCCAGGTTGCAGGTTCGATCCCCAGTGAGGGGCGTGCAGGAGGCAGCCGACCAATGGTTCTCTCTCATCATTGATGTTTCCATCTCTCTCCCTCTCCTTTCCTCTCTGAAATCAATAAAAATATATTAAAATAATAATAATAAAAATAAATAAATAAGAATGACAATGTTTAGAAACACACTTGGTGGAGGCATCGGTCGCTGCTCGCCCACCTCGGGGACAGTTTCAGAGATTTACCCCTGGCACGGCAACCCCACACAGACACACAACGACCCACAAACACCCTGGCAACACCAGCACTTGGAGAGGGGAGGAGTCAGGTCCGGGTGGACCTTTAGTACCTAAAACGTCCACCTCTCCGCAAACCCTATGCCGGAAGCCGGTCCATCCTTGCTGCTTCACACAGTCACTGCAGGAAAGAAACATCTGCACAGCATATGTTTCAAGGGACCTGGCATATATAGCATACTGTTCTTAATATGTTTGCTCCCCTTGGCACTATGTGTTTTAACCAAGGTCACTTCTCTGAGAAAGGTTGTTTCCCCAGGTAGGGATTTTCCCCTGAAGTTAGGGAGGGAATAAAACCCCTTAACTAAGTGCCAGGCGAGTAATTAATCACTTTAACTATGAACAATCATGCTTAAGCTACATAATCTTTACTCCCTGGAATGGAGATAAGAAATGCCCTAACCTTTGGAATAGAGATTGATAGGATTGGAATCAACTGGTATAAATACAGATGTAACAAGACAACAAGACACAGAAACCTAGACACAGTACCTAGACACAGAACCTACACAGAACCTAGAGACAGAAGAACTTCGCTGGAGAGAACATGGCAAAAGATCCTGGACAGAAACTGGCCACAGAACCTAGCAAGAGAACCTGGCTGAAGAACCTAGAGACAGAACCTGGCTACAGAACCTGGATAGAACATGGCAAGAGAACCTGACTAGAACCTGGTGACTGAACCTGGCTGGAGAACCTGGACAGAACCTGGCTGGAGAACCTAGCAAGGGAACATGGCTACAGAACCTGGCTGGAGAACCTAGCAAGAGAACATGGACACAGAACCTGGCTGGAGATCCTAACCAGAACTTCGCTGGAGATCCTGGCTAGGCTGCTGATCAACTGAACGCTGTCTCCATGTCATTCCTTCTTCACCGACTCCATCCACACCTTTGGGGATCCCTGGACCTGCTGGGGTTGGACCCCGGCATCTGGCGCCCGAACAGGGACCCCTTAGTTAATCGCCCCCACACTCGGGATGGATAGGACTCCACCATAGGAAGAGGGTGGATAGTCTTCGCCGACTCCGTCCACACCTTTGGGGACCCCTGGACCCGCTGGGGTTGGACCCCAGCATCTGGCGCCCGAACAGGGACCCCTAGGTAAGCCCCACTCTCGGGATGGATAGGACTCCACCGTAGGAAGAGGGTGGATAGTCTTCGCCGACTCCGTCCACACCTTTGGGGACCCCTGGACCTGCTGGGGTTGGCCCCCAGCAACCCTAGACATGCAAGAAACAAAGAATGCGTGGTGTGCTCAGGCCACGGGCACAGGAGCCTTTTCCACGTGTCCCAGATGTCAGATGAGCAGAAACGCTTCAACCCGGCCCCTGGAAATGTGTCCGACAACCAAAAGCACCATGTTTACAGAGTGAGTCACGTCTGACAATGCCATCACATGGCCATCACAACAGAGAGTCTGCAGGGGACGGAAATGCATCTTTAAAAAGAAAGGCAGGGGAAGCTTCCGGATGAGCCGTCCCTGCAGGGCCCCACACACCTGAGATGGAGGAGAGACTCGGTGACCGTGAAGATGAACCTGTAGAGACGGTCAAATCTGAGACGAGAGAAAGCAGGGCCGAAAAGAAAGGACAGAGACCCCCCAGACCCGTGGGGCCCCGCGAGGCCCGCAGACGCAGCCTGCACCCACCACGGAGGGAGGGCCAGGGGCTGACCCCTCTCTCGGGCCTTATCAGCCAAGCATGCAGCCCACTCGCCGGGAGCGACTCTGTGAGCCTCACATGCGAGTGCTGCGCGGCCAAGGAGGTTCTGACATCGAATCGTAAGATGAATTCTGTGAGCAAGAAGCCAGGAGACCAAACTCAGAGGCTGCTGTCTACACGTCAGCCCGTCCTCCTGCTGGGGACGCGGCCTTAGACGGAAAGGCCCGAGGGCCCAGGAAGCCCGGAGGCCCGGCTCTCCAGGGACCTTGGACCCAGCAGGCCCCAGGTGCGGACTCCAGCTGTGCTGCCGCTGGCCACGGCCCTGGGTCAGTGGAGGGCACAGGCTGCTGTGGACACGGAGGACCCTGTGGGCAGCCAGAGCCCAGCCCCGGCCTGTGGGCCCGCAGCTCGCTTCCTGCTCACCTGTGCGAGGTCAGCACCACAGCGCAGCCCTCCTGAACTTCCTTGGTGATCGTTTTCCACAGGAACCGCTTCGAGCAGGGGTCCATCCCTGAGCTGGGCTCATCCTGAAGGAAAGCAACAGTGATGGGTCAGGGGCCCGGCCCTGAGGAGCCCCGCTCCGGCTCCAGGGCCGCTGTCCGCGCTACCTCACACCGTGCTCCCCACGGCACCTCCATGCCAGCTCCTCCACGGGGGCAGGGGAGTGAGTCCCCTGATGTCTCTAAGACGCACCCTCAGCTGCTATAAAGTCTCAGAATGAGACACCAAGAAGGACGTACGACGGCAGGAAAAGGCTCCATTTACTCAGCAACCTCAAGTCACGTGCCATTTCCTGGAGCCTGACTTCTCCCCTCAACGCCAAGCACATCCTGTTGGAGTGTCCGGGAGAGATGCTGGCCCAGTGGGAGGTCTGGCTTGTGCGGCCGGGGAGCCCCCAACACGTCTCCCAGAGCTCAGGCCGCTCTCCACGGGTGGGCGCCGCGGGGATGTGTACACAGGCCTCCCTGCCAGGTGGTCAGGGCGCCGGCCTCTCCCCCGAGACTGTCCAATAAGGGACAGCAGCCAGCACAGCCACGGCGTCCCATGTGGAGGGACCCAAGTGACACCTAACCTTTTGTCAGAGCAACAACGACACGGATTCTTGTGCCGCAGGACGTCACCCGTGGGTCTGAGTGCCAAGATGGAAAAGGCCGGTGACCTCCGGGCAGAGGACAAACAGGTGGGTGAGCTTCCGGGTGAGTCCGGATCCTCAAATGCTGCTCTTCATGTCACAGTTTCATTGACGTGTCAATTTGGCAATGAAAGGGACCATCGAGAAGTAAACTCACTTCCATAAACTCCCGGGGACGGGTCCGACTGTGGGGGACGCTGACCCGGAAGAGCGTTACTTCAAGCCCGCCCCGCCCCCCCCCAGCCTAGGACGCCCCCCCCCCCCCGCCTCCCCCACCCCCGCTGACGCCAGCTGCTCACCAGCAGGAGAAGGTGGGGCTTCCCCAGCAGGGCCAGGGCTGCGGACAGCTTCCGCCGGGTGCCCCCGCTGTAGGTGGCCACCGGCTTGTCCACGTGGGCCTCCAGGTGTAAGCGCCTCACCAGGTCCCCGGCCACCTGGAGGAGAGGAGTCTGTGCACAACCCACTCAGGCCCCAGCCCCGCCCCTCCGCCTCCCCCTGCCCCCCTGGGTGATGAGGAAGGACAGACAGGGCTCACTCCTGAGGCTCCAGGGGCGCTCGGGCCGGGGAGCCCTCGGAGGGCTGGGTTGGAGCCCAGGGAGCCAGGGCGGCCGGACACCAGACAGCCCAAGGGGGCAGGCAGGGGGCCTGACTGGGAGCAAAGCCCCGAGCCGCGGGGAGCAGAGAGGCATGGCTCTGGCCCGTCCTGGTCCTGGGGGCCTCACCTTGGGGATGTGCGGCCCTGGGATCCCGCGCAGGCGGCAGTAGTAGCGCAGGTGCTCCCAGCCCGTCAGCGGCTCGTCCAGCGCGTCCTGCTGCGGACAGTAGCCCACGCGCACACCGGCCGCCCCTGCCGAGAACAGAGGCACGTCCTCCCTGCAGAGAGCAGCGGTCAGAAAGCTCCACACAGGACAGACCAGGCCTGGGCCCGGCCCCTCCCGGAGGCACCGAGGTCTGTCTCAGGAGGAACTCGCTGCAGGAGGGCTCCGGCCTGAGCAGCACCTGCGCTCAGACTCTGCGGCCACGGCTGCGTGTGTCACGGGAAACGGTGTGTGAGCGCGGAGCCGGGGTCCGGTGTCTCCCCACCAAGACAGCTCACCGGACACCTAGTTCATCGAGACTATCGACGAGACTATCGCCCGGTGTCAGGTTTTAAATTCATAGGTTGAACAAGAAAAGAGCACTGCTCCTCATGCTGGAACCTTAAAGGGCAGGAGCTTCCATAGGATGGGGCCGGAATCACATGCTTCCGTCCGGAGGGCATGCTGTGAGCTGCGTGGGCAGGAAGGTATATACACTGAGTGCTTAACACTCCATTGTGCCCTAATCGCCTTTTAATTCCTTGAATACCAATGTACAATTCACATTACAAGTAATCAAGATTGAAACTATAATGAATGCAGGGGTGCTTTACTTACAATTAAACAAGCTGCAGAGACATGTAGCCTAGCAGGGCTTGCTGACCATTATGGAGATGTACATTCATTGCTGCTTTCCAGAGCAGCAATTTGAATTTCATTTCCCAATTATTTTAGAAACGATGGACCAAGATTACAAAGGAGACAGACAGCCTCCCAGGGATGAGAAAATAAATCATATATCTTTCTTTCCTTTTGAATTCTGATTATTTTGTCCTTTTGTACTTGTACACAGAGAAGTTACCAAAATAAATAAATATATAACAAAACGCCACCCAATCAACAGAACACCTTCTCACTCCTAGGACTGCAGGGAAAACCGACAACACAGCCTGAGAGCTTCACTTCCACACGGCCACCTGGACCTGCAGCGTGATTCACTCCATTCACCACACACTCCCTCAGCCACTCTGTTTACAGTTCTTAACACAATTAGTTTGAAACATTGACTTGTTTCCAGTGATAGGGACTAACCCAAGTGTAACTGTATCCTCTGCCTGCAAGCAGCAACACTGTGACAGCTGGGAGCTGATATGCAACGCTGTTACAGCTGGGAGCCGATATGCAACGCTGTTACAGCTGGGAGCTGATAGGCAACACTGTTACAGCTGGGAGCCGATATGCAACACTGTTACAGCTGGGAGCCGATATGCAACGCTGTTACAGCTGGGAGCCGATAGGCAACACTGTTACAGCTGGGAGCCGATATGCAACACTGTTACAGCTGGGAGCCGATAGGCAACACTGTTACAGCTGGGAGCCGATAGGCAACACTGTTACAGCTGGGAGCCGATATGCAACGCTGTTACAGCTGGGAGCCGATATGCAACGCTGTTACAGCTGGGAGCCGATAGGCAACGCTGTGACAGCTGAGAGCCGATAGGCAACGCTGTGACAGCTGGGAGCCGATATGCAACGCTGTTACAGCTGGGAGCCGATAGGCAACGCTGTGACAGCTGAGAGCCGATAGGCAACGCTGTGACAGCTGGGAGCCGATAGGCAACGCTGTGACAGCTGGGAGCCGATAGGCAACACTGTGACAGCTGGGAGCCGATAGGCAACACTGTGACAGCTGGGAGCCGATATGCAACACTGTTACAGCTGGGAGCCGATATGCAACACTGTGACAGCTGGGAGCCGATATGCAACACTGTGACAGCTGAGAGCCGATATGCAACGCTGTTACAGCTGGGAGTGGATAGGGACAGTGGACTGACTGCCTGGCAGCTAAACATGGAGGTTTGACAAGGAGTGAGGCAGACAAGGTTTCGTGTCTCCCACATTCTTCACCTCAGTTAGGAGAGGGGATCACTCTTAAATGGGAAGAGCGTCCTGTGACTGGATAGGGGGGCTTTCCTATGAGACGTCATTCACACCTGGAGTTGTCATCACCCCAGGATACAGACGAGGGGGGGTGGGGATAGGGGACCGGAAGGAGCAAAGGGACAGGAAGCACGGCAAACTCCGTGACCGCTCCCACATCTGTCAGAATGAGCCCAGGACAATGTCACCAAAACACACACCCCCTAATTGCTCACACGGAGGGTGACCGGAAATCGGTTATCCTGAAACTGGATAAGTAAGAAGGGGAACAATGAGCATCCACCTGTCCTTTTTCATATGAACTATAGCTCTGAGTAATCAAATAAAATATAGTGAGAGCAACTCGTTGTAAAATTATTCAGGCTCAGAAGTGAAGACAAAATGAGTTGGAGCATCGCCATGCTGCAACCCCCAGTGAGTGAGCGAAGGCATAACCAGGCAGCAGGCTTCCCAGCTGCAGCACCCAAGGCGTGAAGACAGGCGAGTGCCTCCGGGTGGGAGGGGCAGGGCAGCTCCTGTGGGTTCTGAGCCCGAGGGGTCCTCACCTCTCATGCAGACAGCCACCTGGACAGCGCGCTCTCCAGGCCCAGGGCTGGGACCAGCAAGTAGATTGTAAAGAAAGAAGGAGATGGAGAGAGGGAGCCTGAGATCCAGAGACTCAAACCACACCAAGTGCTGGCAAAGGAGCGAGATTAAACTGTGGTGTCTTCAGACACTCCTGGTAATGAAGCCACACAGAATCTATTGGGTGGGAATGGGCTAATCCTATATAATAAAGAGGTAATATGCAAATTAACCCTCACACCCTCATAAGATGGCTGCCTATGACCAGGCCAGCAGGGGTGTTAGTGAGGGATGACCAAACAACTGAACAGCAGGCTGCATGGGGGCGACCAGTCTGCCCAGGGGGCCGTGAGGGGTGACCAGGCTGGCGGGTGGGGGCAGTTGGGGGCAACCAGGCCAGCAGAGTGGGGGGGAGTTAGGGGAAACCAGGCTGGCAGAGGTGGCAGTTGGGGGCGATTAGGCTGGCAGAGGGGGCAAGTGGGGGCGATTAGGCTGGCAGGGGGGCAGTGAGGGGTGACTGGCCAGCAGGGGGGGCAGTTGAGGTGACCAGGCTGGCAAGGGGGGCAGTTAGGGGCAACCAGGCCAGCAGAGGGGGGAAGTTGGGGGCAACCAGGCCAGCAGGGGGAGCAGTAAGGGGTGACCAGGCTGGCAGAGGGGAGGCAGTTAGAAGCAACCAGGCTGGCAGAGGGGGCAGTTGGGGGCAACCTAGCCAGCAGCCGGGGGCAGTTAGGGGTGACCAGGCTAGCAGGGGGAGCAGTTAGGGGTGAACAGGCCAGCACGCAGAGGCAGTGAGGGGCAGTCAGGTCGGCAGGGGGAGTGCAGTTAGGGTCGACCAAGCAGGCCAGCAGGTGAGCGATTAGGAGCCAGTGGTCCAGGATTGTGAGGGATCCCGGATTGGAGAGGGTGCAGGCTGAGCGGAGGGGACCCACCCCCCCATGCACGAATTTCGTGCACCAGGCCTCTAGTAATACATAAAATGGCATTTTTTTAAAACCAGGAGAGGCGTTACCCAGAGGGGAGAACTGACCGGAAAAGGATTTAATGGGATGGTTTTGTGCTGTTTCTTGAGCTAGTACAGATTATAAAAGAATATTACTTTGTGAAAATGCATCAAGATGTTCTTTTCTATATGTAACTTACACTCCAATAAATACTTTTCAGGAATTTCAAAAATCATAAGCCATATCATTGACTATAATCCTTATGCTATACTGTGCATCCCTGCATATATCTGAAATATAAATATAAAAGAAAAAGAAAAATATTAAGCCCAGGAACACAAAATTGAGCATCTAGAAATACTCCTACATGTAAATTTTTGAAAGACTAAATCAAACTTACATGTGTCATTTAGAGACTATGACACCAATAATGTCACTTATCAAGTTTTTAGGATCCAGGTTAAGCTTACCAAAAAGCATATTTATAAACTTAATGATTTGATAATTTATTTTTTAAAAGATTTTAAAAGTCAAATCAAGAGGTCAAAAACAAAACAAGACTGAGAAAAGCATGGTGGAGGGCTTAATAAGAATGGCAAAATTCATAAATTTGGAAACGAAAAGACTTGAGTTGCTGAAGAAATTCAATCATTCATTCTTTTTAAAGTAAAACAGTCACAGTTGAGAAAGTATACAGATAGTTTTATAGGAAATCTCAAGCATATTGGTATAGGGATAGAATGAAAATACAAATCTTACGATAATTATGACTCTATGAAGAGTAGTAAACAATTTTAAATTAAGTTTTTGTAAGAAAATACAAATTGTCAAAATGCAATGAAAATTTAATAGTAAGGATTGGAAATGAAAGATTTCAACAACAAACTAATTTTTCTTATGACTCATAAATTTAAAATATTACATAAAATTCAGCAAATAAGAAAGACTTAAATCCATGAGAAAATAATGTTTACTGCAGAAAGGGAAAGACAGATCAATAATCAGAAATGTTTTATTTATGATACTAGAGGCCTGGTGCACAAAATTTGTGCACAAGGAGGGGGGGTCCCTCGGGTGGCCTGCGCCCTCAGGGGATGTCTGACTGCCAGTTTAGTCCCAATCCCGGCCTAAACCGGCAGTTGGACATCCCCCTCGCAATCTGGGATGCTTTTCACACAGGTGAAAGGCATCTTGCTATTTTATGGGCAGCTACATTTTTTGGCCCTGATTATAAAAAGTAGCACATAACATGATCCTTCTGGGGCAGTAGTACCATTTCCCCCATCTTATGGGTGGAAAAACTGAAGCAGAGAGAGGTTAAGTAATTGGCTTTGTCACAGTTTTAAGTGTCAGATCAGGGCTGACCACAAAATGTGCAAGCCTGATCCATGCATGTCATCGCTGCATCATCCTGGTTTTTCAGTGTTAGAGTAGCCTTGCCAGGTTTTAATTTTTAAATCTAGGACACTGTTCCCAATAGATAGAGTAGGGTCCCTAGGCCTGGCCGGCGATCAGGGCTGATCTGTGGGGCAATGGTGGGCAGGGCAATTGGGCGCCCCTGTTGGCACCCGCCTTGGCTGGCAGCCTGGTGCTGCCTGCTCACCAGCCTCACCCCCTGCTGCCGCCACTGGTCGCCTCTCTCTTATGGTATCTGCCCCCTGGTGGTCAGTGTGCACCATAGCGACTGGTCATTCGCCAGCTGTCCCACCCTTTGGTCAATTTGCATATTAGGGTTTTATTATATAGGATAACTATGTGGAAAGAAAAAGAATTATAAAATATGAATGCTAAATTGATAAATTAAAATTTTTCCTTAAAGAACTTTTAATAAAATTGCAAAATAATATTTCCTTGAGGTAAGAAATATTATGTATATAATTTTCAAACCACCACACTTAGTAAAATAGAAGTACTACATAGAAGCAGTCAGATGCACTACGGTCAAGGTGCTTTGGTAGCTTCAGGGAGAACAAAGAGCAATGGGATCAGAGGCACGGCCAAGGGAAATGGAGAAAATGGTCCCCTCATTACTGAGAAGCGCACTGCCTTCTGGGTAGAACATGGGGACTGGCGAAAAGACGTTCTAAAGCAGTGGTTCTCCACCTTCTGGCCCTTTAAATACAGTTCCTCATGTTGTGACCCAACCATACAATTATTTTCATTGCTACTTCATAACTGTAATGTTGCTACTGATATGAATCGTCATGTAAATATCTGATATGCAGGATGGTCTTAGGCGACCCCTGTGAAAGGGTCGTTCGACCGCCAAAGGGGTCGCGACCCACAGGTTGAGAACCGCTGTTCTAGAGGCAGATTTATCTCAGGAGGTGAAAACATATACGAGGTTGGCAGCCCCATCAGTCCCGGGGGATGTGAAGCTGAACTGGCCAGTGAAGGCGGAAGGGCCAGTCCCCCCACCCACCCCATTTCCTGCCCAGCTGAGTGACGGGGACCGCGAGCAAGCACCCCACCACCTGCGCCCCAGCGAGGTCCCCTGTTCTCCCCGCCCAGGAGGGAGTGAGGGCACTCGGGGAGGAGACCTCCTGCCCAGGACCCAGGTGTCGGGCCCTCGGCTCCAGGGTTACCCCCCACACACACACACTCCCCCCCCCCAATCGGGCAGGAAAGTGGCGACGGGCTCTTACCCCGCGGGCGTCCTGACCACGGCGTGCCCTGCGCTCGGGGCCTCGTCCCCGCTCAGCATCTTGAACGTGGTGCTCTTCCCGGCCCCGTTCAGGCCCAGGAGCCCGAAGCACTGAGGAGGGGTGAGCAGAGGACATGTCACGGTCAGACGGCACTTGCTCTCCGCGGCTCCGAGGCTTCCTGTGCTGTCTGCAGTGTAAGCAGCCTCGGGCACAGAGCGGCCTGTGGGCTGCCAGGGTCCTGACAGGGTCCTGACAGGCCCGCGGCGTGGACCAGGAACCTGACCACAGGGACCCACGTGGAGCTCAGAGGGGCCACGTGATGCCGCGTCCTGCGGCCGCCCAGCAGCTCCAGGCGTCTCCCTCCAGGGACTAGGATGCCGTAAGGCACAGCATGGCCATCACTGTCCCCTGGCTCCTGCACATGCCAGCACTTTCTATAGGTGCTCCGCCTCCTCCCACCTCCCTCCCAAGGTGGCGCCTCGACTCCCAGCACCAAGCCAGCTCTGGGCTCAGCCATGTCGTATGTCCTATCAGCCAGTGAAGGCAGAAGGGCCAGTCCCCCCAACACACCCCATTTCCTGCCCAGCTGAGTGACAGGGGGTCAGCAAGCACCCCACCATCTGCTGCCTCCGCAAGGTCCCCTGCACGTGAACGTCCTCTAGTTCATTCCTGCACCTGGTCCTCCCCTGGCACCTGGGCGCCGGCCCTGAGCGCGCTCCTAGTGGAGGCGACGTGCCGGCTCTGCGGGTCTGGTTCCTCCCATCTCCCTCTGAGGCGCACATTCCTGACGGCGGCCTTTTGTCTGCGGCTCCAGTGGCCTCCTGCCTCCCTGAATCTTGGACACTGACCTGTGGGCTCTCTGCCGCCGTCCCACTCGTCATCCCAGGACCGACTGCATCCCTCTGGGCGGCCGTGGCTCCCTGAGTCCCACCTGCTTCAATAGCCACGCTCCCCGACTCAGCTGGGCCTGTCACCCCCGGCCCATCCTGTCCCACGGCGTCCCTCACACAGCGCACCTGACTGCTGTCCACACTGCACCCCACAATGCACCAGTCCTTCAAGAATCCCACACTGCCCCCCACCCAGCTGCCCCCCCACCTAGATGCCCCCCAACCCAGATGCCCCCCACCCAGATGCCCCCACCCAGCCTCCGTCCCTGACTCCAAGCTCTAAGGCAGCCCAGTGTAATGCCACCGATGCCACCGTGTGACACTGGGCGTGCTACGATCTCCCAGTTCCGGGCAATCACAGATCCTCAGAGGAACAGGGACACCTCTCAGCCGGATCTGCTCCCCCGATCCGCCCCCCAGGCCTACAGGCAACCCCGGCCAGCAGCTGAGCGGCGATGCTCCCTGGAGGCCTGCAGAAGAGCCCATGGGGAGTGTGGCCTGCATCAGCGTCTCCTCTCAAGTTCTCCGGGCTTCCTCCCACCAGCCCACCCGCGCAGAGGCAGTGCAGCCTGGGCTGACTGTCCAACGAGGGCAAACCAGCTCGCAGCCCAGCCACATGGTCACGTCCATAGAAGCAGCCCCCACCTCCCGCCCCGCAGGCCCAGGGTCACACGGACACACTCAGACCCCACCTCCCGCCCCGCAGGCCCAGGGTCACACGGACACACTCAGACCCCACCTCCCGCCCCGCAGGCCCAGGGTCACACGGACACACTCAGCCCCCACCTCCCGCCCCGCAGGCCCAGGGTCACACGGACACACTCAGACCCCACCTCCTCCCCCGCAGGCCCAGGGTCACACGGACACACTCAGACCCCACCTCCTCCCCCGCAGGCCCAGGGTCACACGGACACACTCAGACCCCACCTCCTCCCCCGCAGGCCCAGGGTCACACGGACACACTCAGACCCCACCTCCTCCCCCGCAGGCCCAGGGTCACACGGACACACTCAGACCCCCACCTCCTCCCCCACAGGCCCAGGGTCACACGGACACACTCAGACCCCACCTCCCGCCCCGCAGGCCCAGGGTCACACGGACACACTCAGACCCCACCTCCTCCCCCCCAGGCCCAGGGTCACACAGAAACACTCAGACCCCACCTCCTCCCCCACAGGCCCAGGGTCACACGGACACACTCAGACCCCACCTCCTCCCCCGCAGGCCCAGGGTCACACGGACACACTCAGACCCCCACCTCCCGCTCCGCAGTCCCAGGGTCACACGGACACACTCAGACCCCACCTCCTCCCCCGCAGGCCCAGGGTCACACGGACACACTCAGACCCCACCTCCTCCCCCACAGGCCCAGGGTCACACGGACACACTCAGACCCCCACCTCCCGCTCCGCAGTCCCAGGGTCACACGGACACACTCAGACCCCACCTCCTCCCCCGCAGGCCCAGGGTCACACAGAAACACTCAGACCCCACCTCCTCCCCCGCAGGCCCAGGGTCACACGGACACACTCAGACCCCCACCTCCTCCCCCGCAGGCCCAGGGTCACACGGACACACTCAGACCCCCACCTCCCGCCCCGCAGGCCCAGGGTCACACGGACACACTCAGACCCCACCTCCTCCCCCGCAGGCCCAGGGTCACACGGACACACTCAGACCCCACCTCCTCCCCCGCAGGCCCAGGGTCACACGGACACACTCAGACCCCCACCTCCCGCCCCGCAGGCCCAGGGTCACACGGACACACTCAGACCCCACCTCCTCCCCCGCAGTCCCAGGGTCACACGGACACACTCAGACCCCACCTCCTCCCCCGCAGGCCCAGGGTCACACGGACACACTCAGACCCCACCTCCTCCCCCGCAGGCCCAGGGTCACACGGACACACTCAGACCCCCACCTCCCGCCCCGCAGGCCCAGGGTCACACGGACACACTCAGCCCCCACCTCCCGCCCCGCAGGCCCAGGGTCACACGGACACACTCAGACCCCACCTCCCGCCCCGCAGGCCCAGGGTCACACGGACACACTCAGACCCCACCTCCCGCCCCGCAGGCCCAGGGTCACACGGACACACTCAGACCCCACCTCCTCCCGCCCCGCAGGCCCAGGGTCACACGGACACACTCAGACCCCACCTCCCGCCCCGCAGGCCCAGGGTCACACGGACACACTCAGACCCCACCTCCTCCCCCGCAGGCCCAGGGTCACACGGACACACTCAGACCCCACCTCCTCCCCCGCAGGCCCAGGGTCACACGGACACACTCAGACCCCACCTCCTCCCCCGCAGGCCCAGGGTCACACGGACACACTCAGACCCCACCTCCTCCCCCGCAGGCCCAGGGTCACACGGACACACTCAGACCCCACCTCCTCCCCCACAGGCCCAGGGTCACACGGACACACTCAGACCCCCACCTCCCGCTCCACAGTCCCAGGGTCACACGGACACACTCAGACCCCACCTCCCGCCCCGCAGGCCCAGGGTCACACGGACACACTCAGACCCCACCTCCTCCCCCACAGGCCCAGGGTCACACGGACACACTCAGACCCCACCTCCCGCTCCACAGTCCCAGGGTCACACGGACACACTCAGACCCCACCTCCTCCCCCGCAGGCCCAGGGTCACACGGACACACTCAGACCCCACCTCCTCCCCCGCAGGCCCAGGGTCACACGGACACACTCAGACCCCCACCTCCCGCTCCACAGTCCCAGGGTCACACGGACACACTCAGACCCCACCTCCTCCCCCGCAGGCCCAGGGTCACACGGACACACTCAGACCCCACCTCCTCCCCCACAGGCCCAGGGTCACACGGACACACTCAGACCCCACCTCCTCCCCCGCAGGCCCAGGGTCACACGGACACACTCAGACCCCACCTCCTCCCCCACAGGCCCAGGGTCACACGGACACACTCAGACCCCCACCTCCCGCTCCACAGTCCCAGGGTCACACGGACACACTCAGACCCCACCTCCTCCCCCACAGGCTCAGGGTCACACGGACACACTCAGACCCCACCTCCTCCCCCACAGGCCCAGGGTCACACGGACACACTCAGACCCCCACCTCCCGCTCCACAGTCCCAGGGTCACACGGACACACTCAGACCCCACCTCCTCCCCCGCAGGCCCAGGGTCACACGGACACACTCAGACCCCACCTCCTCCCCCGCAGGCCCAGGGTCACACGGACACACTCAGACCCCCACCTCCCGCTCCACAGTCCCAGGGTCACACGGACACACTCAGACCCCCACCTCCTCCCCCACAGGCCCAGGGTCACACGGACACACTCAGACCCCACCTCCTCCCCCGCAGGCCCAGGGTCACACGGACACACTCAGACCCCACCTCCCGCCCCGCAGTCCCAGGGTCACACGGACACACTCAGACCCCCACCTCCCGCCCCGCAGGCCCAGGGTCACACGGACACACTCAGACCCCACCTCCTCCCCCGCAGGCCCAGGGTCACACGGACACACTCAGACCCCACCTCCTGCTCCACAGTCCCAGGGTCACACGGACACACTCAGACCCCACCTCCCGCCCCGCAGGCCCAGGGTCACACGGACACACTCAGACCCCACCTCCTCCCCCGCAGGCCCAGGGTCACACGGACACACTCAGACCCCACCTCCTGCTCCACAGTCCCAGGGTCACACGGACACACTCAGACCCCACCTCCTCCCCCGCAGGCCCAGGGTCACACGGACACACTCAGACCCCACCTCCCCCCCCGCAGGCCCAGGGTCACACGGACACACGCAGCCCCTCACCTCCCCGCTCCGCAGGCCCAGGGTCACAGGGACACACGCAGCCCCTCACCTCCCCGCTCCGCAGCCCAGGGTCACAGGGACACACGCAGCCCCTCACCTCCCCGCTCCGCAGGCCCAGGGTCACAGGGACACACGCAGCCCCTCACCTCCCCGCTCCGCAGGCCCAGGGTCACAGGGACACACGCAGCCCCTCACCTCCTCCCCCGCAGGCCCAGGGTCACAGGGACACACGCAGCCCCTCACCTCCCCGCTCCGCAGGCCCAGGGTCACGTCCTGCACGGCCGGCCGCCGGGAACGCCCGTAGCTCTTGCTGAGGTTGCAGAGCACCAGCAAGTCCCCGTTGGTTCTTCCCTTCAGCACCCGCACCTGCTCCGCCTCCACATCTGCGTCCGCACAGGCTGTGACTGTGCCCTGGACGGCCGAGCGCCTCCTGGGACGAGAGACGCTGTTAGTCCACACCCGGACAGGCCTGGGGCATCAGAGAGGGGAGGTCAGAGATGTCTCAACCGAGGAGGCCTGGAGACGGCAGCAGCAGGCAGCAGCAGCTCGGCCCGCGCTGGTCCCACCAGGGCAGGCAGGGTCCCCAGGAGGCAGCGGGCAGACACCCTCCGAGCCCCTCGCTGCATGAGACACGCCCACCACCCTCACTGAAGGAGAGAGGTCAGCGCAGGCTGCTGTCTGCGAGTCCCCACGCTGGGCACTCAGACCCCTGGGCTGCATGGCACAGCCCGCGGCTGAGTCCCACGCCATGCGGGGCCGCAGGGAGGACTGAGCCCAGGCACCCCGCACGACGCCTGCTCCTGCATTTAATGAGTTTGTCAGATGGACGCACGTTCACTTTCCAGCTACTCACTCACACCCAAGCTGCTCACTCCCCACTCCTGCTCCCGACCGCTAACCGCTAACCGGTGCGTGGAACTTCCGGGGACCCTCTGTTTCCCTGTGAGCCGCACCGCGCAGCCCTGACTCACTGACAGGGCGCAGCCCGCCGGCTGTGTCCTCCGACCCTGTGTCCTGGCCCTGCAGGTACCGTGTCAGCACATGACCCAGTGTCACTGGGAGAAGCTGGGCGCAGGGGACACGGGCTCTGCCCCCATTTTGCAATTTCTTGCGTCTAAACTACTTTAAAATTAGCAGGTATTTAAAATAAAATAAAACCTCCACGTCCAGCCCTCAGTGCCCCAGGTCCTCTCCCTGTACTATTTTTCTGTCCCTGAAACCTCCAATGGAGAAATCACACTTTATTCCGTAGACAACGCAGCTAATGAGGAAAGATTAGATACTTGGGAGCAGGCATCCCACGATCCCATCTGTGTAGCATTGAAACGCACGGGAGCAGCAGCAGAGATAGGAGCAGCGGAGGGGAGGTGGTGGGGAGGGGGGAGGGGGGAGGGGTAGGGAGGGGGCGGGGAGGGGAGAGAGGAGAAGGGTGGGGGAGGGGGAAGGGGGGAGGGGTGGGGAGAGGGCAGGGAGGTGGTCGCCTGCAGAGCCCACGGGCCCACGTCCCCAGGGCCTGAGAGGCTGACACACTCAGTCTGGGGAAGGTGACACGCGTGTCCAATTGGTGAAAATTCATCAAGTTCTATACGTGCCTTTAGACTGCTCTCTCCCCTCCCCCCTCCCACCCCGGCCCTGAGCCCCGGCTCCCAGGGGCGTCTCTCAACCAGGAACTATCCCCTTCCTTCCCTCCCGCTATCAGGACCCGCCACAAGGTGCCCACCAGTGGGCTGGCCTGTCATCAGTCACCAGGGAAGCTTTATGGACACCTGTCCGCCCCCCCGCACCCATCCCCCCCAACACTGTCCCCGGGTACCGTCCCCTCCTCCTGATACCCATGCCCCCTACACCCGTCCCCCCTCCTGACACCCATCACCCCCCCCCCCCAGCACCTGGTCCCCTCCTGACACCCATCCTTCTGGCACCTGTCCCCCTAACACCCGTCCCCCTAATACCCATCCCCCTAGCACCCGTCCCCCTGACACCCATCCCCCTGACACCCATCCCCCTAGCACCCGTCCCCCTGATACCCATCCCCCTAGCACCCGTCCCCCTGACACCCATCCCTCCCTAACAAAGAGGAGACACAGCCTGATGGCAACAGGACTGGGCGATGGCACGTGGCTGTGGGCGCTGAGCCGTGCACACCCGCCTGGGAGGTGACCCTCACCACACACAGCCGCCTCCCCGTCCAAGGGCACCTGAGTTGCCACGTCAGAGCGGAGGGGCTGCGCACTGGCCAGGAACCTCCTGGGACGAGTAAGTCAGGGAACAGGGCCTCACACTGTCCCTCCTCGTGTCCATGACTCGCCCGACCCCAAAGCAAAGGGAACACGAACCCCTCATCAGAGCGTGCGGGGCAGACGCGGTCCCGTCCGCCCGCAGCCTCCAGGACAGTCGCCCCTTTGCTCTACGTGGGCGCCCGAGGGGCAGCGCGTACCTGGCCCTCCGCACCGCGTCCCCGTGCAGGAGCAGCCGCAGGAGCAGCAGCACCGTGCCCTGCGAGGCCAGCAGCACGAAGGCCCAGCCCAGGAAGCTCATCCGCAAGGGGCTGGCGTAGGTGTCGACGCCCAGGCTGTGGCTCAGGTCGAACTGGATCTGGTTGTAGCAGAGGTCGATCAGGCCTTGGCCCAGGCAGAATTGGGGGAACAGGATGAACACCCACTTGAGGACCTCGTAGATGGTCTGCAGACTCTGCACAGGGAGAGGGAACAGAAGCCCAGCTCGGGGCTGCTCACAGGCCCCGCTCTCCTGCGCCGCCCCCAACCCCGCCCTGCCCAATCCCAGCCTCTGTCACACTCTCCGCGGGCAGCAGTGGTTCTGTCTACTCCACAGCCCGGGTCTGAGGACGCCGCCTGGCTGGGTGGGACCCACGGCCCTGTGTCTCCCTGTAAGATGGAGTCTTTCCCACGCTGCCCCCCACCGGTTCAGGAGGGAGCTCATCTGCCTCCCAGGCTCCTGGCTGGAGAGGAATTCTCAGGACGAAGAGACCTGAGTCGCCTGGGCCTGGCAGGTGGGATTCAGGTGACATTTCAGACCTCAGAGCTGGTGCTGAAATGAGCTATGGCTTGGGGTCTGCTGGGATGACATGAATGTATTCTTCATGCGAGAAGGACATGGACTTGGGGGAGTCAGGGTAGAATGTTATGGACTGAGTGTGTGCGCCCTAATAGCCATCTGGGGAGGCCCTGACCCCGCGATGACATTGGGGGCGGGGCTTTGGGGAGGTGACTAGGTTTGGTGACGCCGGCGGCGCTGACCTGAGCCCTGGTGACGATGGCCAGCAGCCGGGGCATGGTGGTCATGAGCAGCGTGCAGAGGCCCAGGACGAAGTTCAGCGAGACGTAGGCGATGAAGGCGACGTCCGCGCTGGGGAAGAGCCCGGACGTCAGGTACATCCACGGGAGGGTCGCGTACCTGGAAGTCAGGCGGACACGTGCTTACTCCCTGCTTATTTGCATGAGGATGGAATGGCCGGCCCGGCCGCCTTCCTCACTCGGTGGACAGTTTCCTGGCACCTTCCCCCGGCTCTCGGCACCGCGTTCCCGCAGCATCCCCCATGGAAGCAGCCTCAGCGCTGGAAGGGAGCGAGAACGCAGCCCACAGCGGCTCAGAGCCCCCGGGGGTTCCTGCCGCAGGACACAGGCCTGGTTGAGCGGCCACGCGGCTGGTCACGTCACGCACCCGAACAGCACCAGCAGGAGGGCTGTGGCCGCCAGGTTCTCGCGGAAGGTGAAGGCTGGTAACCCGAAGGCCGCGACCACGGCGACACACAGGCCGACGGAGACCAAGTAGAAGAGCTGAGGAGACAGAGGGACCTGTGGCAGCTCCGCCGACCGCCATGGCGCACTCTGTCCCACACAGTGCCGTGCGTTTATGGTGCTCGTCGCAGGCTCCGCAGCCGGGCTGGCCGGTCCCCCAAGCTTGTGTGTCCAGGCCCAGCGCCCCCTGGTGTCCTGGACATGGACCTGGAGCTGGGCTGGCAAAGGGTAATCCCGGCAAAATGAGAGGAAGGCCGGACCGAGGCCAATGCGACCGGTGTCCTTCCAGGAAGAGGAGGGGACACCGAAGGGCACAGGGTGGCCATGGGGACACAGGCGAAGGCAGGGGCCTTGGGGGTCCTGGAGGCGGGGCCTCTCCAGGCCTATCCTCTGCCCTTCTCCCGGGGAAGCTGTCGTCGCTGCGGTTAAATGGGGGGCATGGCAGCGTGCGGATGGGGACAGGAGGGAGCCAGGACTGGACGCTGGCCCTGCTCTGAGTGGGCATGGGCCGGGGCGGCCGTGTCCTCTCCTGACCCGAGAGCCCCTCAGTAGAGGTGGGGCCAGGGCCAGCTTTTCTCAGTCTGGGCTGAGACTTTAAACCCCCCGGGGCTGACGAATGTGCGACTCAGGCCCGCGGCCCGGGCAGGACCCGCGGCAGGTCTGGGGAGCGTCTGTCCCGGAGCCCAGGCGTCGCGCACAGGCAGGCGGGGGAAGCCTCATAGACTCCAGCCGCCGGAAAGGCTGAGGCCGCGGCGCTGTGGCCACAGACACCACAAGCCCAGCTACATGCTCAGAAGGGCCCGGTCGGCTGAGCTCCACACCGGGTCCAAGGCAGGAGCCTGCCGGGAGCCGCCGGTGACGCACAGGACTTCACCTGAAACGCTCTGCCCGTGAAATGACCCCTGCTCTGTTCACGTCTGAGGTGGCCAGGCCCCCCAAATAACACCACACACGTGTACACATACACACACACATGCGCGCACACGAACAGGTCACATGCGTGCGACTCGGGTAGTACCCACAACCTACCATGTCGTACAGGAAGTTAGCGAACCAGTAGGCCCCGTAGCCCAGGCCACTCAGGTGCTGCAGCCTCTTGGCTCCGGTCACCCTGTCCCTGACCACGGAGCTGCCGATGGAGGCGGCCAGGACGGAGACGCCCAGCACGATGCAGAGGGCCACACCACACTGCCGGATGCTCTCCAGGCTGCGGGGACAGAGCAGCTCGTCAGGGGCCAAGAGCGGGGCCTCTGCCTGCCGGTGGGACCAGCCGTGGAAACCTTCACTCATCAGCCACCACCTTTCCAGCAGGGACACTGCTCCCACGTGTAGGGCATCACCGAGGAGGGCAAAGCTGAGGGGCTTTCCCAGGCTGCACCTCCAAGTCGGCTCCTGAGCACTGAGCCCGACCCCCAGTTACAAGGAAAGACGTCCCCGAGTGGCCACTGTGGGGCTGTGGCTTCGGCCGAGGTGGCCCTGCCAGACAGCAGCCCCCAGGGAGCGGGCAGGGGCAGCTCCAGTGGCTCCCCAGCTCCCGTGCCAGCCTCCCTCAGGGCCAGCGCAGAGCCGCCTCCACCGTCACCCAGAGATCTGTTCCTCAGCCGCCTGCCCCACGTCCGTCCAACTCACATCTTGTCCTCGTTCAGCAGGGCCCCTCCGTACGGGCGGCTGTAGAGCGTTATTCCTGCGAGAGACGGGGACGTGAGCCGGGCCTCCCCCTGGACGGGCGGCGGGAGCCCAAGGACTCCTGTGGGCTCTGCCCTGGCTGGGGCGCCCGTGCCCTGGAAGGGGAGGCCACAGCACCCTGGACACACCTGACGACAGGCCCGGTGCTGACAGGGGGACACTGCCCTCCAGCTGTGACAAGCACCCCGTGGCCTGAGTGGGCCATTTCCCTCTGGTGCCCAGGAAGTTTTCAAACATGTGACACCTGACTATCTAGTCAGGGCACTGACCTCTCTTCCCTCCAATCGTCAATTTAAAGAATGACAGTAGTCCACACAATGCGTCCAGTCGTGACCCACAAATACACAGGTCGTATAATGGAGCTGCATCTTTTTTCCTAGGTCAGAACAGAATCTATTCTTTTAAAGAGCTGCAGTGGTACTCCATGGATGGCTACAGCAGCTCAGTCAACCATTTTCCTACCGGTGGGCCCACCTGGGGGCTCACTGGGAAGCCACGTCCGCCTGGTCTAGGCCAGTGCCTTCCAGCGGCTTGAAAGTGACCCCATGCGAACGGGTGTCACTCTAACGGTTAGAGTGGTCGGCAAACTGCGGCTCAGCAAACCGCGGCTCAGCAAACCGCGGCTCGGCAAACCACGGCTCACGAGCCACATGCGGCTCTTTGGCCCCTTCAGTGTGGCTCTTCCACAAAATACCGACTTCTGCCCATGGGCCACAAAGTTTCAATCGCACTGTAGGTGCGCGCCCGCACGTGGTATTTTGTGGAAGAGCCACACTCAAGGGGCCAAAGAGCCACATGTGGCTCTCGAGCCGTGGTTTGCCGACCACAGGTATAACCTACCTCACACGCAGTTCCCTCTTAACGCCGGGGGCCTAACACTCTGGCTGCCGAGTCTTTAAACATCTCCCCTCCCCAGTCTCCACCTGTCTGCTGTCACTTCCCAGATGCCCGAGCCTGCCCGGTACCTCTCAGCACAGCCAGCCCTCCCTCCCACGCGGCTTCCAGAGGGTTCTCCCTAACGGATAAGCTGGACATGCCACTCTCGTTCCCAAACGTCAGAGCAAGCCATCCTCTGCCTGCAGGGTAAAGGTCACACTCCTCTCTGCTGGTCCAGCTCAGCTGGCCTGGCTTCAGATGGCCTTGGAGGGGTCACGGCCACCCCCCCACACACACCCTCCTGTATGACAAGGTCACACTGGCCCAGCCTATTCTGGGAATGGACGCCATGGTTCCTCTCTCACCCTGACCCCTACCCAGTGTGTGTGACCCCTCCAGGCGGGCGCCCGACAGCAGTGACCTCTGACCTCTGAGCCGGCTCAGGGACGCACCCTGGCAGAGCCAGCCCTGGCCCGAGCCTGCAGTCCTGTCTCACCAGGAAGCAGAGCGACGGGAAGACGCAGCGAGACCAGGGATGCCGAGTATCTAGTGGCCCCTCGGCTCCACACGTGCTCCACGCGGCCTCTGCCCGCTGCAGTCCTCACGCGCGCGTCCGTTCCCAGCCACCTCTCTAGCTTTTATTTTGCTACTATTATTCCAAAATACAGGGCCCCCACATAAGCAAGTCCAACGTATTTTTAAAGCGGGTGGTGAGGGAAGCCCAACATGGAGAACAGGTGAGGAGGAACGAGGTGCTGGGACGTTGGGGCGAAGGTTTCCCTTCATGTCTACGTGGCTGGCAACAGACTTGGTGAATAAACTACGTGCAGAGGGCCGGCTGGTGCTTATACGTCTTTTCTTTCTTTTTGAAAAAAAAGGAGATGAATTTGGTAAATTACAACTTTCCCCGCACCCCCCACCCCCCCAAGTGGAGCACCCGGCCTCTCCGCAGCCAGTCATGCACTCTGCGCCTGGGATGAACCGTCGCTTGCCAAAACGGGCCTGGACGTGGACCGTGACCCACACAGCCGTGACGGGCCGAGGCCCAGCCCGAGGGGTTTCGACCTCCCTTCCCGAGGTCCCGGTGATGGCAGAGGCTGCCTCAGCCCCCAGAGCCCCGGCCAGCCCGCTAGGGAGAGCTCCCCCATCACTGACCCCCAGCACAGCCCGAGGAGGGAGCCGTAGTGACCCGACACAGCAGGGCCTGCGACCACATGAGTGAGCGCGGCTGACCGCTCGCCACCTTCGGGCTCCTGTTCCGAATCCCCTGCTTCTCGCTAGTGGAGCGCGGGCGTCTGAAGGGAGAGGCGTGCAGCCTGCGCGAGGGCTCACCGTACTGTCTCCAGTCCGCGGCCGGCGGCAGCAGCCTCCACAGGAGGAGGTTGCTCAGGTGGTTCAGGTAGGAAGGGAGGGCGTGGAAGGCCTTCTGGTTGTACCACACCTGGGAGAGAAGGACAGCTGCAGCGCTCGGGGGGGGGGGGGGGGGGGCGCGTCTCCTCGCCAGTGCTTCTCAGACACGAGGACCACGCGTGTCCCTCGGCCTCGCGGGACCTAAATGCTGCCTCAGAGCGATGTCCGTGCACAGCTGACTGTGAGCGGCCAGCTCCCGTCTGCTAATTTCACATTTATCTCAGGCATATAATTCACAGCTAAAAATAGATTAATTTTCCCCAGAACAAATGTGAATGTTGCTCTATAATTGTATTCTCACAGTGAGAAAAAACCTAAACCCATCATCTTTTTTCTTTCTCGGTTGGTAAGCTAATGAAATTTGACCTGCAAATTAAAAGTGGGGAGAGTGATAAAAAAGATTACTTTCAAATTAATAACTGAACGTGGGACATGATTTCTTAAAATCAAGGGAGCTGAGCATCTGCTGAGCGTGGAGAATGGAGCCGCGCCTGCCAGAGCGGAGGACGGTGAGGGAGGGAGCAAGACGGACGACGTCATTAAAGTTGAGATCATCAGTAACTAAGAGGTGCTGACTGAGCCATCAGTATCCGTATTTCAGAATACTCATATTTAAAGAGAATTTTAAAAAACAATCTCCATGTGGAAGGCTGGCGAGTGTCTTGAAGAAGTGCATCGCCCGGGCTGGTGCACCTCAGTGGCTGAGCGTCCCGGCATCGAAAGGTCACAGTTCGATTCCCGGTCAGGCATGTGCCGGTTGCAGGCTCGATCCCCGGTGGGGGGCGTGCAGGAGGCAGCCTGTGGAAGTTTCCCTCTCACATCGATGTTTCCCTCTCCTCCCTTCCTCTCTCTCTAAAAATAAGTAAAAAACACTTTTTTAAAAAAAGAAGAAAGTACATCAACCAGCAAACTCTGGTTCTCACTCTGTCGGGACGCACCATCCCTGGACAGACCCCCGCTGCGGAGCTGGGCTGCTCCCAGAGTGCGCGTGCTCGGACCAGCTCTCAGGCCCCGAAGACCTGTCCTCCCACCTCGTCGAACTGTGCCCAACGCTTAACCGGGGTCCCGTGTGGCAACTATGATGCCCACAGAACAGCTAAGTGGTAAACGATTGTCCACGTGGTTACAACGGACACCCGTATACCCCCCTCTCTCAGACAACCACCTCATTGGCAGCTCAGGAGATGGGCCCTGTCTCCTCTAGAGGCCACGCTGCCCTCTCCCTCCTCCAGCGTTTCCAAGTGGAAGGAACACCGCTGGAGACCCAGGGCGGCGCGATGCCCTCAGCTGGCAAACGAGAGGCGGATGGCGGATGGCAGGACGGTGTGGAGACACCAAGGGGAGCTCAGATCCGTGTGTGACAGACGCAGTTCTGAAAAGCAGGGGAGCACGGACTGGCCGCCCCAAAGGAGGGGTGTCACCCCACAGGCGTGCCGGCCTCCTGCACCCACTCAGCGAGTCTCCTGCCTGCGGGATTGAGCCCAGCCCTCGCCTGCCGCCCGCATAAGCGCCAGCCTGTTTCTGGCCGTGACAGAAGCGTGGGGCTTTGTGCAAGTCGAGGGACCAAATGGAGAAAACCTCTGCCTGTGGACCCTGCACCCCCACTGGCCGCGACCTGCCTCCCCGACTGTTCAGCTGGAGAAGGCGAGGAGCAGTGGCATCTTTGTATGAGATCAGGGGACTCACATGCTTTGTTTTACATTTGTTTTAAAAGCAGGGTGACTTTTTTCATCTTAAAAACGACACCGTACAAGGGTATAAACACCGAAGTGGGGCCGTGGGGGCTGGGACACAGACATGGGGGCTGCCCCTCCCCTGCTCCATGCTCTGGGCCCTGGGGCTCCCGGCTGGACTGCACCCACAGCCCCGGCTGGCACCCTCCCCACCCACACTTCCCCGGGCGACTTTCAGGCCTCGGACTGGGCCAGCAGCGAGTGCCGCACAGGGGGAAGGGCGGGCTTCCCGAGCCCCTCGCTGCTCACAGCTGGGATGCGCACGGCGACGGAGACAGGCTCTGCTGCTGGCACGAGGGCCACTGTCACAGAAATTACACATGTGCCCAAGGCAGCCGGTAGCACTCCTGTGCCCGGCCACGGACACGCCAAGCACACAGAGGGAAAACTGGGGGCTGTAATACCTCTAACAGCAGTAACCTCACAGGCGGGCGATCGGACCATAAAGTCCAACAAGACGGCTCATGGTGGATGGTGGCTCCCAGGCAGGTGACTCCTTTCCTAACGGGCTCATCTCTGCCTCGGGCCAGCTCTGCCCACAGTTCCTGTGCACCCCGGTGAGCACACCTGTGAAACCCCCTCTTCAGGCCCTGCAGAGACAGAATCCTGTTCTCCCCGTAGCCGTCCCCGCCGGCCTCTTTCATGGATTCCAGACGCAGGAAAGAAACTGCGAACATGTCCTCTGGACGTCTGAGACCTTGCTTCCCAGCATGTTGTCAGTTTGGCTCAAATAAACTCATAAAAATTCTATGCAGGAAATTTAGAAAAATTCTCTGTAGGTTTGGACATTCTTAGATCAACAACCTCAAGACTGCAGAAGCCCCTAGTCCCACAGGTCGGTGCAGAAGACGAAGCTAAGCCCAGGGAAGAGGAGCCGCAAGGGGAGCACGGAGGCCACACCCCGTGCAGCAGAGACTGGGGGGTCCGGCTGCGGCCCAGATGCCAGCGAAGACGCACCCATGTGAACAGGAAGGTCTGTGTTAGTGCCATGAAAGGCTAAAACATTATTAGAGGAAATGAACAAAAGTGTTGCCTGCTGAAGGAGGGACCGCTGAGCAGTCTACACAGCAACGTAATGTTTCATCAGGGATCGCATGTGCAGGTGAGTGAGGCCCTGCATCAGGGTTCGCGTGTGCAGGTGAGTGAGGCCACATCAGGGATCGCGTGTGCAGGTGAGTGAGGCCGCATCGGGGATCGCGTGTGCAGGTGAGTGAGGCCGCATCGGGGATCGTGTGTGCAGGTGAGTGAGGCCCTGCATCAGGGTTCGCGTGTGCAGGTGAGTGAGGCCCTGCATCAGGGTTCGTGTGTGCAGGTGAGTGAGGCCGCATCGGGGATCGCGTGTGCAGGTGAGTGAGGCCCTGCATCAGGGTTCGTGTGTGCAGGTGAGTGAGGCCGCATCGGGGATCGCGTGTGCAGGTGAGTGAGGCCGCATCGGGGATCGCGTGTGCAGGTGAGTGAGGCCCTGTGGCCTCCCTGTGACCGTCCTGTTGGGACTCAGCACCCGAGTTCCCGCTGGTGGGAGGCCTGTCCTCCCCGTCCTCCTCCCCTCACCTGAGGAGCCCTCTGCACACTCGCGGGGCACAGGAAAGTCCTGCCGAGCCCCTGCGTCTGTGTGGTCTCTGGGCCCCGCCTCCGGACTCTGGAGGGGGAAGGCTAGTGCGCAGGACGTCCCGCCACCAGGGGCCCCAGGGGCGCTTCCAGTTGTCCTGCCCCAGGCGCCTTCCCATGTGCTTCAGGTCTACTGGGTGGGTCTGGTCTTAACCAACAGAGGCCGTGTGCTCCGTGGCTACAGGAAAAGGACCTCGCTCGGGGCCGTTGAACTATTTTGATTCCACAGGAACACACGCTGGGATTGGCCTGGTTCCTCCTGAGCCCACGAATATACCTGGGTCTCAGGTGTATGATATCCTAAATGCCTCCCAACAGGAAAAACAAACAACAAGAACTATTACCTTTGCCAGGTTTTCTGGTTTTGACAGGTTTGAGTTCGCATCTTGAGCAGGATCCGGGCCTCGCCCTCCGAAAGACCAGCCCCCGAGCCTGGGGACAGGGAGCACGGTCAGGGCTTTGCCGAGGGCGTGCAGGGCCCCCCGCAGGCGCTCGTCCTGACCGTGCTCATCTTAATGGCCCTGGAAGAGCAGCTGGCTGAGCATCCGCCCCGGTGACATGGCCACAAAGATGGGTCAGCAGCAGAAGGAACGGCAGCTCGCAAGGCCGGGGCAGGGAGCTGCTCAGACAGGAGGCCTGCAGGGGGCTCCGCCGTGGCTGCTGGAGCTCACCGCCTGGGAGGAACTAGGCGCCACGGACAGGATGGCCGCGATGGCCACACTCTAATCGCCACTCAGGCTCCTTTCTCTGCAGACCAGCGGCTCCGAGCCCCGTGCTCCCTGCTCTGTGCTCCCGCTCCCTCGGTGGGGTGCAATCTGCCTTGCTCTGTGCGGCGGGGCTGGGGCTGTGGTGTGATTTAAAACCACGAGAGGCACTCTGCCTGCTCCCCTGCCCTGGCTGGCCACTGAGGCCCAGGGAATCCACACACGGCAGCTCTCCCTGCAGCCCACGCGGAGCTGGGACACACGGCCCGAGGGGCGCTGAGAGCAGAGGGTTTGAGGGGCATCGCTCACGAGCGGCTCCCACCTGCTCCCCCTCTGGCGGTGATGTGACCAGGGGATGCCCAGGGCATGTCAGTGGTCGGGGCCTTTTACCCCAAAGCGTTTGCGAGACGTCCCGTCCTAAGGACACTGCGTTTGGAGCAGCCGGCCCTGCCCAGCGCTCCCGGCTCCGCACCCACCTGGGGCTCTCCCCGGGCGCCAGCAGGTACTCCTCCGGGCGGAGGGCCGACAGGTTCAGCAGCGTGTGGCCTCGGAGGTCGGTCAGGGCGGGGGCCCGGGCACTGGCATTGTGGCAGCTCTGCAGGTGCTGGCAGGGAGATAGAACGGAAACGTGTTTTTAACCCACACAAGCGGGTGGGCTGACGTTCTAAGCAAGGCATCGCTGCAGCATCATTCCTACTGGCGTCTACGCTGATTTCTCAAACTTCCTCTGGGGGCGCCCCCATCTGCATGACACAGACCCGCCGGATGGGGCGCCGGTCACACTGGGAACTGGGGGTGCTTTTCGGTGTGAGATAGGCAGGTGGGTGAGCACGCGGCAGGGAAGTGCCTCCTCGCCCGTGACCTGGAGGAGCCCAGACGCAGGGGCGGGAAGTCGGGAGAGCGAAGGGTGAATTCGGGGCTTCTTCCCGAAGGGCCTCAAGCAGGAGCCTAACCGCTCCTCTCAGGTGACTCACACACTCAGAATCATGGACTCACCGCCCAGCGGGGGGAGGCCCTGCCTGCCGCCTCGGACCTGGGCCCCGTGCTCCTCCCATCTCTCAGGACATCCAGGGAAGGTCACGCCTCGGACCCGGGCCCCGTGCTCCTCCCATCTCTCGGGACGTGTAGGGAAGGTCACGCATGAGGACTGTCACGAGTCCGGACAGGACACTGGCTTGCGCATCGGCTTCCGAAGCTGATTCTCCTCCTTTTCGTAACCGGGGTCCCACGTTAGCTGCCCACTGTGGCTGAGAGGCCGACGCCTGCATTAACTGCCCACTGAGTTTTCCTTTGAGATGAATTCCAATCAGTTCTCCAAGTGGATCCCGACCTGCGCTCCTTGCAGACGGGGCAGCCAGGCCTCTGCCTGGAATCGATGCCAGCACCTCCGCTCAGCAGGCATCAGCCGTCGTCAGGAGGCGGATGGCATCTTCGCGTTCACCCCCGTCCTCAGAACTCATGTAAAGAACATGGGGCAGGAGCCCAGGCATCCTGCCGGGATGTGGGGAGATTCTCCCCCAGGCGAGTCCAGCTTCCCGGCGTCAGCTGAAGCGTAAACGAGGGGCCGCCGTGGAACCCACGTAACGTCCGTAACGTCCGAGGGTATGAACGCTCACTTTGTGGGATGGACCTTCCCAAGGGGCAGCTCCCCACGTCAACCGAAGCCCCCAGGCTCAGAGTTAACAGAAACGGAGGTTTTAAAAGTGAAGTAAACATTGTTACTTGAGGTTTAGACTTTTTTAAAAAACCAGAATGCCACTGACACCTACCAGGCAGCCACAGGAACCCGGGGCTTCTGGGTGAGACGCGGGCTCCGGGTGCCAACAGGAGGCGTTCGTCCTGCGGAAACAACAGGACCGAGTGAGGCTCGGGCTGTACACCGGCTTCTGGGCGAGTCCCATCGACAGGCACATCGCTGGCTGCGAGCCCGCCCCCGCGTGCCCCCATGCGCCCCCACGCTGATGTTGGCCTGAGGACAGGGTTTCCAGACTCGGGTCGAGTCCTGGTCTCAAACCCCAGCACCTTCAGCAGCAGCACAGGAGGCCACGTGCATGGTGAACCGCGCTGTCCACCCGACAGACACGCACTTGGCCGTCGTTCACAGAGGAACCGACTGCTCCACTTCTGCCTGGAGAAGGCTGCACACAGGACTGTTAGGAAACAACTGGCAGCCACAGCTCAAACCCCTGTTTATTCCGAAGTCCCCCGAGCTCTTTCCTCGAAGGCCTCGTGCTGTGAGTTTATGAATGTAAGTCAAACGTTGCTTTAGTGAGAATATTCCTATTTACTCAGGGATTGGGAAGGAAGGGAGGCAGCTGACTGGACGGACCCTGGGGCAGGAGCGCTGGGGCCTGGCGGTGAGGCGACTCCTCCAGCCTCCGCTGCGGGCCGGGCCGGGAGCTCAGCGGCCTCTGCGCGGGCAGAGCACAGAGCACCGAGGGACACGCGTCCGCCCGGTGAAAAGAAACCCGTGTTCCTGTTACCCGGTGGGCAGAGTGCAATTCCACCTCATTTTCTAAAGTATAAAAACTGACCTCAAGCCTCCCCAGTCCTGCTTCTGGGCACAGGCGGAGACCACGACTCTCGTCGGACTGCGATCCGACCCTGACTCCTTTCGCTTCTCCCGCTCAGCAGGCTGCCCGCGCTCTGCATGCCTCCCATGACTGCTAGCGAGTGTTCGGAACAGCGAATTCTTCCAAAACAGTCTGTTTGTTCCAACACCCCCCCCCCCCCCCCGCTCTCCTCCCTTGCTCCCTCTTAGACAGCACACAGGGCCGCCTGGGACTGGGGGTCCCACCGGGAGGCCCTCCTGTGGCTGCGGTGGAGTCCGCACAGAGAGCGACGCCCTCCCCACGCAGCCTTAGGAGTTCAACAGGAACATGGACTGGCTAACTCCCACTTTCAATTTACAGATAAAGACCAGCGAGAACGGGTGGGAAAGGGACCATTTTACCTCCGAAATCGTGAGGGAATCGTCCCGAGTGCCAGCGGGTTGCTACCTTATAAAATGAATCTAGACATAAACCTGCCGCCTGTTTCTAAGTTAGCAATGCCGGCACATCTCAGACTTCACACCCCTTAGGAGAACAACGCGACAGCTCAGTCTCAACGGGCAGGCGCTCTGCAGGCCTGACCGCTCAGAGCTCAGCAGAGAGGCCGCCGAGCACGCAGGTGTGACCAGCACCGGGCGGCCTCCTCTCAGGGAACCGGGCGGTAGCTGGGCCCGCCAGGAAGGGAGCGCGTAGGAATCACGGGACTCAGCCACACGTTATACCCAGAGAAGCCAAGGCCCTTGTTTTAAGTCAAAGCCTTTGCTTCGGTCTCAGACCTCAGCTGTTTGTGCGGTATGGACGGCAACTGCTGTTCACGGGGTGCGCCCAGCACCCCTGCATGAGGCAGCCCGCAGCCCAGCCTTTGCCCAAGGAAAGGGGTAGAAATGGAGACAAAATAGGAGTGAGGAACAGGCTACCTGGGTTTTACAGGTAAAGGAAGGAGGGCAGGGGAAAGGCAGAGCGTGGCCTGCAGGCTGGGCTGGCGAGTTTGGGGACCAGGGCCTTGCCTGGCCAAGAACCTAAAGGTGAAATTGCTGTTTGCACAGAACGTGGAAAGCGTCCTGCTGCCCTTGGCACTGGCTCTATGCCTTCTCCCTCGAGAGGCCAGATAAGGAACCGCCTCCCCCCCCCGCCCCATGCCCTTCTCTGTGGCCCAGACCACGAGTTCCTCCTCGCAGATGATTTCACGTCCTGCTCAGTTCAGTCGCAGAGAATGAAAGCCTCACAGAGCAGCTTTATTTAGTTAAAGCAATTACTTTGTTTTCAGAAGAAAAGTAAAGGAAAACAACATAATTAATTTTCTATTAATCCCCCTGCCGAGACCATTACCAGCCCTTCAGTCTGGAGCTAATGGCCGCCATGACTAATGGGCAGAAGTGTCCCCATCAATTAGAAAAAGAGATTCCCAACATGGCATTACTGTCTGCATTTTATATTTATCACTTGGAAACACGCACTGCTGTCCTTAATACATCATCATGGTTTTCATCTCTTCCCCGTTTGCTCTGCCCAGAGCGCTAACGCCTGAGTCCAGGCCGTGCCCACACCTGCCCGGTTCCGCCACATGGAGCTCCTCAGTAAGTAGCAGCCAGGCCCGCGAGGGGGGCTCAGCGAGAAAGCGGGCTCGGGCCATGCTCGCTGAAGGCCAGGCCTCTAGGATCCCTTCACGTCAATTGGCTCCCAACCCAAAGTCACTAAGTCCCTCAGTTAAAGAAGAATTAGAGCGAATTGTTTCACACACACACACGTTTCCCTAAAAGTAAATGGCAGGCCTAGTTAACTGCGACTTCATGTTTTAGCGCTGGGTTCCTCACAGACACGGGATGCTGGGAATTACTGATACTCACAGGCCTGGGGCGAGGCTGGCACAGAGCTGCTCCCCGTCTCCGAACTCGCGCAGAAGCACGCGGGCCAGGTCCATGCCATCGCTGTCACTGCTGTCGGGAGACACAGGGCAGGGGGAGGTGGGTGCAGAGCTGTCAGACGGAGGCCACAGGCAGGTCTGACCTCACTGCCTGCGCTGGGCTGGCCACAGGCACGGTTCCGCAGCTCAGAGCCAGCGGCTGGTTCGGTTTCCATGGTAAAACCGAGCCAGGAAGGAGGGAAGAAGTTTCTCCCACTGACCAGTTTGCCACCACAGGCCCATGTGTGCCCAGCCGCCTCAGGGTGTGCTCTCTTCCCCTCTTTTCGCTTAATGTGGCGCTACCATCTGTGGCGTTCTTACACGGATTTAAAATGAGTTTCAGAGGCCGCGTGTATTACACGGTGTCACGACGTTCACGTCTCCGCCAACGTTCTGTGCTGCTGGAGCTCCGGCGGGCGGAGCCGGCGCCCTGGCAGGCCTGCAGGGAAACCCCGTGCCTGTGCCGCCGCCGCATGTGTGCTCTCTCTCGAACCCCTGCTCCCAGGAAGGCCCGGCGCAGAAGCCTGGGCGCGGCCGGCACACACAGGTCTCCTGGGCCGTCGGCAGCCGAGGGCCCCCGAGGAGAACCAGGCCGCCCACCGTTCCCTCCTGGAGGAACCCCAGCGGAAGACGGGTGGTCCTAGTCTGGGGGGAGGGTGGAAACAAACTCCACTGAAACTGTACCCACCCACGGCAGGAACGGCGGATGTGGGAGAATGTGGAGGAAACGACACTGCAGCCGCTGCACGCTGGCCTGACGGGCAGTCGGGCTCACTGCAGTTACTGAAAATTCTGGAGGACAGTCTCACAGACACAGATTTGTGACTGCCTAAGACAGGGGTCCTCAAACTACGGCCCGCGGGCCACATGCAAATACAAATATTGTATTTGTTCCCGTTTTTTTACTTCAAAATAAGATCTGTGCAGTGTGCATAGGAAGTTGTTCATAGTTTTTTTTTAAACATTAGTCCGGCCCTCCAACGGTCTGAGGGACAGTGAACTGGCCCCCTGTTTAAAAAGTGTGAGGACCCCTGGCCTAAGACTTACATCACGCCTGTCATCACATGCTTTCAGGTGCGTGCCGTGGGAACATGCATCCCAAAAGCAAAGACGAGTGGGCGCTCTGAGCACGAAGGTGACTAACGCAGATACCTCCTCTTCCGGGCAAGGACGTGCAGCAGGAGCCCCTCCTGGAGCACCGAGCCCGCAGCCTCCTCAGCCCCCGCTGTTTCTACTTGGTCTCCTGGGTCGTGGACAGTGGCCATCTGACTGACTCCCAAATATCTTTCTGGACGGTCACCAGCTTTCAAGCAAGGGACGTCCGAGCCGTCAGGCTTACTGTCCCATCCCGAAAGCAATCCCGCCCCGAATGAGAGGTGACGTCATGTTTGTGCCGGTCGCCCTCTACTCGGTGGGGATTTGACGAGATTCCTAATCCCCTAGTCCCTTCTCTGAGCCTCTACAAGACCCATCTGGCATTTTTTATCTCGCAAGTTACCAATGGCTCCCTGCTGCCGATGGGGGAGCCTTGAAACAGTGTTTGAATCCCTCTGCACTCTCAGACCTGCGCATCTTGGGACGAACACCCTCTCCTGGGAGCCACACCCAGCCCAGCCCGGCAGAAGCACCCAGGTGCAGCTTCCTCAGAGGGGCACCCCCTTTCCTGCTACTGGTTGGAAACCACCCCCAGCCGGTAAGTTCCTTCCCGTGAGCCCCCCTGTGCTCAGGGACCCTGCCGGCATCTCCATGGGTGTCAAGTCTGGCTTCTCGGTCTCTTTCCTGGAACCCCTGCTCCAGGAGGGAAGGACAGTGGCTGGAGCACAGCATGTTCTCCAGAGGCGCCTGGTGAAAGCTGCGAGGTCACTGCTGCCTGTCCTTCGCCTCTGCTCCTTAGTCACTCCCTGGAACCGCTCTGCCCTGGCCTCGTCTTTCGAGGGAACAACGGCAACAGAGAGGACGCGCTCATCACACCGGGTCTGTCCTGCTGAGCAGTAGCCACGCACCCACCGCTGCAGCCCAGACCCCAGGAGGATGTCACAGAAAACACCATCTTCTCACGGACTCAGCACCCATCGTAGCTGCTCAGGCGCTGGTGACAATGAGGGAAGAAAACCTCCTTTAACGTGGAGTGGGGCCCTCAGGGACATAGCCCCAGGGAAGAGACTGCTTTGTAGTCCAACCACCCCACAGGGGGAGGAAGGTTTTCTCCTTGCCCGGCAACTAGCTCAGCCAATGGGACGCCATCGCGCTTCCCTGGGACTTGCATTCACAGCGCCCTCCCACTTCCTCCTCTGTCTCTAATGCTCTTTCTCCTCTTGGCTTACCTTGCCTAGTTTTGCTACAGCGTCCTCATCCCAGACTGCAGTTCTCTGCTGTTTCCGAATAAACCACTTTTGCTGGTAAAAGTAACTGGGTTTTTTACTGTTAAGTCAACATGGTTTATGACTGGCCTAATATGACTCCCACGGCTACAGCCAGAAACGCTCCTGATGGAAACGCTGACGTTTACAGCGAAGTTACGTCCCGTAAGCGGGCAGTGTGACCCCTGCACCACAGCCCTCACGTTCCTGACAAATGAGAAAACACTCCACAATGAGACACATTTCCCACCGAAATGTCGCTCATAAAAGGAAAACGCTCCTGTGACATCTGTGAAAATGCTCAGATCGCCCTCTTTCGACCTATTAATCTAAGAACAAACACAAAAGTTTAACATGCTTTTTCTGGGGGAAAAAATATCGACCCATAAAGTGGTTTCCTTGGAATAATTACTAAGAGCAAGATTTACAGTTATGGTTTACTTTTTGCTATTTTGTTGCTTCGGTCTAGAGGTCACTGTTTGAAAAAACAAACCAACTGGCTTTCGCTTGTCCTGGTGCCATAAAACTCAAAGGCTCGCTCCTCCACGACTGCTCCGTGGTGCCCGGGAACAGGGCTACTTCAGGTGCTGCAGGGGGGACCCTGCCCTCCCACCAGGATGGAAACCAGCGCTTCCTTGTGGCTCCTGAGGCGGCTCTGAGTGGGTCCCGTGCTCTCCCCACAACAGCACTTCCGAGGTGCCACGTCCACGCGACCCCGCAGCCTGCTGCACAGAGTGTGGCCGGCACACCACCCTGAGGGCCTGTGTCCTTGTCTGCCCCGCCCCCCATGACTCTGCTGCAGATGGAGCTCAAATAGCAGGAGGGCGAGGGTGGGAGGGGGGATGGGGGGGCCTCAGGCAGGAGAGTAGCTCCCCTCTGAGGTGCCTGGGCTGATGAGCAGCTGCAGGGCCTGGCTCCTGGGAGTCACTGCCCCTTCCCCATTGTCCGGCAGCACAGGAATGCGGCCTAAAGCCCAGCTGCAGAGCCGGGGCTGGGGACCAGGAAGCGCCCCCAGTCTGCACCCCAGGAGTGGAGGACAAGCGGCCCGCAGCGAGACGCCCTCCTGCGCCCCAGCCGGGAGAGCGCAGAGGAAGGAGGAGCGGAGGGTGGTGACCTCCATGCCAGAGACCTGGCTCCGGTGCCTGCTGGAGGCCGTGGGCTGGAGGGGCCGGGCCGTGGCATGTCAGCCAGGGGCACTCACGGAGGGGCTTGGTGCCTGGGGAGCTGCAGGTGCCCCGAGACACGAGCTTGGAGGCCAGGCTGCCTCGTTCACCCTGAACGGGGCCTGGAGAGCGGACCCTCCTGCTAGGACTCCATGTAGGAAACACGCGGTCCCGGAGCTGCTGCTGTGCCCTCTGTCCCCACGGAGCTCGGGAGTGAGGGCCTCCCCGAAAGAGCGGGTCTCTTACCTGAAGAAGGAAGTCTCGGCTTTCCCGTCGCGGCCAGGCGTGAGCTGGAGGGCAGGGTAGTCGGTGGCCAGAGGCTTCACCATGAACAGGCCCATCGCCAAGGCCATGAAGAGGACGGGCAGCAGCAGGTCACAGAGCGCACCCCGCCAGGCCCGGCGCGTGCGGCACAGCCGCTGGGTCAGCAGGGCAGCCACCTGCGTGAGGGTGCTGGCAGGGGCACCGTCTGTGGACAAGAACACAGGCCCAAGTCACCTTGGGCCCCACAGCCCCGGCTCTGTGACCCCTTACCTGGGGCCTCGGCTCTGTGACCCCTCACCTGGGGCCCAGGCTGTGTCCCTTCCCCTGGGAGGCCCGGGCCCCAGGTAAACCGGGCAGCTCTGAGCACAGACGACCCCTCACTGAATGAGAGCTCTGGAAAAATCTACAGGACGGGTCACCTCAGGACATCAATGGCAATGACAAGCTGCACCTTCTCAGACGTGTGCAGCAGGTAAGGGCTGATGTGGAAGGTTTTGTCTGGGCTGCAGGTGGTACAGAAAGAGAGGAGACAAACCACTGGGTGTGGATTCCACTCGGGAAACGTGCCTGGTGGTAGAAGGCAGGAGCAGAGGCAGAGGGTGGCCAGGGGTGCCCATGGCCTGGCCCGGAGACTCACTGGGGCTGGGGAACTCTCCGCCACACAGGCTGTGTGACTTCTGGAAAATGACCTACCCTCTCTGAATGTCGCTTCCCTCAGCCTTAAAATGAAGACTTGGGACCTCTTCCCTCTAAGTGAGGAGGATTGTTATTGCCACACTCACTAAGCTGCAGAACAGAGACAACATCGGCCTCAGTCACAGTAAGTGCTCACCACATCAGCTCAGTAAGACGGGGGGAAAGGCTTTGCTCATATTAAGAAAAACGAATTTCCCCACCTCCCCCCATATGCTAATGGGAAAAGTAAAAGGCCAAGATAGTTCATGGCCATGAATCAACCACCAATCAAATATTCATGGCTAAACTCATAAAAGCATTTGCATGAATAATTTAACAGACAGAATTAAATGCTGACCCAAACTGTTGGGAGTGGTCGTGTCTGACTTATGAGTACAACTACGGAATGCCAAGCGAGACACAACTTAAAGTGACTAATGAATAGCCAAGCGACCGCATGCACGGACACGCAGCTCACAGGCAGCCCACAAGAGGGCCACACCGATGACTGCGAGGTGGAGCAGCAGGAAGATCGTCAGCGCACCAATACGGCCAAGAGCGCGGGGCGCACACCCTAATGGAGGGGGCGCGGGAGCCCTGGCCTGCTCTGCAGGGCCGGGGGCAGGCGCAGTCTGGCTGCAGGAACCCAGTAGGGTCTGGTGAAATGCATCAAGGATGTCAAAGAAGGAGCTGTTGCGTCCCAGAGGAAACAGTCGCCAGGAGTGGGGAACACCCGCACTGCCCGCGCGTGGGGCTGACGGAACAGGTCGCAGGACCTGCGCGAGCTGAGCAGCCTCCGGGAAGCAGCACGGCACCCACGCGGGGCGCGCTCACTGCGTGTCATGAGGTGAATAGAGCACGTCAAGAGGATGATGTCATCTTTTCAAAAGAAATGTCTAAGAGTCGGTGAAATGAGCAGTGGAGGAAATATGAGCCCCAAAAAGGAGAGGATGAGAATGTGAATCTGTAAGTACAGGAAAGACACCAGATGAACAGAGTGTATCGCAGAGCAGCACACAGGATAAACATAACTCACAGGACACGCCGGGGCGTGTGTACGCCCATGAAATAGGGTGTCTTTCAGGAAACCATTTCCACACACTGTGCTCCCTGACTGAGTGCGTGTTTGTATTCGAAAGCTAAAGCAGCACATGCATTTTCAATCGACTTAAATGTTTACATTTTTATGTGGTAAGAACATGGCTACTTTACATTTTTTCTTCAAAATATTCTGGATTTTTTCCACAATGAGTATTTGGGCATCTTGTAATCAATAAGCATTTTGTAAACGCTGTGTACTTATTCCGAAAATGAAGCCAATTTCATGAAATAGAAACTTAATCATTCTGTGTTCACTGAGTTGCAGAATTTGAGAGTTGAAACGAACCTTAAAATTGATGTGATTAATCTGTCTCATTTGTAAATGCACCCCGTTCAGCAGAGGCTGTGAGACGAGTTCGACTTGGGGAACAAAGCCTAGTGCTCACTGCACGTAGCACTGGCTGGGCCCTAGGTCACGGCCCTCTCTGAACAACATCCTGGTCAGATAAAGAGCTGCACCACCGACAAGAAAAAGCTAAAGGAGTTCATCACCCCCAAACCAGTGTTACATGAAATCCTGAAGGGTGTTCTCTAAGAAGAGGAAGAAGAAAGATAAAATTTTAAAGATAAAAAATTATGAACAACAAAGTGACAACAAATATATATCAACAGGTGAATCTAAAAATCAAATGAATAAAAAATCTGATGAACAGAACAAACTGGTGAATGTAATAGAATCAGGGGCATGGAAGGGGAGCGGACCGACAATTCTCGGGGGGGAGGGGTGTGGGGGGTGCGGGAAGAGACTGGACAAAGAGTTTACACCTATGGACGAGGTCAGTGCGGGGGGCGAGGGCTTGGGGGGGGACCCGGATGGAGGGGAGCTATGGGGGGAAAAAGAGGAGCATCTATAATAATCTCAACAATAAAGATTTTAAAAAAACATCCTCAGGGCTCTTGGTCGTGTGAGGGAGTCAGGCCCTGACAAAGCCTGTCAGTGACCCAGCGGAGCCTGAGGGGGCCCCGGGCCCGGAGTCCAGCACAGTTGGCTGCTGACAGGGGGGGAGTGGCTTGAAGAAGTGAGCAGGGCAGGGCTGCTCAGAGGGAGCAGGGAAGAGGGAGTGGGGGAGGGAATGGGGCTCGGGTTGGAGGGCCACAGCCCGCTGGGGTGCCTGCTGCCCTGACCCAGGACCAGAGCCGCCTGCCACCACCTGGCGCACTCTGGCAGCTCTGGTCTGGGCGGCTGCCAGGGCTCATGCCTCTCACCTCCCCGACCCCCACAGCCCCTAACAGGACCTGCTGCATCCGACCTGCCCAGCATCTGTCTGCCCGAGTCCATCTCAGTTCCATGTTCATCTGGGCAGACTGCTTTCTGCAAAGCGCCCGCCACCAGCTCCACGGGGCTTTCGCTAACGTGGGAAACAGGCCTTCCCTGGCCTGTACCACAGGCAGCAGCCACGCTCCCCACCCCCCACCCGCCGGCTTGCAGGGAAGGCAGTGCCCCACGTTCGAGGAAATGTGGACAGAGGAAAGACAGCCCTGGGGGTTAGCAGCACGGCTAGCCCAGGAGACACAGAGAACCTGAAACAGCTCGTTCAGGGGGCAGAGGATGATGCCTCGCCGCGCAGGGTGGGCTGTGCAAACACAATCCTTAACAAGCCAACGAGAGAGGCTACAGGCCCTCCGCTAACCAGTGTGGACACTGCTCTCCATCGGCACAAGAAGCAGCAATGAGGAATGGAGCACCGGGGATGAAACTGTGGAGAAAACAGGTTACGGTGGTAGGTGGAGTGTTCCTGACAAACCAGAGAGCTGAGAATGTCAACGCAGTCTCAGACCTCGTGCGGGAGAGGGGAGGCTTCTGAAAAACCGTGGAGAAGCCTTAAAGGGGAAACCACGTTTCCCAGCTCCTCCCTGCACTGGAGGATCTGGGGTCCTTCCCACACGCTGAGCGTGGCGACGCTCACAGCCTCTCAGGGACCCCGGCCCGCGCACAGGAAAGCGGCGCTTCTCCAACAGACGTGGACGTCGGAGTCCTCAGAACCCAGCGAGCGGAAGTTGGGCCTAAGCGCCTGCCCACCTATGAGCACCCGGTTGTCCGTGACGGCCGTGCCCACGGGGGCACGGTCACCACGTGGCTCCCGCTGCAGGCCTGGACGCGCGGGAGGCTGAGCACCTTTCCTGCCCCTGGTGGCCGTCTCTACGTCTTCTTTTGAGAAATGTCTGTTCAGGTCCTTTGCCAATTTTTAATCTGGTTATTGGAGAGGTTGCCGTTTCACTCGGTCATTTCCTTTGCTGTGCACCAGCTTTGGGGGGGTGGGGGGGGTGGAGAAAAGCGGATGTGAATGGGTGTGGCCGCTGTGGAAGGCACTGTGGAAGTTCTTGAAAATATTAAAAAGAGAACGGCCGCCCGGCCAGAGTGACTCAGGAACAGAGCGTCGGCCTATGAACCAGGAAGTCACATTGATTCCCAGTCAGGGCACAGGCCCAGGTTCTGGGCTGGATCCCCAGTGGGACGCATGGAGGAGGCAGCCGATCCATGATTCTCTCTCATCACTGATGTTTCTATCCCTCTCTCCCTCCCCCTTCCCCTCTGAAATCAACACAAATATATTTTTAAAAAGAGAACTGCCATATGACCCGTTGGGCCCGTTCCTGGGTGTTTATCCGAAAGAATCCGAATCAGGATCTTACAGAGAGGCATGCCGCTGAGCCGTGGGAACCACCCACGTGTCCACCGAGGGCAACGGACACAGAGTGTGCCCTGTTGGTACCACGGCCATCGCTCAGGGGTGACCCTTGTGACGCGTGGATGGCCGCCGGGCACTGTATAAGCCGGACACAGAGACCAATCCTGCCTGAGGCCCCCTCGCAGAGGCACCTAAACTACCTCAACTCGCAGTCCTGAGCAGGGAAGGGCGACTGCGGGGCAGGGAGGGGAAAGCCCTGAGCTTCCTGCTGGGAACCTCTCCATCCCGTCCAGCCACACCTGGCCCTGCCTTCAGTCTCTCTCTGTTCAACTTCAAAGCCAGGGCTTTGCTGGGGACGAGGCACTTCCCTCCAGGAAGCCCATGCAGATGCTCTGTACTCACAGTGGGAGCTGGGAGTGGGCGCTGGAGGCCTCGGGCTCTGCGCCTCCAACGCTGTCCCTGGGGCCAGGTCAGGCTGCTCGCTGGGATCTTGCAGAAGCATCAGAAACACCTATTTGAGAATGAAGAGAGCTCCGTGTTAGATATGCTCCTTGCACACTGCACTGTTTATTGGCCTTAGTTACCCAACTGGGTCCTAACGAAGATACACACCAAGCACCCTGACTCCCGTCTTCATTCCTTTCGTTGGTGTGACCCCAAGGCCACAGCTCGGGGCAGGCTGGCTGAGAGGCGGCTCCCAGGCCGCGAAGGGAGTGGCCTGACCGAGACCCTTACACTCGGCAGACTGGGCAGACCAGCAGGCGCAGGCGGCAAAGCCATGCCCACAGCACCCAACCCCGTCCCAGTGCCGACCCACGGTGCCTGCAGCTGGGAGGCCCCTGACGCTCTCAGCTTCCTCCGCGGGGACTGGGTGTCTGTGTGCACATCCCTGAGGAGGTCCCTGTGAGGGAAGGGCCTGAGGTCTCTGCTCGGTGCTGGGAGCACAAGTCCCACCTCCGTCTGGTTGAATCCAAGCCCCAGGCCCCCACCCTGTGGTACTCAATGGGCAAAGTCTGCCCAGGAGTTCTTTGTTCGCAGAACATAAACCACAACATCAGGCCTTGTTGCCCCTGGCTCCGATCTTTGTCATTTGGGACCGAAGCTCCACCCCGCGTGCAGGTGGGGGGTCTGAGCTCATGCTCCCCATCTGGCACCAGATCCTTCCTGAGACACAGGGGCCCGCTGAGCAGAGTGGGTGGGCAAGCAGAGACGCCCACCTCACAGCCGCCAGCCTGTGATCCTAAACCCTCCAGAGCCACGGAGGACACACCCCTGTGCTGGTCACGGGAGCTGTGCTGTGGGGGCGGGCACGTGGGCCATGTCTGCATCTTCCGCGCAATATCGCTGCGAACCCAAAACTGCTCCAAAAATGGGTCTATTAACAAATCCACCACTGACACCGGTCTGACTGCACTGCGTCAGCAGAACCCGTGGCTTCAGGGGCTGTGCGGGCGCCACCCTGTACCATGGAGCCCTCAGCACCCTGGCCCAGCCCCACACCCGGCAAACACAGGTCCTCGCAGGAGAAAGAACGTGTCCATTTTGTAATGAAACTGGTGACAGCAGTGGTCAGGTTTCACACTTAACCTCGCTGGCTGGGGGTCTACGTGGGGACCATGTTTACGAGCAACGCCCTGCGGTTTAGAGCGAGACCTGCTCCCCAGCGCAGAGTCGGGTGTGACTGTGACCCCCTCCCCGCAGCGTCCTGGGCAGGACCGCCGATTAGCAGCAAGCAGGCACGTGTGATCGCGTGGTCGATAGCAGGCAGGAGACAGGAAAGTCAATACTTGGCGAGTGTGAGAAGTCGAGATTGGCTGGGCGGCTGTTTTATAGACTACACCACACAAAGGAAAGCTCTCCAAGTGCTTAATCTTTTTCCAATTTAAGATCTTTCCCAAACAGGTCCAGATGTGCCATCATGTTGTATTTTGTTAAATGCGGTTTGTATCCTTTGCTTATGGCTGTCCTTCACACAGATAACTTCTTTTTTAGCATCTGTATGTGGGAGAGACAGAATCTGATCAACTGGTATTTATTAGCACCTCTTATGTGCAAGGCACGAGCTCAGCGTAGCAGTGGCAATCACCACGGGCGGGAGCAGGGAGCCTCTCCCAGGGAACCGGGCGCGGGCTCTGGGGCTGGCTGTCGGGCTTCTTGGTGACTAACTGCAGGCGTGAGCGGGGCCTGGGGAGCATGCGCAGAGGCAAGCTGCGGGAAGAACTGCGCTTTAGGGCGGGAGCATGGCGCCCCTCCACTGTGTGTGACTCCCTGACCCCACGCATTTGTCAGAACTGAGGGGAGTGGATCTGGCCATGTGCAACTTCATAAATAACCAAACATTTTAAAAACAGCAGCAAAGAGGAAGAAGATTAAGACATTTCCAAAAGGAACATGGATGGGCAAAGTATGAATCAAAATATTTTGGAGCCCAGCTGGTGTAGGAACGATTTCCCAACAGGGCACATGCTCAGGTTGTGGGCTCGATCCCCAGTGAGGGGCGTGCAGGAGGCGGTCGATCCATGATTCTCTCTCATTATTGATGTTTCTATCTCTCTCCTTCTCCCTTCCTCTCTGAAATCAATAAAAATGTTTAAACATTTTTTTAATATTTTGGAGAACAAAAATGAGTAGTAAGCAGAAAAGCAATATTGAAGGAACACAGCATCACCAGGGTTTTCAGAAGCGACGCGGAGACAAAAACACCTCCCACATGGAGCGCCCGCACAGGCTCTGACAGAACTCGGGTGGCAGATGCCCAGGGCCGGCGTGCCAGGTGTGGCGGCAGGAAGGGGGACACTGAGAAGCCCTCACTGGGCGACACCCCTCTGTGCAGCCTGTGCTCAGCGCTGCTGCCACGTTATCTGAGGCGCAAGCACTGCGTGAACGCTGGGGCTCTGGCACCCTAAGCGCTGCGGGACTTTAGTTCTCGTGGTTCCTCAAGCTCCTGACACGGCTTCGAGTCCAGGAGCCACCACCCACCACCCGCCGTGTCTGCGCTGCGTCCGGGCACCGCAGGGACGGGCAAGCCTCCCACCTCCGGCTTTCATCTCAGCACTGACTGCTGCTTTCACCCCTCAGGGCCTTCTGTAGGTTTGAGCAATGTAAAGTGAGACTCGAATCGGGCCCCACAGGCAGCCCAGCCCCACACCAGCCGGCCTGCGGTCGGGGACGGCCCGGGGGGACCTGGTCTGACCCGCCAGCTGTGTGAGCCACACACGCCGACGGCAGTCCCGGCAGAGGCCGGCGGGGTCAGCGTGCGCACCTGCTGGCGCTTGGTTTCTGCTCGGCTTTCTGCCCAGCAAGGGCCGCGGGGCACCCGGGCTCCTGAGCCAAACAAGGCCCCGTGAAAGGGAAGGTGCCTCCGTGAGGGAACCCCCGCCAGCGCCGGCCCGACCGCATGGGACATGGATGGCCCTGGATTCGCCGCCCACGCTCTCACTATGCAAGTGCTCGCTTCCCCGCAAGAGCAGAAGCCGCGGTCGGGTGTGTGCAGTTCTGAACTGGCCTGCACCCCGCCTGGCGGTGGGAAGTTGGAATAAACACACACACAGGTGTCCGACCCCCTCCCCACGGCGGCCACCCTCGTCACTGACCAGCGACAAGGGCGGCGGGAGCCCAGTACCTCCTCCAGGGTGGTGTCTGCGACCCCGCAGCCCGCCAGGCGCAGGCGGTGCTGGTTCTGCTCCAGCGCCTGGAAGAGCCCCTTGAAGCCGGCTCGGTCGGCGTCCTTGGGGAGGGCGTAGCTCAGCGTGCGCCCGCTGCGGTCCCTGAGAAACGCTTGTGGAACGTAGGTCTGTATCAGGGCCGTGGTGCGCGCCGCGTCCTGCAGGCTGTCCAGCTCCAAAGCGGAAGGCTGTCCAACAGAGGAAGGCGCAGGGGGCATGAGGGCAGCGCCCAAGCACACAGCCGCTGATGTCAGCGTCCGGCCCCAGGAGGCAGCCCCCGGTCACCTGCTTCGTGAGTGTCAGGCAGAGGCCCTGGCCGTAGGCCTCGGTCAGGCCGAGGGGGGGGCCGCAGCAGCGGAGCCGGCCCTGCTGCAGGACGGCCACGCGGTCACTCAGCACCTCCGCCTCGTCCAGGTGGTGGGTGGTGAGGATGATCGTCCGACCTGCGGCCAAGAAGGCGGCGTCAGAGCCGGCCTGACACAGGCAGTGGGGAGCGGGCAATGCCACGATGCCACCCTGTCTAGCCAGAGAGAAGCAGCCCTGACCCTCCCCTCTGCGGGCCGCAGGGTCGGGACCAGCTCCCAGATCCTCCCCCTCAGCACTCGGGGCTGGGACGGGCCCAGCGGGAGAAGCAGGCCAAGCGCAGGGCCCTGTGTCCCCGCCGTCTCTAGGCCTGGAGCACTGTGCGAGCAGAGGAGACGTTCTGTAAAGAGGAGAGGAAGCCGGGCCCCCGTCTCCCCACGCATCCTCGGGCAACAGGCTGGCGGGCACTGGAGGAGAAGTCTCCTCTGTGAAGCGGCTGTTGTGTAAGAAAATGGACGGTGCCGTGTGAGGCTGGAGGGGTGTCCTTCAGACCAGGGAGCATGCGCGTGTGGGAGGAGGGGAGCCGGACAGACAGTGCTCTGGGAGGCGGGCGGGGAGCCGGTGAGCAGGCAGGGGAGGCGAGGACAGGAGGGGAGGCCAGAAGCACCAACATGCAGACGGGGCCGACTACCCACCGCCCTCTGTGCACAGTCCCTGCGCTGGCATCGGGGCGGGGTGGGCTCTGTGGTCCCTGCGCTGGCATCGGGGCGGGTGGGCTCTGTGGTCCCTGCGCTGGCATCGGGGCGGGGGGGGGTCTGTGGTCCCTGCGCTGGCATCGGGGCGGGGGGGGTCTGTGGTCCCTGCGCTGGCATCGGGGCGGGGGGGGCTCTGTGGTCCCTGTGCTGGCATCGGGGCGGGTGGGCTCTGTGGTCCCTGCGCTGGCATCGGGGCGGGGGGGGGTCTGTGGTCCCTGCGCTGGCATCGGGGCGGGGGGGGTCTGTGGTCCCTGCGCTGGCATCGGGGCGGGGTGGGCTCTGTGGTCCCTGCGCTGGCATCGGGGCGGGGGGGGCTCTGTGGTCCCTGTGCTGGCATCGGGGTGGGGGGGGCTCTGTGGTCCCTGCGCTGGCATCGGGGCGGGGTGGGCTCTGTGGTCCCTGTGCTGGCATCGGGGCGGGGTGGGCTCTGTGGTGCCGCCTCGCGGTGCAGGGGCCCGGCCCGGGGAGAGCCGGGGTGCGGTGCCCCACCTTCTCGGTGCCGGAGGAGGATGTCCCAGATGCCGCGCCGGGAGCAGGGGTCCACCCCACTCGTGGGCTCGTCCAGCACCACGGTCCGCGACGTGCCGAGGAAAGCGGCGCCGATGGACAGCCTCCGCCGCAGGCCTCCGGACAGGGCACGGGCCTGCTGGTGCTGGTGCTGCGTCAGCCCCACGGCCCGGAGAGTCCTGACAGGAGAACGGGCCTCTGCTGCCTCCGGAAACCGCCGCCAGCACCAGGCCAGGCGGCCAGGGCGGTGGGCAAGGAGGACCTGACCCCCAGCAGCCCCCAGACTGGAGGCCGACAGGAGCGGCACCTCGAGGGTCACACTGGGCTCCAAGGACGGCCGGGTCCCAGGGAGTCCCAGGCCCTGGTAGGGCTGCCTGCTGACCCGCGGCGGAAGGTGCGTCTGTCTCGTTATCTGCTCCTGCCCCTCCTGACACCTCCTTTCTCCCGCTGACCCGCCTCCACAGTCACTCAACCCCACAAACTGTCTCCCACCGCCCCACCCCGCAACCGTGGGTTTAAAGCCCACACGCTCGGCCCTGCGTCCTTCCTGCCGCCTCCCCGAGCCCCTCCCGCCGCACGGAGGGCTCCAGGCCACCCTCCTCGGCCTCGGCCGCGGGTGCTGGTGGCGCCTCCCTTCGTCACCTCACTTTCCCATCGCCATCCCGTCCCATGTCTTTGCTCCTTTGCAGCAAAACTCCTTCCTTCCCTGTAACGACCTCGTGACCTTCCTCAACAGGCCACCGCGGCCACCGAGGCCCAGCATTCTCCACCCAGAGCTCACTTCTCAGGCTTCACTGAACGACCCTCCACAGCACCCCTGCACCTGACCTCCTTCTCATGGACGTGCCTCCCTCCTCCCTGCTGGGCTCCCCTCACCTCTGCAACCTCTTCCAGTCGGAGTGACAAGGGCTCGGTCCTTAGCCTCCCCTGCTGTCCACCTGCACACACGCCCCCGACCACCCATCACCACCCAACAAGCCAGCCTCCCGCAGCTCCAGGCGCTGAGCTGGCTGCCAACAGCACCCCTGACCCAGGCCTGGCCGAGGTCCCCGACTTCTCTCCTCTCCTCGAGGGAGGCCTGGCTCTGGGCTCTGCTCTCTGTCCTGCCCTCAGTGACCCCTGCGCTGCCAGGGCCACCCCTGCCCGACGAAGCTCCAGCTCCTGTCCTCACCCCCAGTGCCCTCGCCCTGCACCCAGGCCCGCGGCACCAACTCACACTGGCAGCCACCCACATGCACCATGTCCTCCACCCCCTCCAGGGTGAGTCAGCGAGACCCCCCAGACGCTCCTCGGGGCCCAGGGCTGGCGGCTGCGTCGCCGCCATCAGGAGCCGTGTGCTCACTTCCTCTCGTGATAAGGCACTGCCCCTGTTTCCGAAGCGCCTCTCCCTGTTCCCCTCACGGACGCACAGAGCAGGGAGGCCCCGAAGGGACCCCACTCACTTGTCCACCTGCTGCCGACGCTCCGCCCGCGTCCGCTGCGGCGACCTGATGGCTGCGAAGAGCAGCAGGTGCTCCAGGACAGTGAGCCTGTCCAGCAGGACGTCCCGCTGAGGACACACCCCCAGCTCCCTCCTGACTGCGGCCAGGTCTGTCTGTAGGTTCCTGCCGCCCACGAAGACGGCTCCAGAGGTGGGCGCGTGCAGCCCTGTCACCAGCGACCTGCGGAGAAGACGCGCCCGCAGGTCAGCCCAGCCCAGGCCGCTGGGTGCAGGGTGGGTCTGTGGGCATCGTGCTGGGTCTGTGAGCATGGGGGCCGGGCGGAGGGGCATGGGGGCTGGGGAGGGGCATGGGGGCCGGGGGGAGGGGCATGGGGGCCAGGGACGGGCATGGGGGCTGGGGAGGGCATGGGGGCCGGGGACGGGCATGGGGGCCTGGGCCGGGCATCGGGGCCGGGCGGAGGGGCATGGGGGCCGGGCGGAGGGGCATGGGGGCCGGGGAGGGTATGGGGGCTGGGTGGAGGGCATGGGGGCCGGGTGGAGGGGCATGGGGGCCGGGTGGAGGGGCATGGGGGCACAGGGAGTTGTGGGAGCTCAGCGCCCTGGTGGGTGCACTGCACTTCAATGCCCTTTGTGATCAGCTGTTTGCTGGGCGATTTCAAACCTCCATGGACCACAGGGGAGGTGTTCCCATTGCTGTGTGCCTCAGGGCTTTTGCTTAAACAGTAACGACCCATCTGCTAACTGGCCCTGCAGACTGTCCTCTGAGAGCTGCTGGGAGGGACAGCCCCAGGTGACCAGGGTCCTTCCTCACACCTGCAGGGACGAGGTCAGAGGACCTCGGAGCAGCAGGGCCACCTGCCCCCCTTGCCCTGCAGGAGCAGGTGTGGCCCTGGGGCCCTGGTCGCGGTGCGGTGGGCACTCCCCACCGCACACAGCAGCGGGCTCAGCGGGGCCGCGGCTCCAGCCCAGGCCCGTGGAGAGAAGGAAACGCCCGTGTTTTCCCTCCAGCGGTTCTCACTGGGCTCCCTGAAGCTTCGTGTATGTCCCTCTCCCCTCGCTGCTGTCATGAGGCAGAGACAGCGGCTGCTCCACCAGGGACGCCCTCATCGCTGCAGGCTTAGCCTTAAAGGGCCACCGTCGCCACAGGCCGCTCGGCTGCTTTGCGGCCACGCGCGTCCGAGCTCCTTATTTGTCTGGGACCACGAGGCTGGATGCTTTAACCAAAAGCACAGCCTTTGGATTCTAAACTAAACATCAAATCTTAAAAGAACAGCCAACCACACAAAATCAGAACATGAAAAACTACTCAAGTGCTTACAAAACTACAAACTCCGCTCTGAATGTCACCTTCCTACAGAAACGCAAACACAATTAAACGGAGGAGCACAATGAAAAGGGCCCTAGAACTTTCCAAGACTCAAGTAAAAGCAGGTGAGTTCATTGTAAGGAAAACAGGAAGAATTAAAGATTTTAAAACCCATCACCCTCCCCTTGCACCTGCCCCAGGCCTGCAGGGTGGCTTGTGCGGGGGGGGGGGGGGGGGGGGGCGGCCACAGCAACCGGGCAGAGGGCAGGGGCAGGGGGCAGAGGGCAGAGGGCAGAAGGCAGAGGGCAGGGGGCAGAGGGCAGGGGCAGGGGGCAGAGGGCAGAGGCAGGGGGCAGAGGGCAGGGGGCAGAGGGCAGAGGGCAGAGAGCAGGGGGCAGAAGGCAGAGGGCAGGGGGCAGAGGGCAGGGGCAGGGGGCAGAGGGCAGGGGCAGAAGGCAGAGGGCAGGGGGCAGAGGGCAGGGGCAGGGGCAGGGGCAGAGGGCAGGGGCAGGGGGCAGAAGGCAGAAGGCAGAGGGCAGAGGGCAGAGGGCCATGCTTCCTCCATGAGAAAGGAAGCGAGCCTCGCTGCTCGGTGGACTGGCGTTTAGGAAGGGGAGCCCCGAGTTTTACGAGGTGGAAGGGGACGCACATGACGGTGGTCTTCCCGGCGCCGTTGGCCCCGAGCAGGGCGGTGATCTGGCCTCTGTGGAAGGTGAGGGTCAGGTCCCGCACGGCCGCCTGGCGGGGCTGGTACTCCTTGGTCACAGACACCAGGGTGACGCCCGGGGGGACTCCTTTCCGCTCCCCTTTCCCCTGCTGAGGCCACGACCCTGTGAAGGTGCAAACACACCTGAGGGGTGGCACCCCCCACAGTGCAGTGACCCAGCCGTGGCCCCAGACATGAATTCTGGCTCCAAAACACGTGAAACATGCAAAAATCTCTCTTCACCAAAATCAAACAGCAAATTACATAATGGCAACAAGTAAGTGAAACCTCTGGCCACAAAGGTTTGTACCCTCATGGTACCCATTCTGTAATGAAACAAAAATAAGCACACACGCACCTGCACATACATGCGCACACACACATACACATACATGGACACATGCACGCGCGCACACATGCATGTGCACATACATGCATGTACACGTGCACACTCACACGCCGGCACACGTTGCATGTACATCTGCAGAGGACAGCAGCAAGCAGGTTAGTCACACACCACAACGTCCTCAGGCAATAGCCTCGGGCGGAGGAGGGAAAGGTGCTTGCTGTGCCCGATCTCCTAAGAGGCTCCAATTCCCCGTGTGACGGGGGAGACCATCCCTTCACAGACTGGCTGCAGAGCCACCGTCCCAGAGCCTGTGCACTCGGATGCCCGGCCGTCGTCTCCCGCGGGCCCAGGGATGGCAGGCCTGGGCAGAGGGGCCACCTCCTGCCTGTCCCCATAGCTCCCCGGGAGCAGGAACAGGATGCGCCCCCCAGGGAAGCACCAGGGGAGGATGTGGGAAACCCCGGGAAACCCGTGCCCCATGCCGCTCTGAACAGACCTGTGTGTCCGACGTCCTCACGGAGGGAGAACAGCCTGGAAGCCCGAGCACACGGCCTCCGGGTGGCCAGGCCACACGCGCCCTTCCAGGAGGATGCCATGAAGGGGAAATACCACGGCTTCTGGACACCCCCGGAGCCTGGGAAACAAGGCACCGGTCAGACCCATTCAGCTCTTTTCTACTCAGAACAACATCCTGCAACAGGACATCCTAACGCGTGAACACCGCGTTATTCCATGCCGACACGTTCCACACACGTGCCGTGGACGGGCCAGCGGCAATCTCGGGCCTGACCCCTCCTCACTGCACAGGGCCACCTGGGCCCTCCCTCCCCTGCCCCTGGGGCCCCCTGAGCAGGTGGCAATACAGGTGGAAAGCAGACAGCTGGGAGAGGCCTTGCAGAGTTAGGAGAAAGACATTAGAAATAAGTTGGATATTAATGGTGATTTGCTCATTAGGCCATCCCAGCTCTAACCAATCTGAACTTTAAAGATACCCCTCATTGATCTAGTAACGAAAATGAATGGGAGCCGCCAAACCCAGGCTGGCGGGGCCGGGGCTCCCAGCTCCTTGCCCTGTGCCCTGCTTCCCATGCACGCTGCCCACTCCGCGCCTGCCCACCACCAAGTGTGGCTGCGCATCCACATGGGCCCCGAGCTCGCCTCCCAGGCCGGGAACCCATCAGCCGAGCCCCACACTGGCAGTGATGGAAGCAGGCAGGGGCGTCAGACAGACCCGAGAATGCGAGCGGCCCGCACGCACGTGAAGAAAATCATGAGACATGAAGCCTGAGCGGCCAGGCGTGGCCGTGAGCTGTGGCAGCGGGAGCCTCCTGACGGCCGAGGCCTGGAGAGCCGTGCAGGCCTGTCCCTCGTGCAGCAGCGGCCCTGGCCTTCCTTCTCCGCGAGGCCGCCACTGGACGTGGTTGCACAGCAGCAGAGAGATCTAAGCCCAGGTGCGTCCTGAAAGCAAGATGTGGAGGGGGGTGCTCATCACCCAGAGGGGGCCGCACCCAGTGTCTGCCTCTGCAGCCTGTTCGGTGTGGAGGGGGAGGGGGTGCTCATCACCCAGAGGGGGCCGCACCCAGTGTCTGCCTCTGCAGCCTGTTCGGTGTGGAGGGGGAGGGGGTGCTCATCACCCAGAGGGGGCCGCACCCAGTGTCTGCCTCTGCGGCCTGTGCGGTGTGGAGGGGGAGGGGGTGCTCATCACTCAGAGGGGGCCGCACCCAGTGTCTGCCTCTGCGGCCTGTGCGGTGTGGAGGGGGTGCTCATCACCCAGAGGGGGCCGCACCCAGTGTCTGCCTCTGCGGGCCTGTGCGGTGTGGAAGCGACTGACTGGGGCCTTGCTCACTGGGGTACACACACTGCGCCGCGCCTGGGGGGAGGGGAGGCGCTCCGGACAAGCACACCCGGGGGAGGTAGAGACAGCGCCAGCCGCCGGTCTGGGGCCCTGGCTGGAGCTGGCTGGGTGTGGCTGGGTCCGAGGGAACTGCTGCAGTTCATGAGAAGACGTTATGGGTAGAAATTTGCCGTGAGCTCCACCGGGACTGCTGGGTACAAGGCTGACACACGGCCCTCCCCTCAGGAGGCACCGAGCAAGAGCCCGCGAGCAGGCGAGCCGGGAGGAAGGGACAGATCCCCAGCCTTCTCCACCCGCCAAGGGCTCCCGAAACTTCTCCCGACTGGCATTCAGGTGTCCTGTCCCCGGAGCCCGAGCTGCTTCATTAGCTTCTGCAAAAAGAAAACTCAGCGCTCTTCTGAGCCACTGGCGTGGCGGATGCCCACTGACCCCACAGGACCCGCTGGACGCCCCATCGCCCCGATCGGCCCCTGAGCCGAGCCGCCTTCCTCATGGCTTCCACCAGCTCCTTCACCTGAGTCTCTCCAGAGGTGACCTCCAAGTGCACTTCTGCACCCAGTCTTCTGTGTGTAATTGTCTTCAACATACGTGACAAAATACACGCCTTCATCGTTAAAGCACCGCTGAGCATACTCACACTGCTGTCCAACCAACCTCCAGGACCTCCCCTCCGCCCGCCCACCACCCACTCTCCGTCTCCGTGAACGTGACTGTTCTCGGGTGCTGCCAGGGTCTCCAGGGGGACGGCCAGCGGGACACGTGGGCCCGTGGGAAGAGACGCACTACGAGGGGCAGGGGCACAGCATGGGTGCTCGACTCCCCACCCCACGCCTCTCGTCAGCTCTCCCCTCCCCAGAGCAGGGCTTTTGCAAAACTTGGCGCAAATCTGGGCAGGTGTCAATCCAGAGCTGCCAGAGCCGAAAGCAGCAGAAACTGCCACGAGCTGGCATGGGGGTGGGGGGTGGGGGGGGCAGGGCCAGAGGGAGGGCACTGAGAGAGGGGCGGGGACTGCTACCTGCTACCAGACAAGAGGGAAGAGCGAGGGGGGACACACAGGCGCCCCTGGCCGTGAGCCGAGGGCATGGGACCCAGGGCAGAGCCCGCTCAGACACGAGGGCCATCCCTCACCATCGTTCCTCTCCCCAGGGCACAGCACCACCTTCATCAAGACACTGCCCCACCCGCTCTGGGCCTTGTGACCGCTGTTCCGACCCTCGAGTCCTCCCAGGGAGAGCAGACCCCGCCCTCGCACCCGTCTCCAAGGAAGAGGAGGACAGGCGCCTCCAGGCTCACTCCTCCCAGCAGCACCAGCGGCTGCTCCCCGGCACGCCTCTCCCTGCTGTGCAGCTGCGGGGCCACACCCAACACGCCTGCTCTCTGCGCTCATTAAATCATTCGCGTTTTGAAAAGATGAAATACAAAACATGTAGTCAATTCCTGTAGTTTAACTGCATTACAGGAGAAGTGCATGTTTAAAGCAGAAAAATTAACAACGGAAAAAAGATGTTGCATTAAGTCCACATAAACAACCATTTGGCATTTAAACCAAATTACGATGTTTTAAAATTGTTAACTAAATACTGAGATATGTCTTTTTAAAATCTGATTTGAGAATGTTATCATTTTCTTTAAATAGTTTTATAAGCTTATAAATTGTCTTAAACTTTATTTGGCTATTTGCAATTTGATTTAAATTCTTATAAATGAAACTTGATTGATTTTCATTACTTATGTCCTTGGTGTTTAGAAAAACCTTCCCTACCTTTAACAACCGTGCTTTTTCTATTGACTCATTATTCTCACGGTGTTTGTTTCTGATGACGAGGAGCGAGTCTGGTTTTCTCTCCTGCAGGTTAACTGAATGTGCGTCTCTTCTCATTGACTGACATGCAAGCACCACTACAGAGTGACTCGCTCACGAGTGGGCTGGCTACTGAGCGCTGCCATCTGCTCTGCTGACGGCTCCACTGTTTACATCCTCGTCGAGTTACAGGAAGGTTTTATACCATCACCAGTTGCTGTCGTTACCTTCAATGATTCTTGAACATTATTATTAATTTATATGTCTAGCTATCTTTTGGAAACATTTCATCAATTAAAAATTTCCTTGTTTAGTATTTTATTTAAATAATTTGTGTTTTAGTATATTATGTTAACATGTTACATAACTTAAAGTTATATAAATGTATACATTAGGCCCAGCCAGTGTGGCTCAATGGTTGAACATCAACCCATGAACCAGGAGGTCACGGTTTGATTTCCCGTCAGGGCACATGCCTGGGTTATGAGTTCAATCCCCAGTAGGGGGCCTGCAGGAGGCAGCTGATCAATGAATCTCTCTCATCATTGATGTTTCTATCTCTCTCTCCCTCTCCCTTTCTCTCTGAGATCAATAAAAACATATTTTTAAAAATAATGTACACATTGACTGGAGAAAGCCAGCATTACTTAAACAATAAGCACCCACATTTCCTCCCTCTGTCTCTGGCACAGCAGTTTTACTGCAACAGCACAGTAGCTCACTCGCTTTAAGTTCATTCTGTCATCTTACAAAGTGTAGGCGTCTTACCAGGAACCAAGCTGCTCAGGTACCAGCCACTCAGAAAGTAAAGGCCCGAGTCGACCAGAATCATCCCGCAGACCCAGCCAAGCGCCATGCCCGCCTGCTCCGGAGGCTGGTCCAGGTTGCCCCACTGGACCCCTGGAGGAAGGGAGGGCAGAGTCAACCGGGGAGGGCGATGGGGGTGCTAGTCCTGGAGGCTCTGGCAGAGCTGGCAGCAGCTAAAGCCCAAGGAGGTGTGTTGGGTTCAATGCTACAGGCAGAGTGACCATGAACATTAATATCCAACATTTAAACTTTCTGAAAGGTGCTTTCCTCATTTACTGGTTTTGAGAAAAAAGGCATGTGATACAAAAAGATAAAGAAGGCTCCTTGCAATCCAGACCCTAAATTATATCATTTTCTCTGCTCTTAGGAAATATATAAACAGGACATACAAGGCCTGGGACAGGCTAGGACCATTATTTCTTACAATGTATTTGCAATTTACTGCGGGTTAAAATACACGCTAAGTAAGATAACCCTCTTCCTCAGTCCCCTAAGGACAAGCCTAGAACTCACAGAATAAATGCTGACACTTGGGGGAATTTGTCCGAAATGATCAAAGGCCTGACAGTGACTGCTCCCTCCGCCTCCCGGACCAGCTGGTTTTGGAGCCGCTGCGGGCGCTCGGAAGGCCTGGCTCGCGCGCCTGTCTCGGCACAGCCTCCATGTGAAATGGCAAACGGCTCAGCGTGTTTTGCTGAAATGCCAGAGAATTCCGAGACCAGCGCCCAGTGAAAGGGCTGGTACACAGCAGCTGGAGGTGAGCTGCATTTATTGCGTCTATTTTAACAGTAAGTGTTCACAAACACCATGTAAACATGGAAGAAATATATGTCTGTCCTGGCTTAGGATGTCAGTTGTCAAAATTTCAAGATAAGTGAAAAAGGCTGACAATTTTTTAAAATGTTATTTTAGGCCGAATTAATAGGGATGCAATCATGGGAGTAAAGTGGATAATCGTACCCTCTCTGCACTGGTTAAGTCCCTTTCTGGACGCAGAGATGAGAGCAGGCAGACCGCAGTGGAGGCTGACACGTGAGAGAGAGAATGGGAACGGAACTAGGAAAGTGGGCAGAGACCCAGGGAGGCAGAGTCCAGTTCTACAGGACCCTGAGAGCCGGGCGTGTGCACACCCCGTTCCTGGAAGCATTCAAAGGTTGCTGAGGGAACGGGGCATCGGGGTGCCGTAAGGAAAAGCCGGGCATTGGCTGGTGGGCGGACCGGGCAGCGGCTGGGCCATGGCGCCGTGGCTACTCCCGAGTGTTCCGAGGGCCAGGGCAGCTGGACACGGGAGGTGCTGCGCAGCCACGCTGAGCACCAGCATCTCATCCCAAGGGCCCTGCTCTGGGGTGGGGACCTCCTACTGTCCCCCCACAACAGGACCCTGCAAACCCCTAGCACCCGGGCCACTGAGAGCGCCTGTAACCGCGCATCGTCTTACCTGCCTCCTGCCCTTCCAGGAACGTGACGAAAAACACTCCTTGTCCAAAGGCGGTCGTGGAGAGGAGGCACTGCGCGGAGCGAGGAGAGAGAGAAACAGCCGCTGGTGCGCGACGGGACAGGATGTCCACGGCGCCACGTGGTTCCCCCTAAGGGCCCCGTATGCCCGTGTCCGCACCTGGACACGCAGCCCACTGTCAGCGGCCGGAGACGCGGGGGATACGCTCGTCTCTAACGCTGAAAGGAACGGTCTCTCTCCTGCAGCGGCTGCAGGGATGACCCCACGTTGGGGGCAGAATGCGGCACACGGCGGGGAAGGGCAGGGCCTGTCCTATGTTCTGTGCTGAGCGAGGCCCCCAGCCCAGCGCAGGCTGAGGATGCGCATGTGTCCTCGCCGGGACGATCAAGCGCGAGGGAACCGCCGCTCCGCTTCCGGGGCAGAGCTCCCGGGTCAGGAAGGCGGCCGAAAAGGCGCCTCGCGTTACTAAAGCGTAAGGTGCCAGAGGCAGGCTTTCCCGGCTGGAAACCACGTGAGCACGCAGAGGCGATCAGACTTTGCAGGGAGCCCTTCCCCACGAGGTGGGCGAGACCGGCCGCAGCGTCTGAAACCCGTGCGGCGTGAACGGCCCTTTTCCTCCCTTTCCCTCCGCGGAGAGCATACGGGCCCTGCACGGCCCCGGCGGCTTTCATTCCCCTGAAAACACCCAGCACCAGCCCCAAACCGTGGTCATGGGTTTTCACAGGCGAGAGGCAAGTAGTCACACTGACGGCACCAGGCATGCACACGATGCTCGCCCAACAGGAGCGCCCGTCCACCTGTCCCCCTGCACACAGACGGTGCTGTGTGCGTGGCCCGCGGGGACCGGGGCACAGAGGGGTCTACTGACGCTGGAGAAAGGGATGTGGTTCGCACAGAATATTCTACCCTCAGGTCGGCACCAGCAGGAGACCCTCCCACCACTGAGGCCACAGGCAGCCGAGGCCGCACCTGCAGGGGGTGAACCGTGAGACAGCCCCGTGCCCGCGCGCTGAGCCCGACCCCGTTAATGACGCTCCGTCCCTTCCCCGCCGACCACGTGTCCACGGGCGAGCAGCACTGTCTTCTCCCTGAGTCACGTCAGACCTGAACGTGTCCTGCCGCTCCTTCCGGAGGCGTGCTGAGTGGGGAAAGCCTGACTTTGCTGACGGACAGACTTCCACTTAATGCGCTGGCATTCATGGGGCTTCCGGGAGAAGGCTGGCTGCTTACGCTACGATAGCTATGGAATTGCGATTCTCCCCACGCGCGGAGCAGAGACCTGAAGCGCATGCTCCCGTGGGTACTGGGGATCGCCCCGTCTCCCCGGGAGGGGCTGTGAGGGGAGAAACTCGCAGCCCCCGGCAGGGCCCCTGAGGAAAGGAGACCAGAAGGCCGCCGGCGGAAAGGGCCGGGCGTGGTGTTGTGGGTGGTGGAGTTCCGTCTCGTCGGGCATCTTGCGAAGCTGCCCACTCACCAGCAGCGTCTGGGCGGCCGCACTGAGCCGGCTGCGCAGCACCAGCAGCACGACGTAGGGCAGGAAGCTGGCCGTGTACAGCAGGCTGCAGCAGAGCGCGGCCGTGGGCGCCCGCCGGAAGCATGCGCCCAGCAGGTAGCTCAGCATGACCACTGACACCCCGAAGTCCAGCAGGAAGAGGAACACGATGAAGGCGTTGCTGTGCGCGAAGATGCCGCTGGCTTTCAGGACGACGGCCAGGGCAGCGCTGCCCACGGCCATCACCGCCGCGTTCTCCAGGAACCAGGCCAGGAAGCTGGTGGCCGGGTGCACCCCCATCATCCGCAGGTGCTGCGGGGGAGGAAGCCGTTACCACAGCAGTGGGTGTCCTTGTCCTGGGGGAAGGCAGCTGGCGGGTGGGCACCCCGCCAGGACCTCCAGCCCCGCAAGGGCTCCGTGCCAGGCAGGTCCCCTGCGCCCGCATTTCATTCTTGGGAGCCCACAGAGGCCGGTCCCGTCCCGCGAGGGCAGAGAGCTGGGCCGTGAGTGCGTGGGAACAAGTTCCTGGCGGGAGACCACACGGGACGGCTCAGGCCAGTCCCGCCCGGCCCCCGCTGACCACGCAGGCCGCAGGCTTCCTCGCTCCTGCGCTTCCTGCTCACTTCCATTCTGTGCTGTTTTTCATTTTGCTTGTGTTGGTTTTGTTTCATAAGGACAAAGAAAACAATAAAGGGGAAACACTTTTCCTTAAGTTCGAGGGGTTATGGCATAGGTTTTAGAATGGGTTTTGCTAAATAATTCAGTTTGAAGTAATTCAATAAAATGAATTCACTTGCTCATCTATAACATCGCGATACTGAGCATGAAGAAGGATTTCTGGCCAAGGAGCTGGGAGCCCATGAGAATGACCGTCCCCCAGGCCCTCTGCCCAGGGGCCCCCCTGGATCGGAGAGACCGGGATGCAGGGGGGAGGCGTGCAGAGCAGCAGGCAGCGCCACGTGGAGCTGAGCGGGGCACGGGGCACTCGCACGCTTGTCTGTGCCTGATAAACAGCCGGTAAATAAACCCTCTGCCTTTGTCTCCTGGCCTCGCCCTCCTGTGGCGAAAGGGGGGAGGGGTTCCCCAATACTTGCTTTGTTAAAAGCAATTTTGATAGTTTAGGTTTTGACAAAAATAGCAAGTATGAGCCTGAAGAGCCCCGGCGCCGTTAGGACAGGAAGCTGGCTGTCCTGTCGTCCTGGGTGGAATAAGAGTGGCTGAGCCCTGGGCGGGCGGCTCCACCAACCAGGCACCAAAGGCTGCCGGCTCGCTTCCCGGTCGGGCACTGACCTAGGCTGCGGGTTCGATCCCCAGTTGGGTGTGTACAGAAGGCCACGTGGATGTTCCTCTCACGTCAGTGTCTCTCTCTCCCTCCCTCTCCCCTCCCTCTCTCCAATAAGCATCCTCCGGGAGGGAGCACATGGGTTTCCCTCCTCCCATGTCACCTGCCTTTCACTTCCTCCATCTCCAAGGAAAGGCCTACTGACCCGCAGGCTTCGGACTGACAGTGATGTTCCCGGGACAGGGGCCCCAGGCTCCATGCGGAGCCCAGCAGAGGAGGGGCAGGCAGAGGCCTGTCTCCCAGGCAGCCCCGGGCGGCTCACCTCTTCCATCTGGATCTCCCGCTCGTACACCAGCCTTCGGACCATGCTGGCCACAGACACGATCCACGTCAGCATCATGATCAGGGGCAGGAAGAAACCCACGTTGTTCAAGAATCTGTACGGAGGCACCAGGGGCTGTGAGCGCCAGCGGGCGGCTCTGCTCCCGCCAGGCAGCACCACGCTGGGCATGCCTCCCCTCGCCGCCCCCTCCCACAGACACGGTCCCCACACCGTCCCCTCCCACAGACACGGTCCCCACGCCGCCCCCTCCCACAGACACGGTCCCCACGCCGCCCCCTCCCACAGACACGGTCCCCACGCCGCCCCCATTCCCACTGAGCGCTGTCGGAAACAGGCTCCCGCGGCCATGGCCACAGTCTATGACAGGCAGGACAGCTCTTTGGGGTCCTGGCTCAATAGCTGCGCGAACTCACAAGGAGACACGTCTCACTGACAGGGCTGTGGCCTCCACCGCCTGCCACTGCGGGTGACTCGCTCCCCCGAGGCCCTGCACCCCTTGGGGCCTGAGGCTCTGTCCTGAGCAGCCTCGGTCACCAGCATCGAGGCAGGTGACCCACTGCTCACCACGCAGCAGCCACAGGGTTTCCAAAGCAGAGAGAGGGCGTTCTCCTGGCAAAACGTGGTCATTTCAGCGTGTGAGGCACGCATCGCCCCTCGAAGAGTCGCGGGATCGTCCCGACACAAGCAACCAACCACCTGATGTTTAGATGGCGCTGAGCTAGCGTTCTCTATCTTCCAGCTCTCGGTCGGTAACCACTGACTTCTGAAGCCAACAGTCACAGAGGAGACAAGTTCCGGTCAGGCACATCGCCCAGCACCCTTCCCCCATCAGATCCCCAGGAGAGTAGTCCCCCCAGATCCCCAGGAGAGCAGTCCCCCAGATACCCAGGAGGACAGCCCCCCAGATCCCCAGGAGAGCAGCCCCCCAGATCCTCAGGAGGACAGCCCCCCAGATCCCCAGGAGAGCAGTCCCCCCAGATCCCCAGGAGAGCAGCCCCCCAGATCCCCAGGAGGGCAGCCCCCCAGGTCCCCAGGAGGGCAGCCCCCCAGGTCCCCAGGAGGGCAGCCCCCCAGATCCTCAGGAGGGCAGCCCCCCAGATCCCCAGGAGGACAGTCCCCCAGGCCCCCAGGAGAACAGCCCCCCAGATCCTCAGGAGAGCAGGCCCCCCAGATCCCCAGGAGAGCAGCCCCCCAGATCCCTAGGAGAGCAGCCCCCCAGATCCCCAGGAGAACAGCCCCCCAGATCCCTAGGAGAGCAGCCCCCCAGATCCCCAGGAGAGCAGCCCCCCAGATCCCCAGGAGAACAGCCCCCCAGATCCCTAGGAGAGCAGCCCCCCAGATCCCCAGGAGAGCAGCCCCCCAGATCCCCAGGAGAGCAGCCCCCCAGATCCCCAGGAGAGCAGCCCCCCAGATCCCCAGGAGGGCAGCCCCCCAGATCCCCAGGAGAACAGCCCCCAGATCCCCAGAGAGCAGCCCCCAGATCCCCAGGAGAGCAGGCCCCCCATCCTTAGGAAAGCAGGCCCCCCAGGTCCCTGGGGACTGGCCCCTGGTCAGGAGCCCAAACAAAAGCACTGCCCCCCAGGGGCAATCAGGATCAAAGCTCCACTTCTTAGCACTCTGAAAGGACAGCTGGTCTTCAGCACATTTAATTGTCACCTCTCTCTCCTGCAGCGCAAGTGCTCCATCTACATGGCACTCGCCTTAACAGTGTTTTCTCTGGGCTCCCCTCTATTAGCACCATCCTGCTGAATGCAAATCACACCAGGAGGGACCAGGGAAACTGGCTCTTGTGTTTGTCAAAGACACACAACTTTGATCCAAGTGTCCGTGATGGGGGGACTTGCAGTGCCTGCCCCCCCACCCCACCCAGCCTCCTGCTGCCCCAGCCCCCACCCCCGCCCCAGGCACAGGTCAGCAGCACCAAGAGGCCACTGGGCAGCGGGAAGGGCTGCAGGGCGTCCTCCTTGGGGACCAGCCCACAGGCAGGAGAAAGTGATGGTGACACAATCTGAGAGTCTATCCCTTCCCTCCCCCACAGGGGGTGCCACCCCCCAGCGCCTGCCAGCCCCTGGCAGGAGGGGGACGGACAGGAGGGCCTTCCTGGGCCTGAGGACGACCAGCAGGGGGAGCTTCTGAGCAAACAACAGCTCTGCTTGCAGGTGAGAGGGGGTTTCCTACAGGCACCTGAGGACACTCCCAAGGAAAACATGACCAGGAGTGTAGGGAGACGCCCTCACAGGCTGTGAGGGTCACGCTGGTATTTTTTTGGAAGCAGGAACCTGACACTTCAAGCATGAACCCCTGACCCTTCACTCCTCACTTCCCCTGGAGCCCTCACTCGGCCCCCAGTGGCTCCCCGCTCCTCCAGCCAGCACTCCCCCCTCCTCTGGACCTGCGCTCCCCCCTCCCCCAAATCAGCCCTCCCCCTCCTCAGGGCCAGGTGGACCTGGCTCCCCCCTCCTCCACACCAGCCCTCCCCCCTCCTCAGGACCTGCGCTGCCCCCTCCTCCGGACCAGCTCTCCCCCCTCCTCTGGACCAGCCGCTCCTGTGGACAGCAGGGCCTGAGCTGTGGGGCAGAGAGCGGTGCCCTTCCCAGGAGCCAGGCTGTGTGCATATGGAACAACTCTGCAGGCTGTTGTTTTTCATTTCCTGAAAGCCTTTCATTAAGTTGCCCTGCTCTCCGAAGCAATGTATTAACACTTGAAATTCTCTATATGCACGAAGCGCACCATAAAGTTGTCCTGCCATAACCACCATGAATCACGGGCTGAAGGGAACATTAAATTTTATAGAGTCCCGCTCCCATCCCACCCTGCACTCCTAAAGTGACATTTCCCCCATATGTCCCGCAAAACATGAGCCGTGGCTGCTAATAGATATTAAATGGGAGGGGGAGAGAGAGGGGGGAAGGGGGAGAGAGAGAGAGAGGGAAAGAGAGGGAAGGGGAGAGAGAGGGGGGAGGGAAAGGGAGAGGGGGGGAGAGAGGAAGGGAAGGGGGGGGAGGGAGAGGGAGGGGGGAGACCTGTGGCTGAGATGGGACGCGTTCGGATCAGTGGAGCTGAACCTTGTTCCTCTGGATGAAAGGCCTGCGCTCGGCCCCGCCCCTTGCGAGGGCTGCCCCCCTGCATTACTGCAGTTACACCCATCAGTCCTCGCCTTCTACTGGACTATCGCCGACAGCACCCTATTTCTTCAAAAATGTAAGAAAACCGCCCTGGCCGGTGTGTCTCAGTGGCTGGAGCATCGGCCCACCCACCAAAGGTCTCAGGTTCCATTCGGTCAAGAGCACATGCTGGTCGGGAGCGTGTGGGAGGCAGCCAATCCATGTGTCTCTCGCACATTGACGTTTCTCTCTCTCGCCCCCTCCCTCCTTCCCTTCCACTCTCTCTGAAAAGCAACAAAATATCCTCAGGTGAAGATTAACAGAAAAAGTTAAGAAAGCCTCTTCTTCCCACTGCCCACCTCCCTCTCCCGCCTACAGAGACTCCTGGGCGGTCTGAAGGCTGGCTCCCTCCTGCCCTCCCGTCCCAGTGTCCTCGCTAACCTGGCTGCCCCCCCCTCCGCGGAGGCTGCCTTAGTGAAGTCCTCAGTGTCCCAGGTGCCCCCTACACGGACCCCGCCCGAAAGCGCACTGGCCACGCCTGAACACACACATCCTCTCCCCCCCAACCCCCAGCAGCCGCGCAGGCTCTGATCGCGCTCTGGCCTGCGGTGGGCCGCACACCCGTCTTTAAAAATCCACGGAAAGAGAGCTGTTTTCTGCTTCCGTCGTTCCCACAGGTGGACCTGGGAGTCTGACCTGCGGAGCCTGGACAGCACCGCACCCCCAACCCGAACGTCCGACTTACAGCCACCAGCCCCGCCGCGGCTGTCCCTCCCGCCGCGGCTGTCCCTCCCGCCGCGCTGTCCTTCCCCCCCCCCCCCCCGCGCTGTCCCTCCCGCCACGCAGTCCCTCCCGTCACGCAGTCCCTCCCGCCGCGCTGTCCTTCCCGTCACGCTGTCCTTCCCCCCCCCCCGCGCTGTCCCTCCCGCCACACAGTCCCTCCCGTCACGCTGTCCTTCCCGTCACGCTGTCCTTCCCGTCACGCTGTCCTTCCCGTCACGCTGTCCTTCCCGCCGCGCTGTCCTTCCCGCCGCGCTGTCCTTCCCACCGCGCTGTCCTTCCCGCCACACAGTCCCTCCCGTCACGCAGTCCCTCCCGCCGCGCTGTCCTTCCCGTCACGCTGTCCTTCCCCCCCCCCGCGCTGTCCCTCCCGCCACACAGTCCCTCCCGTCACGCTGTCCTTCCCGTCACGCTGTCCTTCCCGTCACGCTGTCCTTCCCGTCACGCTGTCCTTCCCACCGCGCTGTCCTTCCCGCCACGCAGTCCCTCCCGTCACGCTGTCCTTCCCCCCCCCCCGCGCTGTCCCTCCCGCCACACAGTCCCTCCCGTCACGCTGTCCTTCCCGTCGCGCTGTCCTTCCCGTCGCGCTGTCCTTCCCGCCGCGCTGTCCTTCCCGCCGCGCTGTCCTTCCCGCCGCGCTGTCCTTCCCGCCGCGCTGTCCCTCCCGCCGCGCAGTCCCTCCCGCCGCGCTGTCCCTCCCGTCACGCTGTCCTTCCCGTCACGCTGTCCTTCCCGCCGCGCTGTCCCTCCCGCCGCGCTGTCCCTCCCGCCGCGCAGTCCCTCCCGCCACGCTGTCCCTCCCGCCGCGCAGTCCCTCCCGCCGCGCAGTCCCTCCCGCCACGCTGTCCCTCCCGCCGCGCAGTCCCTCCCGCCGCGCAGTCCCTCCCGCCACGCAGTCCCTCCCGCCGCGCTGTCCCTCCCGCCGCGCAGTCCCTCCCGCCGCGCAGTCCCTCCCGCCACGCAGTCCCTCCCGCCACGCAGTCCCTCCCGCCACGCAGTCCCTCCCGCCACGCAGTCCCTCCCGCCACGCAGTCCCTCCCGTCACGCTGTCCCTCCCGCCGCACAGTCCCTCCCGCCACGCTGTCCTTCCCGTCACGCTGTCCTTCCCGCCACGCTGTCCCTCCCGCCACGCAGTCCTTCCCGCCACGCAGTCCTTCCCGTCACGCTGTCCCTCCCGCCGCACAGTCCCTCCCGCCACGCTGTCCTTCCCGTCACGCTGTCCTTCCCGCCACGCTGTCCCTCCCGCCACGCAGTCCCTCCCGCCACGCTGTCCTTCCCGTCACGCTGTCCTTCCCGCCACGCTGTCCCTCCCGCCACGCAGTCCCTCCCGCCACGCTGTCCCTCCCGCCACGCAGTCCCTCCCGCCACGCAGTCCCTCCCGCCACGCAGTCCCTCCCGCCGTGGCTCGGGCCGAGAAGTGCGCCTCAGACACTGAGCGGCCTGGCGGTCTCCTGATGCCGAGGTGACTACACAAAGCCCAGGAGGTGCCCCCTCCGGCCTCCCGCTGAGGGGCCACGGGGAGGGACCAGGACTCACAGGTCGCTGCTGTGGCAGGGGTACGGGATGGGCTGCGCCTGTGCGGCGGGCCCCACGGCCTCCCGCCCGGTCTGCACGCGGACGAGGGCCTGCTCCAGCATGTCTTGCAGCGGGGCGAAGACGTAGTTGTACTTGAAGCCGTCGGCCGGCAGGCTCTGGGGGTGGAACTTCCAGAACGGGTTCTCCGCCTGGTCGGTCCGCATGCTGTACAGCAGGCTGGTCCGGATGGTGTAGGCCACGCGGGGCGGCAGCGGGGGCGCGTCTGCACCGGAGCGCCTGCGCACGGAGGAGCTGTTGAAGATGACACCTGAGGGACGGATGGATGGACGGATGGATGGACGGACGGCCGTCACCACGGAGCAGCTGGCAGGGAGGCCCCAGGGGAGGACGTATGGGGGGGAGGAGCACGTGAGCACGTTTGTCACCAGCGTCGCACAGACAGCTGGGGCGACGGGACTAAGGCCTCCGGCTCCTCGGCCATCCCCGTTTCACTGTAGTGAACCCACACGGCACCCCGTGCGCAGAAACGGCTGGTTTTGCGTTTCTCGGGACTTTGCTCTCTGGGACCCAGGACATTCCTAAGCACCGATGTCCTGGTGTCATCGCTCAGGGACACAGGGCGCTGCCTCTGCCCGCGCCTTCCATGTCTATTCAAGTCGCGGCTGAGAACACATCGGATTCACCGTGAGTGAGGGAACCACCAGTAGATGGGGCAGAATCGGCCGCTGTCCTTCCTCCCCCCACACCCCCCAGTCCAGACGTCAGGAAACTGATAAAAATGGGAGCCGTTTAATCAGGAAACATCTAATTTGTCCGGTGAGACTTCCCCATAGAACCACAGGGTCACCCAGTACGGCAGGTGCAGGCACAGCCCGGGCCAAGGCGGTGACAGCTCAGGAGCCGGCACGGCCACCTCTTCCTCAGGCGGAGCCCTGCTGTGTGGAGGGCACTTCTCTCTGAGCCACGGGAGGCACATCCAGGGAGCGGGGCGTGCTGTCCGGGGAGGGGCGTGCTGTCCCAGGCGGAGGGGCGTGCTGTCCGGGGAGGGGTGTGCTGTCCCGGGGGAGGGGCGTGCTGTCCCAGGGAGGGGCGTGCTGTCCCAGGCGGAGGGGCGTGCTGTCCAGGGAGGGGCGTGCTGTCCCAGGCGGAGGGGCGTGCTGTCCAGGGAGGGGCGTGCTGTCCCGGGAGAGGGGCGTGCTGTCCCGGGGGAGGGGCGTGTTGGCGCAGCCCCGTGAGCAGGGTTCGCCACTGGACACTTACTGGCCAAGAAGCTGTTCTGCTGCATGAGGCTGTGGGCGGCGGCCTCCAGGGCGGCCCCTGACTGCAGCCCCCGGAAGCGGTCCAGCCGCACACAGGACGACAGGTTGACCAGCGCGTGGCCCAAGGAGAGGAGGTGGGCGGCGCCCGTGCGGCTCAGCATCCAGTCCAGGCCCCCTGCGGAGGGCAGTGAGCAGGGGACATGGCGGCTTCCCCCAGCACAGCGCCTGCCGCGGACACTGCACAGGCGCAGGGACACCCAGCTAACTTCCTGCAGGGGGAGCCAGTCCAGACCCAATTTTGTTCACCAGCAAACTGCTATTGTCAGCTGAGCGTCCCCTCCCCTTTCGTATGCGCTCCCGTGACACGGACACGGCTCGGAAGTGAAAAGAAACGGTCACATCAGCAAAGGCTGGGCACGTGGGGCAGGGGACGGGGAGTAAACGGAGCCAGTCTGGGCAGCGGGAAGAGCCCCCCGGACTCGCGCGACCCTAGGCCAGCGCCGCCCTGGAGCCAGGCCTGTGGTAGCCGCTCCGCGGCAAGGCCGAGTCCACGGACGGTTATGGAGGCAAGTCCGCTGCACTCCCGGCCGGGCGGGGGGGGGGGGGGACGTGTGAGGGGGAGGTGGGGGGGGGGGGCGTCCGCGGAGCAGGTGGCATTGGCAACACCTCCGCCGGCCGTGGAGGCTGCACATCAAACTTTTTCAGGACGAGGCCCCACGAGGGCTCAGCGACTGGCTCCGGGTGAGGAGGGGCGGGGTCACAGGAGAGAGAACAGCCAGGCCCGGACAACAACTACCGAAGGGGCAGGTGTGGGGGCATCCAGCCCCGGGTTTGCTCTGACGAGGGCCCCGCAGCAGGAGCGGCCCCCAGGCCCAGAGGTCCATCACGGTGGCCCCACAGGTGGTGTGAGCGGAGGTGGAGGCCCTCCCCTCGTCGGTGCAATGCTCACCGCACAGGGCTGTCCCCCGCTCCCCACGCCTCGCTCCCCAACAGCACCCACAGACGCTGGTGCAGGACTTTACGAAGAAAGTCCAAGCAGTGAATATGCATGCAAACACACCAACATGTTTTTACACACCCACCACACACACGTACATGCACACTACACTCACACATACACGCATGTATGCTCACACACACACTCACATATATACTCACACACACACACTCACACACACTCACAATCACACACACACTCACACATTCACACACATACACTCACACATACTCAAACACACTCACAATCACACACACACATTCACACTCACACATACACTCACACACACACTCACACACACACAATCACACACTCACACATTCACACACACATACACACACACACTCACAATCACACACACTCACAATCACACACTCACACATACACTCACACACACTCACAATCACACACACTCACAATCACACACTCACACACACATTCACACACATACACTCACACATACTCACACACACTCACAATCACACACACACATTCACACTCACACATACACTCACACACACACTCACACACACACACTCACAATCACACACTCACACATTCACACACACATACACACACACACTCACAATCACACACACTCACACATACTCACACACCCACTCACACACACACTCACAATCACACACACTCACACATACACACACACACACTCACAATCACACACTCACACTCACACACACATTCACACTCACACACACTTACTCACCATACGCCTGCAGCTTCTCAGTCAGTTTGTCTACGTTGATGTGTAACTGGCTTTCCACAAAGTTTCTTATGAATCTGTTCTTCAGGACTTCCTACAGGAAACACAGTTTAACAAAAATAACGGCATCATTTTTTCTTATTGACAACACTGGTTGGTTTACTCCGTTTATTGTTGTTCAAGAAAAAGGCACATAACATGCGTCATCTTGAAAGCGGGTCTACACGTCCCAGTGAGCCCGGGAGGATGTGGTAGGACTTCAGCTTAAACAAAGGACCAGCTGTGCCTGCGAGGCCAGGCGTGGACCTGTCGCGAACACTGAAAGCCAAGACGCAGGGAGCGTGACTCTGGGCAGGTTCCCAGCAGGCCTTCCACGGCCTTTCCCGCGGGCAGAACGTGACGAAGGGGCAGCACTTTCCCGACCCTTAAACCTGTGACGCTCTGAGCCTCCGGCTCCCTCCACACCATCACCCTGTCACCCTGTCAGTCCTCTTTCCCGACTACATCCCACCCCTGCCTCCCCTGCCGACGCCTGTGCCGGGGGCCATGCTCCGGGACTGCTCTCCTCGCCTTTAGGTGGGCAATGCGCAGGGACGTGCACCCTGTTCGCACCCGCGCAGCCTCCCACCCTCACCCAAGCCTCACCTACTCACCCCAACTCACTGCAGCAACGCAGCCCCATTCCTGGGTCAGCGCGCTAGTCCCGAGCAAACAAGCTGCAGAAGGTGTCCCAGCAACGGCCAGCGCCGACACGGCTGGGCCACACGCTCCACCACCAGGGATGCCCATCCCAGTTCGCCCAGAGCCGCACCTGCCTCGCACCTGCCCCGGCCCAGGGCCACCGCACCAGCCCATCCCCGGAGCAGGGCTCCTCTGACCGGACCCGCTGATGACTGACTGTGGCTGGATGGCGGGTCGGTCCCTAATGGCAAGGCTGTCCCAGACGCTGCAGCGACTGCCTCCCTCTCTCCACCAGGGCCAGACCTGCATCGCCATCTGCCGTGGGGGCTCCGCCCTCCCTCCAGCTCCCGCCTCCTCTGCCCTAACAGCCAGGTGTTCTGTGATGCAATCTCACCCGTGCTACCCCCTCCTGGCATCTGCTCTGCAAGGACCAGACACGAGGCACGTCCTGCCTGCCCAACACCGCTCCGCGTGCTTTACACGCCCCACGCCATTCACAGCTGCCGACCACTACCCCTCCCTTCACCGGCAGGAAACTCTGCACAGAGCAGTCCAGTGACCAGCCCGATCACACAGCGCAGGGCTGGAGGGAACCAGACGACCAGCCCCTGAGCCCCTGCTCCCATCACCTGAACTGCTCACCTGGGCATGAGAAATAACCAAACTCGAAGAGAGATGTGGCCTGTTTCTCACCCAAAGGACAGGCGTCCGTCAGAGCGGCACCCACGCCTCCAAGGGCGTGACCTCCCTGACGGCACCTCTACAGTCGCGGGCTGCAGGCTCCAAGGAAGGGCTCATTGTACACTGCAGCCCGCGGATCTTGGAATGTATTACGTATTCAACACAGAATATTAGGAAATGATCACTGATCATTTTAATAGACCTACAGTTGAAAAGTATACAAACCACCCCAAAAAGCATTAAGTTAATATGGAACATAAAGTTTGTGTAACTATTAATAAATTATTAACAACTAGCAGCCCGATGCACGAAATTCGTGCAAGAGTAGGCCTTCCTTCCCCCGGCTGCGGGCGCGGGCTTCCCTCTAGCACCCAGGACCCGGGCTTCCCTCGCAGCCCCAGCTTCGTCCAGAAGGACATCTGGTCTAAATTAGCATGGTACACTTTTATTATTATAGATACCTTGCATGGTGGGCAAAATATTTGACCATTACAAAAAGTCCACATATCAGTCAACTGGGAAAGCCGCGCCCGAGGTGACCGCACACCCTTCTCTTGGACGCACCCCCCCCCCACACACACACACACTCCCCAGCCCTCAGAGGAGGAGCCATGCTCACCTGCAGCTGCCCCAGCATCTGGCCATGCCCACTGCTCTGGAAGCGGCGGGCCATGCTCAGCAGTGTCTGTGATAAAGTCCTCAGCTTGTCCACAAACACAAACGTGTGATTAGCCTGCAGAACAGAGCCCCGTGGTTACGGCGCCGTCTCAGCTGGAAGGATGGTAGCTGTGGCGCCTGCAGAGATGAGCGGGAGTGACTGGACCCCAAGCGCCGTCTGCCTGGTGCTCCACTCCAAGGCCCTCGGGTCTGAGGTGTGTCCCCGAGACCTCTCGCCCAGACTCTCCCACCCACTTACCTGTCCACCTCAGTGTGCCCTTGCTGTCCTCCTCGGGGTCCCCGCCTGTTCCCCTCAGGGTCCCCACCTGTTCCTCTCGGGGTCCCCGCCTGTTCCCCTCAGGGTCCCCGCCTGTTCCCCTCAGGGTCCCCACCGTTCCCCTCGGGGTCCCCGCCTGTTCCCCTCGGGGTCCCCGCCTGTTCCCCTCGGGGTCCCCGCCTGTTCCCCTCGGGGTCCCCGCCTGTTCCCCTCAGGGTCCCCGCCTGTTCCCCTCAGGGTCCCCACCGTTCCCCTCGGGGTCCCCGCCTGTTCCTCTTGGGGTCCCCGCCTGTTCCCCTCGGGGTCCCCGCCTGTTCCCCTCGGGGTCCCCGCCTGTTCCCCTCAGGGTCCCCGCCTGTTCCCCTCAGGGTCCCCGCCTGTTCCCCTCAGGGTCCCCACCTGTTCCTCTTGGGGTCCCCGCCTGTTCCCCTCAGGGTCCCAGCCTGTTCCTCTCGGGGTCCCCGCCTGTTCCTCTCGGGGTCCCCGCCTGTTCCCCTCGGGGTCCCCCACCCGTTCCCCAGGGGGTCCCCATGTTGACCTCACTGTCTAGAACAGCAGATGCCTCCGCTACACCTCGCTTCCAGAAGTACTGCCTGGATGGCTCACCCGACCCTCATTTGCAGCTTACCTTTCGGATGACCTTTCTAATCTCCGGGGTGTTGGGTGTGTACAGTATTTTTCCATGTAATACAGGTTTTAGGAAGGACCACACCAAAGCGCCATTTGGAGACTGTAGTATTTCCTGATAAAGCTTCAAGCAAAATGGTGCTGTTGCAATTAAAAACAGAAAGAGTGTTACCAAGATGGGATGCCCAGGTGAGGGGGGATTCGTTTGCATATCCATGCGCCTTGCTTTCAGTGAGTGATGGACACAAGTCTGCATTTGGGCGGAGACTCAGGAATGTGGCTCTTGACTGTGTTTAGTGGCTCCTGTCTCATGAGCAGCCTCAGGCACCACGTTCTCATCGATATTTGAAAGAAACGGAGTGTGACCTTCACATTCCAAACTGAGCTTCGACGGGAGCACTGGGGTGGCAGGGACCCCGAAGACGGACACGGTGAGAAAGGGAGCTCTGGCTCCCAGTCCAGAGAGCCTGTAGAGTTTGGGGGCCAGCACAGATTTTTTACATAAAATTCGCTTTATAAACAGCTACTGGTTGTCTTTGCTGCACTATACAGAGCTGTGGAACTCACTCCTTTGATATGTGAAACTGCCTGTTTTCACTCAGACCCTCCATTCCTCCCGGTGGTGCAGTGGGGTGTGCTTGACTCAAGCACAGGTGGGAATGAAGGCAGGGCCTGCATCGCCATAGCGATGAGTAATCAAGCGTCATCAGGCCTGAAGCCGGCGTGCGTGCTCCCGTCCCTCTTGCATTTCCCCTGAAGAGAGCATGTGGAATGGAAATGCTCTCTCTGCTGTGATCCCCGATTCCTGACACCCGAGGCGTGAAGAGCACGGTTGTGGTTATTTCCTCCACATTCACCATGTGACTCAGAGAGTACTATAAAACCGATAGAAATAATCCCATAAAATGTCAAGTGAGAGCATGAGTACATAATAAATTTAAAGCATGAATTATAGAGCTTGCTCTGCATTTTAACAACTTGCACTTTAAATTATGAGCTTAATGTAGACAGTAGCGACTTTGATTTCAGAAGAGACATATTCGTGTTTATGTGCAGCTGCCACGCCAGCGCCGGGCAGCCTGACTGAAAAGGAAGGACACTGCTGAGAGTGTTGGTCATGAACGGGTTCTGACTTGTGTCAGATGCTTTTTCTGTATCGATTGGTATGATCATATGATTTTCATTTTGTTTATGTGATGTAACATGTCAATTGATTTGCAGATATTGAACCAACCTTGCATTCCAGGAATGAATCCCACTTGATCATGGGTATTTTCTCTTTAATGTATTGCTGAGTTTGATCTGTTAACATTTTGTTGAGAATTTTTGCACCTATGGTGCCAGGTGGACACTGGACTAATGGGGCGGCGGGAGGGGGGGGAATCACTTCATAAATTATATAAATGTCTGACCACTATGCTGTACACCTGATACTGATATAATATTGAATGCCAACTGTAACTGAAATTTTAAAATTCCAATAAGAAGGAAGGATAAAAGTTAGAGGGTGGAAAAGCAATTCCTTGACAACCTTCTAAACCAAGCATTTTGTATAAAGCAAAGTGAATGGTCAATATGCAAATTAATCAAAGCAGACATGGATCACAGTCTTCTTACTTGAGTCTTCAGGAATGTTGAATTTTTCTTTGTCACTTGCCAAGAGCTCGTGAACTCTGGGCAAGTTAAAGAACATGTTCGAGTGGCTGAGAAAAGACTCTTGCTCCTGGCAAACCATCGTCATCACGGCCTGGAAAGAACTGAAGGCTGAACGGGCCGGGTCCAGGGGGGAAGCCTAGCACAGGAAACACACTTCAGTGAGCAGTACGTGAGCAATGCCCTTGCAGACCTGTAGAAGCCCCCCTCCTCCCACTGAAAACATACGGCAGCTAGTCACAGGTGTGCAGTCCCTGCCGTGGCCTGTTCTGTTCTGCGAAAACCATGCAAACCACCAGGGGGTAGGTAGGGTCACACACACAGCCAATCCCTATCCACGATGAACTATGATCCACGCAATGTCACCAACGCAGACTAACGCTCTCAGTGTGGTCTCTACTGGCAAACTGCCCACACCGACGTCTCCCCTAACTGTCCCTGGGCTGATGGGCAGCTCCAAGGACTCACTCCACCATCTGCCACATCCTGCCCCCCATGTCCACACCCGACACACTCCCTCCCAGTCAGTTCCATGCCAGGCAGAGAGTTGAAGCAAAGACGAATATCACACCACTAACCTTTCGAGTTTGTTTGTATTTGCAGAAATGCCCTGTAATTTTATGCCAATTATTTATATGGAAGTAACTGTCTCAGGTTTGAGAAAGCATTTACTCTCCGACTTGAGTCAATAAGCCCTGGACTCTCATTTGTGCTGACAGACTAGGCACGGACGGCCCCAGCCTCCCTTCTCAGAGAGACGCCGGGCCTGGCTTTTTGTCGTGCTGTTGCCCCAGAGCCATTCAAAGGTTTTCCTGTCCCTACATTGTTGTCTCGGGCAGCAGTTAGATGTGGCAAAAGAAATACAGGCAGAAGGACCGAGGGCCCAGCACGTCTGAATGCTTCCCTGAGGCCCAGATCAAACACACACCTGCTGAAAGCCGGGCACGTCCAGCAAGGCTGTGATGTTCGACGTGTGAAGGAACTGGGGGAGGTGTTCCAGGACGCGGCTGGCTCTGGGGAGCAGGTGGCTGAGCCTGGAGACGACGTCCAAGAGGGAGCTGAGCATGCTCTTGGCTTCCGCCGGCATCAGAGTCTTGAAGGAAAACACACAACACGAAATCACCACCACCACGCTCTGCCTCCCAGGGGCGTCATCTGAGGGCGAGGACCTGCTTGCTCTCATTCTCTCCTGACCTCTTCCCCACCCCCGGCAGCAGCCCCACAGACGTCGCACAGGCCACGCCAGCTGCACCCTACCTTGTAAATGAAGTTGCGCAGGTCCAGGTTGCGGATCACAGACACAAGCAGAGAGTACACTCTGGCCCCGGGCAGGCCACACAGCTCCTTAGTGGCAAAGCCAGCCTTCCCGTCCTCAGGAAAGGCCAGCAGGAGCCGCAGCACATCCTGGTCACATCTCCCGGACAGAGCCACCGTCAGGGCGCCAGACAGGACCTGGTGGAGGAGGGTCCGAGCAGATGCACCCAAGCCGGGCAGCCCCCCTCAGGGAGGAGCCTGAGCACCCAAAGCCCTGAATGAGGGGGGTTCACCTGGAGACACACGAGCCCACCTCAGTTCCACTCACACATTGGGATGAAAATGTTTCTGAAATGTGCGCCTAATTTAAGCAACCTGCCCTCTGATGACTCAGGGCAACACATGGCCACCCGCCTCCCCCGGCCCTCCAACCCTGGCTGCTCTCAGACGGAGCGCTTGTGACTTTTTCTTCACATTCAGCCTCAGCCTCTGCTGTCAGTTTATCACTTTTACTTCTCACAGTTATCAGTGTGAAACTATGTGTTTTCTCCTCTTTTTGCAACTTGAAAACCAGAGTTCTGAGCTTCTTATAATTTTTGAAAAGGAAAAGCAAACAAAGCCAGAAGGAGGGGCTGAGGAGGACCTGTGTTCAATCTAGTTTGTGACTAATGACCCAGTGCACAGATTTGTGCACATTGAAAGGAAATTAATTAGACGGTGGCCAGGGAGGTGGGGCTGGGCAAGACGGGCCAGACACGACCTGGAGCCAACCTCCCACGGTCCCTCCCCGGCGTCAGCGGAGTGAACAGAGTCCCTCTGGCAGGTGGGGTCCCTCGGCCTGGCCTGCGGGGATCAAGCCAAAACCGGCTCTCCGACATCCCCCAAGGGGTCCAGAGTGCGAGAGGGCACTCTGCAAAGTTGCTGTCGTACAGGGTGTGGAACGCAAACTCAAGTGTGCAGTAAACCAGATTTGGGGCCAACAGAGCCCCAGTAACAACATAACCCACGCCCGAAGGTGGAATCCCACAGCCCCACAAGGAATCAGGCTCCCTCCTCTCCAGTTTTGGGGTGTGTCACCCTAGAACTGCTGCTGCCAAGTCACTGCAGCTCGGCACTCCTGCATTGAGCGTCTGCCCCATGGTGATCAGTGGACATCATAGCGACCGGTCAGACAGTCAGGCACTTAGCATATTAGCCTTTTATATATATAGATAACGCCCTCAGAGGAGCTGAGCTGCTCTCTGTGTGGGTGTGGCTTTCAATTACTGAGCAATAAAATTTTAAAGACATGAGCTTCCCTTCCTATCTATGCTCATACTCTGACAGGTACAACTGCTGCGAAACGTTCGACCCAGCGAGGGCTGAGACCACAAGCGACTGTTCAATTGCCAGGAGCCTGAGAGCAGGAGGAACTCATCTGATGCTTTCATATCACGTCATAAAATGCCCAAAACGATGAACAGTTAGGGTTGGGGCTCTCCTGCACACACCAATAGGACGTGTCTATAACATGCAGAGATATTTCTAAGGAACTGGCTCACACAATCGTGGGCCAGCAAGAAGGCGGCCCCAGGCATAGCTGACACTGCAGCGCAGGCCCAGAGCCATCCAGTCTCCTCTGAAGCCCTCAACTGATGGGATGTGGCCCACCCCCACAAGGAGGGCTGCCTGCTTCACTCAAAGTCTATCCATTTAAAGGTTAATCTCATCTTATACCTTCTCAGACATTCAGTTTGGTGTCTGACCAAATATCTGGGTGCTGCGGCCCAGCCAAGCCAGCATTTAAATGAACCCCACAATGACTGGGATGTGCGGAAGGACATTTGCAACCTGTGAGGGGACACGTCAGTTGTGTCCAGACCTACTTCACCAATTTCATCACAGGGGGCTCATGGTGCAGACACACCTTCACCTTCGCCAGAAGACGGAGAAGTGAGGGGATTAAAAATACCTGAAGGGCCCTGGCCGGATGGCTCAGTTGGTTAGAGCAACATCTTGTGCACCAAAAGGTTGCAGGTTCGATCCCCCTTCAGTGTACATAGGGAGCCAGCCGATCCATCAATGTTTCTCTCTCTGTGTCTCCCTTCCTCTCTCTAAAATCAATCAACATCCTCCGGTGAGGATTTAGAAAAAGAAACTGACCGTTAGAATCACTGGCCAGAATAGCAAGCGCTTTGCAGAGATCAATGCAAACCCTGAAAGTGAGGTTCAGAACTATGTACCTAAGTGTGCACACAGGTGCACCCCCTGCGAGGTCCCCAGCACCCGCCACCCACACGTGCCTCCCCGCATCCCATGTCCTGACGTAGCCGCCGCCCAGAGAACCCTGCTGCTCAGAGCGGGGACAGCCCGGCTTCTGGAGGCGCCGCCGGGAAGGGCATGTCCACGTGGACGTGTGAGTGAGGCCTGCTACTTTGCTCAGTGGAGAAGTGCTCCCTGCAGGCGGCCAACAGCTGGACTGAGGATCCGATGCGACGAAGGCACAACCGACCGGCCGTGCTCGGAGTCCAGGGAGACGGGTATCAGCAGTGGCCACAGGGACACGCAGGGCGCTACCTGCTGCCATGGGACAACCTAGGAAACCAGAGCCCAAGGGTCGCCTCCTAAGGGACCCCAAGCGCAGGCAGGGTCTGTGGACGCGTGCGGGTTCGTGGACACACATCATGATCAAAGCGCGTGAGTGTGTCGTGTTCTTGAATGGCAGGAATGCGAGCTTTCTCATAGCCTCCCGTGCCTCACTGTCCAGCAGTTAGGTGACCACAGTGACGTCCACTGTCAAGCAGGCAGAGGGAGAAGCAGGGACGCGGGGATCAGCTGGCAGCCATCTGCACAGCAATGTCCCTCTGCACAGCCTCCTCCAAGCACAGCCTCCTGAGATGGGGCGCCGGCGACACCTGGTGGCAGCATGCTTGACAGGCAGCAGCACCAGCCTAGGTCAGAGCCTGATGGGAAAGGGCCTGGAGGGAGCCGACTGTCCCAGCTCCAGCCGGAGGTCAGCCTCTTCCTTAGCCAGTTCTGCCCCGCTGCCTGGAGGTCCCACAGGGAACTTGATCACAGCTGCATACAGATGCTCTCTTACCATCTCACCCCCCCACCCAGGCACTGGGGCCTCTCCTACCACCTCACCCCCTACCCAGGTACGTGGCACTCAATGAGCCGCTTTTTGGGATTGTCCTTCAAGACAGATGTTCTGTGACAACCACAAAGAGCTTGCTGATGCTGTCATTTGAATTCTGGGTTCCTAGCTTCGCTCTATTTCTTTCTTAGTACAGATTCATTCTCCATTAACTGATCTACCTGCCACAGTTTGCATTTAGCCCCAATTAGCCAGAATCCACATGAAATTTAACACATGGAATTGGGGTCCAGCTGACTGTCAATAAAAATGTTCACTGGAAAGCCATCTTCATGGTGACTGGTCTGGAAGGTTCTCTGCGGGGAAAGTAAACCCTCAACTGGCCGAAGTGCTGGAAGGGCAGCTAGAAATACCTGCTAAGACTCAGGTGCTTCCCAGAGCAGCATGAGGTTCACCTGCCTGCCCCGCCCTCCGTGCGTCCCCACCCCCTAGCTCAGTCGCCCTGCCATGCATCTCAGCCACCCTGCGGGGCCCAGCCCCTCACCACAGCCCACCACACTAGCGGTAAGACGGTACAGCTGCTCTCTCCCTACAGGCGGCCATAGCTCACTCGGACAGTTTGAGACGTGTGGGGTGTGCGTCGGGGCTAGAATCCCTGGAGTAAGTATATCGCCAAGTTCATCCTTCCTCACCCCAGGGAGGCAACACTGTGACACTAAGGGCCCCGAGGTGTTGGCATCAGACAAGGGCACCTCAGTTCCCTCTGCCTCCGGGTGGCATGGATCACAGCAGCCCAGCCCGGTGTGGGAGGGCGGGAGGAGGGCGGAAGCGGCCACACTGTACCTGTGAGCGGGAAATATCTGCTTCCAAAATACTGCTGATGGTGTCATCTGAGAGGTGGGCAGAGCGAAGCTCCTCGGTGAAGGCGGTGAGGTTCCTCACCAGGTCTCTCACTCTCCCATCTGAGAAACAGCAGCGGGAGAAACAATACAGTAACGCATGCCGGGGCTGGTACTGAAAACGAGGTTCGATGCTAACACCTGGCGAGGCCCGTTTCCTCCCGCAGCCGCAGCCACGCCAACACCACATGGTCTTACTGACCGCACCCTGAGCCCCGCCCGCTCCTCGGAGCCAGCAGGTTCACCGGTTCACCGGAGCCCAGCAGCCCCGGGCGCAGCGGCTCTCCCCGCCCCTCGGAGCCGGCAGGTTCACCGGTTCACCGGAGCCCAGCAGCCCCGGGCGCGGCGGCTCTCCCTGCTCTCTCTGGGACCTGCACATTATAGATTTCCTCCGGGAAGAGGTTCCCTTAGGAGCAGGACCACGTGCCTCCCTTCCCTCCATGCATCTACTTATCTACCGCTTTCCACCAGAGAAGGGTCATGGACTGCCGGGGGCCCCAGGCCCGGGCACTAATGCCACAGGCGGCTGTGAACTGCCAGAGTGAGGGCCATGGGTCCCCGCGTGGCCTGGGAGCAGGGCAGGTTTGGCAGCAGGATTTGAGGACCTGCCTCCTTCACCCCAAACCCCTCAAGCCAGCCGAGCTCTGAACTGTTATTAATCACAACAGCATGACTTTTCTCTTTTATGTTTTATTTTGATCATATTTTTGTGTGAGAAACTGAACTTCACCTTTAATCACGCAAACTTGGAAGAACCACATACTTACCCACAGCTCCTGTGAAACTGCTAGGAGAAGTCATCATCAAATTCCCAGGAAACAAAATCTTTTCGAGCCTCTGGGCCAACCTGAAATGGCAGAAATTAAAGCTGATTTACACAAGACGCCACGACAGAGGCGGTGCCGGGTGGGGAGCCCTGCCTGGCCCCCGGTGGGGAGCCCTGCCTGGCCCCCGGAGGGGAGCGACCACAAGATGGCATCTCCACGGAGTCCTCACACCAGCAGACATGTCTCCTGGCACTCTGTGTGGGCGACCACTCAGTGACACTGCGCCCCAATCCTTGCTGCAGGGCCCCCCGCTGGGCGGGATGAGTCTGGGGAATAAGGGTGCACATTGCCCTGGCCGGGTGGCTCGGGCGGTTGGAGCATCGTCCTGTGCACAGAAAGGTGGTGGGTTTGATTCCAGTCGGGACACATACCCAAGTTGTGGGTTCCATCCCCAGTCAGGGTGCATGCGGGAGGCAACCAATTGATGTTTCACTCTCACACCACTGTGTCTCTCCCTCCCTCCCTCTTCCTCTCTCTCAAGTCAGTAAGTGTGTCCTCCGGTGAGGACTAAAATGAAGGGGTGGATGGAACACAGGGATGTCTCAGGAACTAGGAGTCGGAAGAATGCCTCACTCCAGCAGGATACCAAGTGCCCGATTTCCCCTCCTGTGGTTTGTACTTGGAGAACATAAAACAATGACTCCACTGTGAGGAAGTCGTTTGGGAACCTCTGACTGTAGTGTCGGGTCTCAGCATCGGATCTAAGCCCGCGACCACCGCAAAGCCTGAGAGCTAGCGCTGCTCTCCCATCTCACAACACACGTTACTGTGCACACGGTAAGGTGCGGCCCACGCTGCTGCCTGCAATCCGTAACTGGAAAAGGCAAGGCAGCGCCCACCTGAAGGAAACCGTGGTGCAGCGGGCCCACTGACATACGTGTGCAGGCGCCGCGGGGTCCAGTCCCACGCGGGCGGGCACGCACAGCCCCGGGCGGCGGAGCTCTCCAGGCGCCTCCTGAAGCGCCGCAGGGAGCGGGAGAGGTTTCTGCGGAGACCCTCACAGTCCAGCTGACCGGGCGCGGACCACACCTTCTCCAGGTCCTGGAACAGCAACGAGTCAGAACGCAGCTGAGTCAGGGGTCAGGTCTGAGCCCACGTGCTGGGAGGTTTCAGCTCATTTTCCCAGAACGAGAGAAACAGTGAGGAGTCAGGCGGTCCCGAGAATGCAGGCTGGAGGAAGGCATGGCCCTGGGGCTCCGCGTGACACCCCTCACAGGAAGGCACCTCCAGTTCACAAGTGATAACTACCTGCAGCCCTGACTCCCCACACCACCGTGCACACCGTCAGCAAGCTCAGGGGCCCTCACTGCTCCCACCACCGTGCACACCATCAGCAAGCTCAGGGGCCCACACTCCCCACACCACCGTGCACACCGTCAGCAATCTCGGGGGGCCCACGCTGCTCCCCACACCACCGTGCACACCGTCAGCAAGCTCAGGGGCCCTCACTGCTCCCCACACCCAGCACCAGCAAGCTGCACGGGCCCTCACTGCTCCCCACACCCAGCACCAGCAAGCTGCACGGGCCCTCACTGCTCCCCACACCCAGCACCAGCAAGCTGCACGGGCCAACCCCATGGACATGAAACTCTGAAACATGAAAGACAACCAACCTGGTAGAGGTCACGCAGCACAGGGACCCCCTGCAGAGCAGACACAATGAGCCACCGCATCCCACCTGGCTGGCAGCTCCGAGCAGCACACAGGGCATCCCTGGCCAAGGATGGGTTTTCTGCCAGAGGAGACAGAGAATAATTACTCACCCCTTTTCTCCGGAAGGAGCTGCTCTCCCGGTGTCATTTCTTAAAGACTCAAAGTGATACAAATTCAGAGATTTCTTAAATCATCAAAATGAACCTTGGAACATGAGGGGAGAGCTGTGGCTTTTCAGTTCCAAATGTAACTAGTTACTCAGTTTCCTGGGCCTACCCGATGGACAGAAATGCGTTTCCCTCAGCCATGTCCCCACAGTGGTCCCTCTTCTGCACCTGCTGGGCAAGGTACTCACTCACTCTGAGCTTCTCTCCTCATTCCCTCTGTTTTCTCTGAAATCTTGCTTCTCTCCCCATTCTCTACATTTTCTCTGCCCTCTCACTTCTCTCTTCATTCCCCCCATTTTCTTTGATTTCCCACTTCTATTTTCTCTGATCTCTCTCTTCTTGACTCATTCTTTCCATTTTCTCTGATATCTAGCTTCTCTCCCATTCAAATTACTCACTCAGCAAAAATTCAAAGCCATGACTCAGCAAAAAGGCAAAGCCATGACTTGGCAGAAATTCAAAACCATGACTCAGTCAAAAAAAATCAAGAGCCTAACTCAGCAAAAAATCAAAACCAGACTCAGCAGAAATCAATATCATGGGTAAGGGCCAGGGCTAGGGGATTAGGATTAGGGCTAGGGCTAGCATTACAGTTAGGGTTAGGGTTAGGGTTTAGGATTTAGTGTTAGGGCTTAGGGTTAGGGCTTGGGTTTAGGACTAGGGCTAGGGCTAGGGTTTAGGGGTTAGGGTTTGGGTTAGGGTTCAGATTCTCACCTACTGTCCCTGAGCAGAGATGGCAGTGCCCTTTCAGTCCCAAAAGGAAGGAAAGTGGCACACTGATCAAGGTTAGGGCACCCAGCCTGCATACTCATAGGTCACATCCAAAAATCTCCCCCCACCTCACATCCTCACAGCCATCTCTCCTCCTGACAGCACCCGCTGGGTCTCCGCCCCAGCTCACCCCTGCACCGCCTTCCTCTCTGAGCCTGAGGCTCCCCCTAAAGGGAGCTGCTGTTATGGGTCCTCCGAAGGCTCAGGTCACATGTAGGGCCTCCCCCAGCTCACTCCCCAGCTCCAGCTCCCCAGTCCCCTGCACCTCCTGCACCTCCTGCACCTCCTGCACTGTGCTGCCTCCCCTCCGGCCTGCCTTTCGGGGCCCGGCCTCAGAACACCTGCGGCCCCGGCGCAGGGTCTTGCACTCCTGCCCCCGACTGTGCGGACCGACAGGGGCTCATCCCAGCTGCACGGACCCCCGGCACGCACACTCGGGGCCAGACTGTGCAGGGCTGTGCTCACTTCTTGTCCGGGTCACTGTTCTCACACGCTCATCCCGACATGATTCAAGTATTCGATCCGCAGGAGGAAATGACAGCTCTCCTCCTGCTTCAAACTCAGCTCAGTGGCATGTTAATAGCTACTCCATTTCCAGTAGGAAAGTCACTGGGCTGACTGCGCGCCCGGATGCTGGAGGAGCAGCCATGCCCACTGTGGCCCATTCGGGCCCGAATCCTATCGGTACCTTCTCTGGGCCTGTCACCGCCTCCCCTGCAGATGACATATTTGAGTTTTCTTGTTGTGAAATGTAAAAATTCAAAATTAACTTTCTGTTACTAATTTAACTTCAAGTATGCTATATTAATTTAGCAGCCACAGTGCAGAATGACAAAACGCACATAAATTCAGGTATTATTGAATGTAAATTCCTTCCGCTGCCCTCCCACTAGCTGACTGAGATGTCAGCATCATCACACCTCCGAGGTGGCTGGGCGCAGGGTGCCACATAAGCGGGCGGAAGAGCAACAAGCACGACCCGCGCAGCCTCCTCCCGGCACCTGGGCACTGAGGCCCTGCACTGACCGTGCTGCCCGGGCCTCACACCCCCACCCAGAAACAGACTCCCTTTCAGAAAACAAGACCCTCCGTGGCCAGCGGGTTTCCTGGGAGGCAGCCCAGCATTTCCTTCAGCAGCAGCACAGAGGGGAGAGCTCACTGAGATATGCAGGAAAGGACTTGGCAAGCAGGACCTCAGTAGACGAGTTAATTCATTTACAATCCAAACATTTAGTCGAGGGGTCCTCAAACTACGGCCCACGGGCCACATGCAAATACAAATACTGTATTTGTTCCCGTTTTGTTTTTTTACTTCAAAATAAGATATGTGCAGTGTGCATAGGAAGTTGTTCATAATGCTTTTTTAAACTATAGTCCGGCCCTCCAGCGGCCTGAGGGACAGTGAACGGACCCCGTTTAAAAAGTGTGAGGACCGCTGGGTTAGTCATTCACTGCACAGGTGCTGGGGGGGACGCGGATGGATGGAGTCAGCAGCAGACCCTGCCCTCGGGGAAGTCAGACGGTGGTAGGAAAGCCTGAAACATGAGCACCGAGGGCCCTGCGTTCAGGTGACCGCGTGGGTCCCTCAGCACACCTGGGGGAGGGGAGGAAAGAGCATCCTCTGTGCCAGGCACAGGATGTGCACCAGGTGCCGACATGGCGGCTGCCTTCAAGAAACACGACTCTGCTAGAGGAGGGAGCTGTACACACACTAGTGAGCGCCTCGGCATCGCATCTGACAGAGGTCTGCTCAAGCCACGGCCAGCGAGGGGTGGAGGCAGGCCTCCTGGAGAGCCACCCCAGCTCTGACCCCTCAGGGCCTCGGCCGCCAGGCTAGGAAGGCTGCATGTCACCCTCAAAGAAACTAGGGAGGTGTCCACCGTCGCGCTGACAGCCAGGCCTGGAGACCGGGGCGTGAGCAGCATTTCCCACGGAGCGGCCCACCTGTGAGCATGAGCAGCACACGCAGAACCAGCGTCCTCGCTCTGTGCAGGGTCCCCACGGCTGCTGCGGGCTTCCCGGGCGGCTGGGAATCCTGGCACATTCTGGCAACACTCGGGAGAGAAAGAAACGCCATTAAAGGGTGAAGGTGTGGGCCACGGCGTCCTCCCTGTGCCCGGGAACAAGTGGCAGCACACGAGTGGGGACTCCGGGCCCCGGCACCGCGCACACCACCAGGGCCTCCTGCTCGACCGCAGGCACGGCTTTCAGCCTGGTGCTGCCACGCCAGGACCACGTGAGCTCAGCGCTGTGACTAAATGCACTGGGACGGGCCGCTGCAATCCGCGAGCTGCCGAAAACGGGTTTCTGCGGAGTTGCCATGAGCCCCTGCAGGTGACAGAGTCTGAAGTCACCTGACACCTCTGTAGGCCAGCCTCGGGGAGCTAGACGGGAGAGCCGAGCACTGCTCCAGATACGAGACAAAGGTCTACTTCTCGGCTACAAGGAAACACAGACGAACCGGAAGAGAAGGTGGCTGAGCCTAGTTATTACTGAACTGTGTTTTAGCCACAGAAGAACAAACATAAGAATTCATCTTTCTGGCCAAAAAAAAAAAAAAAAAAAAACCATGACGGTGTGTAGAGCCATTTACTAATCACCATCAGGTTAATATGTATTTTGGTAAATCATGAGATTTAATTATTATATTTCAGTTGTGTCACATGATCGGGGCCTGGGAGCAAGAGTCACTATTCAGTCTCTGCACAGCCATGAGGGTGACTTTCATTCTTGCTCAGTAGATGTGTTGTTCTGAGTATGAAAACGCACTGTCCCTGTCTCAGGGTCCCAGCCTCTAAATGAGGAGTGAGGTCGAGGCCAGGATGTCAGACGACAGCATGGCTGCAGAGCACCGGCGACCTTGCTCATCACACACAGGCTTCGACGGGCAGGTTCCCACCAGCTCCCAGGGAGGCGCTGGTCCTGTGAGCTGACACTGTGGAGACAAGTGCTCGGGTCTCCTTGCACCAAAAGGCTGCAGGTTCAATTCCCAGGCAGGGCACATACCTAGGTTGCGGGTTTGATCTCTGGTTGGGACCCTTATCAGAGGCAACCGATTAATGCCTCTCTCTCGCTCTCATTCTCTCCCCCTCTCTCTGCCCCTCTCCCCCTCTCTGTCTAAAAAATCAATAAAAACTTATCCTCAGGTGAGGATTTAAAAAAGAAGAAAGGGTGGCCTGGGACATCCAGAGCATCTCTGAGACATGGGAGCAAGTCCTGCAACCTAAGGCAGCAGACAACTGAGCCTGACATGTGCAGGCTTCTCAGAGCAGGGTTCCCCAACCTACCATCCAGGGGCGGGGGCAGTGCTTGGAGTGGGTCAGCCAGGTCGTGTGAGGTTGAATCTAAAGAGGGAGGAAGCCAACCGCTGCCTGGCCCCTCGCTGTAGCCCCGCAGTCACAGCTAGAAGCAGCGTTTCCTGTGGGAGGCGTGTGGCCTCTGTCTCACCTGACACAGCGTGACCTGTGGCTGCTCGAGCACATGAACAGAAAGGCTGTGTATCGACCGAGTCTTGGGATAGGTGAACAGAGTTAAGAGGTTTTTACTGTTGAAAATAAAATAATTTACCTTTGAAAATTTGTGGATAAATTCAAATTCTATTTGCAAATAAATGAGTCAGACAGTGAAAGAGACTGGACTTGACTCGCGCCATGGAAGCTGCCTTCGGACAATAATGAAGATGAAGTGAGGACACGGGCCCTGGTCAGTGTACGCCCTGCCTGTCCTGCTTTAGCCGCTGTGGTAGGAAACAGCGAGTGTGAAATACCTTTCATCTGCCAGGACTTCCTGCCAGGACTCCGTCCACGCAATTAACCCCTTCACGCAGTTCTCACACGGTGCCGGTGCCGGTGCCGGTGTGAGGTCAGGAGAGGCGGTCCTCTCTCTCCGGGCCTTCTCCCCTTTCTCTGATGTGACACTCTTTCCAGAGGCTGCATTAAGGAAAAGCTCAAGGACGGGCTGAAGCGCAGTTTCTGCAGAACTTGTCCACTGAGGGTTGCTCAAGAGAAGCTCTTTCCGCAGGAGCGCTGCCCCGCTCAGCACGCTCCGGGCGGCTTCCTCCAGGTGCCGAGGCGTCACTGCCCGAATCAGAGAGGAGGTGAGAGCCCAGGCTCCACTCCCGGCGCCTCCATGGGCGACCTCCACAGCTGTCCCCACGGCTTTCAAAAGGGCGTGTGCATGCTGAGCCCACGTCAGCCACAGCTGAGAAACATTCAAGGCATCCTTCTCTAAGGGACCCCACAGAGCGACGGCCAGGTCAGCCACCATTCCCAAGAGGGGCCCCAGGTCCGTGCTGTCTCGTGACCGCATTTCATCCAAAACCAGGGCCACTGCATTAGCATCCCAAGGGAAACCACGTGTGGAAACGGGATTCGGACGTAGTAAGTCTGTCTGGTTGGGGATGTGATTTATAGAAATTAAGCAATCTAGGATTTCTTCCCATACGTTGACAGAATCGATAGAAAATATTTGAGTTCCATTGTTAATTGCTACCAGAAGATGTTCCATGTCTCCCAAATTGATTTCCCCAGAAGTTAAAAATTCTGCAATTTCTTCTGAAATATCAGAAAAGTCCCTGGACTGGTTCACATAGGATAATATGCTAGATGATATATTGAAAATACCAGAGTTTTGGGAAATATTAGGTTTGATCCCAATCATCCCAAAGGCCAAGTCCAGAAATGGCATCAACACGTCATTTATATTTTCAAATACTAACTGATCCACTTTTTTCAAAGCAGTTATTTCATTCACAACATTTCCAACATTCTGTTGCAAAATGGAATATAGAGAATCAAAGAATTTCATGGTGTCGTTGGTACCCGAGACAGGATGAGTTTCCAACGCAGCGGCCACCTTCCGGGAAACTTTCTTGGCGAGCTGGAGCAGCGCCACAGTGGAGTTCACAGACGCGGCCAGGTCCCTCATTTCCACACCTGCGCTCACCAGCACGCCTAGAGCACCAGGCATTTCCGGGAGGGGTTCCGGGGCGGGACGTCCTCCACCAGCTCTTGAGGTAACACCAAGAAAGCTCTTAGTAGTTTCTAATGTTGCTCTGTTTCTTCGAGGGAATGAGTGGTTTGTGAAGGAAAGCAGATCAGTCAGGTGAGCAAATAGAACCTCTCGGAGGGAAGGACACGCGGCACGGAGGTCCTGGTTGGGAGAGTTTAAAAGAGAATCCGTAACAGTTGCTATCTCTAGTGAGGCTTCTCGCATGCGGTGAAGAGCTGCCTGGAGCTGGTGGCTGCGCTGGGAGAGGTTTGCAGAACTATTCATGTGGAAAAACAACTGACTTACCTGGGTAAGAAACTCCAAATTATTTTCAGTCTTATTTTTCACAGAAGTTTTACTTAGAAGAGCATTAAATAAATCTCGCAGGAACTTCCATCCTCGGTGATTATCAAAATAAAAGTCTGTGTGGTCTGACATGAACCATCCTTTGATTAGGTGATATACAGTCTCCTTTAACCTTGAAAAAATGCTCATCAATTTTTCTTCTTTCATGTAGGTAAGAAATTGGTCCACTTTCAGAATTTCTAAAACTTTATCCTTTGGGACAAAGCTGTAAATATATATTTTTTATTTCATGTTTAGCAATGGAAAGATTAAAACATATAGTTTTTATTTTTGTTTTATATGAGCATTATGGGGGGATAATACTGACTGGTTGCTGATGCTAAAATACACCGCCAATGAAAGTTAATATTTGTTCCAAACAAAATAAAGCTTGTTGGCAAGCTTCAAAGGGATGGAAAAGGGTATATGGGAAAAACATGTGACTGTTAGTTTTAAAATTTTTGAATTTTGTCAATTCCCAAATATAAACATCACAGTACATAAACTGAAAATATTTAAACTCCTCAGTTGCGATTAGACAGTTATTACAATAATTTGAATTATGACCATGATTCATATGCGTAAATATTTAAAAACTAATTTTAATTTCATATAACAGAATTTCATAATTATATTCATAATCAAAAAAGACAAGAAAGTAGAGTAAGTGACTAATTGCCAGGGGCTAAGCAGTTTCTATGTATGTTTAGTAGTTAAACAACAGTCATCAGTTACTTTACCCTGACGTTTCAGTAAGATGTTCGCTAGGCCACAATTCACTTCAAAGAGCTTTCACAGGGCCAGGCACAGTGCTGCTCGTGGCAGGTGCGCCGCGGGAGGTAAAGTGGGTTGAATGTGTAACAACATGTACTGCACAGAAGCAGACTCACCTCATCTCTGCAACGATGTCGTGGAGGTCTTTCGGCAAAAGAGATGTTTTATTCTCAGAATTTTCCTTTTCTAAAAAGGTGAAGAATGTTTTCAAAAGCTGTCCCATGGACTCCACCATGCCTCCTGGAGGGAGAAGTACCCTCTCACCCTTTTCTAACGGTGTCTGGTTCAAGGTGAGGTTAATGAGATTCAGGATCTGAAGGTCAGTGTCACTTAAGTTCCAGGCTGCTTGTCGAGAGCCCGCAGCTAAGTTATTGACTGAATTCATTAGGAAGCTTTTCAAAAGCAACCTAGCAACTGAGAAATTGGTTGACTGTTCTTGGTTGACCAGTTGAGCAAGAAGGTCAACGTGAGAATCACCTCCTCTGGAAATGTTTTTGAGATAATCCGAAAAGGTATTAATATCTTTAATCAATGTTGAACTCTCACTGACCAGAAGGAGGAATAATATTTGTATTATTCTGGAGTGTTCTTCACTTGCATGTTTATGAAGCCAGTTTTTTGTGACGGATGGAAAACCTCCAGTCGTTTCTGATGAAGGCAACGATGATGAATTCAGGCTTTCCAAAATGTGGATAAGTTGCTCAGTCATTTTCTGAAGAGCCACTGAGTTAATCATTGGAATCTCTTCATTTATTTTAGAGAACAGGGTTCTTCTCTTGAAATTGAGGTTTGGATCTTTCATGGCTTGTTCAGACTCAAGCCACAGATCTTCAAACTTGTAAGCTGTTTTACTCTTTTTAATAAAACTCGATAGTGCTTCGAAATGCCTTCCTAGAAGGTTTGAATTCAAAAACATCATGAATAGAGAGACTACAGAGCGAGTACTATTTCCTAGGCTCTCATCCCCAGAAAGTGAATTTATCACCCTTCCCAAACTTAAGGGAAGGCTCCTAAGAGATGCCTCTGCGCCTTCATTGTTAAGGACCCTGTTTAAAAGAGCTAAGTTATCAAGAATGTTTTCATCTGACGTAGCTTTTGTAAAACTGACGTTTCTAAACTTTTCTATGATTTGTAAAGCAACTTGCTTCAAGGGGCCAGGAGGACAGAGTCCAGAGGTGCTACCCTTGCTCTGATTTCCAGATAGGACAAATGGAAACACCTTACGCCTAAATTCTTGCACAGTTTTCACAAGCGAGGTTTTCACGTGGAAGACTTCAGACAGCTCTAGAAGAATGGAGCTCCAGTCCACTAGCTCACGAATTACGCAGACCATTTTCTTAGTTATTTCCATCCGTGAGCTTTTGTTTGAACATTGTGAAACTTCACCCGGGGGAGACAGGTGGAGGTGGTCAAGTATACTAGCCACTTTGCTGTAAAAGCGGCCATTACAGGCTTCTAATTCTGGATCCTGCTGAAATCCAGATATTGTGTAATTCCGGCACCAAACCACAGGAAGGCAAGTTACAACCTGGGCAAGAACCCCTGGCTTATCTGATACTAATTCAATGGTGTCCAGGAGAGTTTTCATCACAAACATGAAGTCTTCCTTGGTGACATGAGAAATGCCTATGCCATGAAGGGCTGTGAAGTCGTAGACATCCTTGAGGGCTTTGGTGACGTTCTTGTCCACCACTCTCTGCAGGAGCCTCACAGCGCGAGGGAGGGCATAGTACAGATCCACCACAGCATCCACGTCCTCTCTGGGGAACAGGCGTGACAGCCTCAGCAGATGATTGACATTCCAAGAATGGGAGCTGTCTACAAACTTCTCCATCAAGCCAACAAGCAACTTGACCCCCAAACTGTCAGTACCTGGTCTACTGATATTCTTTATAAAATCCATTAGGCTTTCACCAACTTGTTCGAGTTGGTCTACCAGAAGGTCTATGTCGGTCTTCTTTAGGGTGAGAAGGAAAGAAGCTATCTTCTTTAAAACTTTATTATTACCTGGATCTTCTGGAATATTGTGATGGACTGGGGGCATTAGGGAGTTGAACACATCCCTAATCAGTTGAATACCAAGACCCACAGCTCTCATTATTTCACGTGGAATTATTTGGGGTGAATTTTGGAGATCATCTGATAAGTTGAAGACAAGGTAACTTGCTAAATGAAAAAGTGAATTACCTAAACGATGTATATCCTTTTCCTTTGGACTGGCAGTAAATATATTTAAGAACTTTTCAGCTTTAGAAGAGAAGTTATTTTCCAGAATGTTAGGGAAAATATCTTTCACAAGTTCTTGAATTTCTTTCCCCAGATCTACTAAATGCAACCAAGTATTTTGAAATCGGCTAGGAATTTCTTCTGACATTTCTATAGGTCTTAGAATTAATTCAGTAAAATGTTTCCAGTTGGATTGAGATGCAAATTCAAAGTCTCTTGTTAAGTTGTTGATAAGCATACTTACTTGGTTTGTGGAATTATTTAAAAGAGTTAATAAAATCTCCAATTTTGGTGCCTTTTCTTTTTCAAATACTGCTGTAAGTATAACATTTAGGAAGTCAGTTACATTTTTTAAGTAAATAGCCATACAATTTACATTTGACTTATTCAACGAACAACCAGATTCCACTGTATTCAACAGCCAAGTAACAAGTGTCAATGTAGAATTAATTTTATTTTCCACATCACTGAAATGCTTCAAAACACCCTGAAGAGGGCCTTGTGAAAAACTAGGGTTATAGGCCACATACGAATGATTGAAGATGTCCACCCACTCAACGCATCCTTCCAGTCTACTCACGATGTCCTCGGAGGAAAAGAAGGAATTTAACATGGCCAGAATACGTAACGCCCTCTGTGAAGTATTTACATGTAATAAGCCATCTTCCAAAATAAATTCAATGATGTTTTGGAAACTATCAGCACAGGACAATAAAGTATGGTCATGTGACACATTTCTAAGAAATAATATTGTTTCTCTTAGGTCAGTGATGATGCTTTCAGAGTTTACTTCATAATCCGTGAGGTTATTTAAAAGGAAGTGATTGACCAAGTGTGTATGTCTGTCTCTATAGCCTGAGGTATTACTTACCCCCGTGAACACATTGAGCACAGAATACAAAAACTCCCTGCCTGCTCTTGTGTTGAGCGGAAATGCCTGCAGCTGACTCAGGGCGGTGTCCAGGGTGGAAAGGGATTTCTCCACCTGGTCCGGGTGGAGCAACTTGACTCTAACCAATGCATCACGTACTGCTCCCCAGAGGGCCCTGAGATCCCGAAAATCGTCCCGGTCATGGAAGCCGCCACCTTGAGTCATGTTTTTCAGCAGGTTTAATATGAGTGTAGCAGGGCGATGAATGGGAAATATTCCCTGGCAGCTTTCAGAAATTTTCACATCACTTTCCAGTTCACCCAAAAGCTGGGTAAGCGCGATATGAAGAGGAGTGAAAGCATTCACATCCAGCTCCAACATCTGAGCTGTGCTTCCCCAGATTTCAGCCCACGCCTGAAGCCACGAAATGGAACAGTGAACAGCCACCCGCTCACTGAACACGCTGCCATCTGCGGAGAGGTTTGAATGAATCTGTGCCCACAGAAGAGTAAGTGGAGGCCCTCCATCTACTGAGTAACTCAGAGAAGAAGTGATTTTATTATTCAAAGCAAAGCATTCATTACCCAACAGGGTTCCTACTGAACTGTTGAAGAGCTGGTTCACATACTGAAATAAAGAAATACGAAAATCTTCATCCCCCATGAGCAGCTGTTTGAGGCCGGTCAAAGTAGCGTGGATCACTTCCAACTCTGGGTGCTCTGCGGACAACAGGGACTGGGCTTGAAGCTCCAAAAAGTTGAAAACTGAAAGCAATTGCTGACAATAAGATACTTCAGAAATTCCCCCAAGAAGTTCTGTTGTCTCATATAAAAATGCAAATGCTTTGCTGATATTCTGAAAATTAAATTGCTTCAAAATCTCAAAAATGTGCTTCGAAGTTTGAGTCAGGAAAGAGAGCAAAGACTCTCTCCTCTGGATGCCCAATAATTTGTCAGTGTATTGGTGAAATGAAGAATAAACCTGCAGAAGAAAAGCTGAATCTGGGTCCTTAAAGACATTTAGATAGATATGAGTCAAAATGTTATCAACTTCTTGTCTTTGCGGTTCAGAAAGGGCCGAGAAAAGAGCAGATGCATTCCTCACAGCATAGACAGTGTCCAGAGCCTCCGAGACTTGCTCCTGGCTCAGGAACCCAAGTTCATAGAGACTGTGGATTATAGATTCACTTAGATGAACAAAATCTATTCCCACAGCTGGTGACTCAGGCCAATCCGAGTGAAACAACTTGGAAAAATTAAAGCTTTTACTAAGAATCCTCTCATTTTCTAGAACAGAAAAATTTGAAAGTGTAGACAAGTTTTCGAATTTAGTTCTCTTTCCTTTGGAAATGCCGTACGTCCACAATTCCAGGAGCTTGGGGTTAATTCCAGAAAGTACTGTTTCCATAAATCTCAAAATATAGCTTGATTCCTCCTTTTTAAGAGTGTGCATTTTTTCAATCGCCTCTTTGCCAAATTCCAAAAGTTTCTGAGCATCAAAACCAGATGGCTCTCTTCCTAAATTCTTTAAGTGATTTATCCAGGAATGACTTGCATTTAGAAGTGTCTCAGTGGGACCGCTGGATGAGTCAAAAGGGTTAGGCAACAACAATTTCTCCAAAAATCCCACGAAGGACAAAAGAAAGTTCATTTGCTCATCCTCAAGGGCATCCAACTTCTTTTCCTTCATGAGATGTTCCTTTGTGGCATTTAAGACCCTACAATATTAACAGAACTATATTGGTATCAGAAAAAAAGAAAGATAAAGTCAACCTACAAATTTTCAAGATAATAATCAGATTTATTGTTAAAGATAAATGAAATATTTACTAGACAGTGTGTTTTCCCAGTAGGAATTATATGAATGTGAGCATCTGAACGTGTTTAGAACTCTGCAATGCAGCTGCCAGTATTTAGCTAAAAACCTGCTTGCTGCGCCGAAATAGCCCATTTTCCTCCGTATGGCTGTTAGAGACAGGTCTGCTGCTTATTTATGCAGAAGAACCTTAGGGTGCAATTCCTCATCACATCCCAATGTCTTGGCTGCAGGGATTGTCCCCCGGGCAGCGTGAGTCAGACACTGTCTGGTGCTCTGAGGACCAGTGTTGGGTCCCTGTTCTGGAAAGCAATTCCTGTACCTCCCACCATTACAACCTCATGGGGTACTTTTCCTCTAAGTGTTTATTTTTAAAATACACACCTTTAAAACAAGAGTTCTGCCACAGTAGCAGCTGAGGAGTCAGGACAGGCCCACACTTGTGAACAGAAGTCCTGACTCAGGAGCGACAAGCCCATTGGGGAAGCCCTGGGCCCCGTGTGTCTCAGACATCAGGAAGAAAACATGGCGCACCTATCAGATGAGTGACAATGCCCCCTTCACCCACAGGGGCTGGGGCAGCCCCTTCCCAACCCAGTGACACGTCTGTCCACTGAGAAACCCAGGAATGGACTCAGACCACGTGTGGAGGGTCAACAGAATCGTTAGATTTCAGAATTGTGGATAAGAGATTTGGCTATTAATGGCTTAAAGGGTGAACCTTTCTCAACCTCTTTAAGTCTAATCCTGCTGTGTGACTTGGGCCCAGGAGACACAGGACGATCAAACACAGGAGCTGAGCGGTGCTGCTCTCTAACACCTGGGTCCGGAGCAGAGAAAACACGGGCTCAATCGAGCCTGTTGTTTGCAGGACAGAGAGTGGCTACTCTGGCCCACGGAACACGGAAAACATGCCCATTGGAACGAAAAAGCTCCAGCCAGGGACCCACGCCTTCATCTGCCCGGCCCTCCGAGAAGCGTCTGCACACACACGGGGCGTGTCATCAGGGCTGACAGCGCTGGGGTCCGTGGGTCGCGGGGTGGGAGGAGGCGGCTGTGCATGAAGAGCCCTTGGTATAGAGCCAGTGCCATGAGTGGAATGTGGCCCCACGGTCTTTGTGTCCCTTCACAATCTGTACAGCCACAGCCACAGCCACAATCCCAGTCATCCCTCCACAGCCTTCTGAGGTACATCATCATTTCCATTCGTGGGAAAAGAAACATTTCAAAGAGGGCAGGAACAGGAAGGCACGTGGCCCCGTGTTCTCCCTCCCTGGGAGAGGTCCACCTCCCAGTCACCTCCAGCTCCGCTGTCTTACATTGGTGGCTTCCTGTCCTTCTACCGACTCATTTACCACCACCATCTGGCCTCTATCAGGAAGGTACCGTGCCGGCTGCTACAAGCACAAGCACAACCCTGAACGTGCCATGGAGCGCATACAGACGCCGTGGTTGTTGCCGTCTCTCTTGGGCTATTAAACATTTGAGACTTTCAGGAGAGTAAGGCAAGGCACTGGTTCTCCTTCCCATCCTCCTCCTCCTCCCGGGAGTGAGAGTCCAGGCCTAGAGGTGCAGGTGTGCTCCGAACCAACTGTAGAACCCGTTCACCTACAGAAACCTGGGCCCTGCACACGGCGAGTCAGCGTTTCTGCGGCAGGTCCAGACTTGCATATGACGGCAAACTTCACAGAGAGGTTTGATCCACTCCAAGTTTGTGAGCCCTGCTCTAATGCCAAGCTCTGTCCCACCGCGTCCCTCACACCCCAACAGGACAAAAGCATGGTGACTTCAGGAGGGTGGAACGTCAGGTCTAGGAAAGGCCACAGTGGTTCCTTGATTCTGTTGGAAACCTAACAAAAGAGGACTCGGAATCCTTCTGACTCGACTTCCCCTCTGGCCGAGATGAAGGACAGACAGATGGAAACAGGTAAGCTGGGGGCGACTTGGACCGAACAAGGAACATACTTAACCTAATTAATATGCATAAACCCCGGTACCCGACAACAGAAGTCATGTTCTTTGGAAGAGCACATATATTTACCAAAATCGATTGTGTGAGCATAAAGTTCATCTTACAAAATTCAGAGTCTAAAACATCCAGAGTATGTCCTCTCACTAAAACAAAACTAGAAATCAATCTTTAAAAGTAACTTGAAAAGCCCCCACATGTCCATGGAAATTAAGCGATCTGCTTCTAAATAACTATGAGTCAGAAGAACTCACAATAAATATGAGGAGATTTTGAATTGGAAATATTAGAAATTGATGACAGAGCCCTGCTCATCCAACTGTGTGGAATGTACCAGAGCTCTGTGAGGAGAGGGGGTGGCCCTAGCATCTGTTACAAAGAAAGAAAACCTGAAAACCAAGAAGCTGGAAAAAGATCAAACTAAATTTAGTAAAAAGGCTAATAAAGATAAAGGAGAAATTCATTAAATAGGAAACAAATGTTATTGTTCATCTTTAAACAGACGTCAACGACATAAAACCTAACATCCAAAATGCTGGCCCTTCTCAAACCCCCTGCCCATCAGGTGGCCTCCTTGCACAGGCTCACTAGCCTGGGATTCAGGATCCAGCAGTTTTAAGAATTCGTTTCTAACAGTTTCACCCTTTAACCCTCAGTGTGCTCTGGGCTAAGAACCCTGAAACGGGAAGTGTGTCTTACGCGTTTGGCGGAGCGTGGCCGCCGGGGCCTTCCGTTGTCGCGCTGCCCGTCAGCAGGAGCAGCCCAGCCTGCAAAGCGTCCGCCACCTCTTGCAGGGAGCGGTCTCGCTCCAGCAGGCTCCTAAGCGCCGCCAGGCCTCGGCCGCCCTCCCGCCACCGATGGAGCACCTGTGGTCAGAAACAAGGGCGACTGTCACAACGGTGACTGAGGGGCAACAGCGTCTGGTCAAGAGACATCCACAGGCCATCGAGGTGACAGACGGCCCATCTTACAAGGTCGGGAGACTGAAAGGATTGGTCACAGCTGCATTGTGGCTGAATGTCTCGGACATTAAAGACTACAAACTGCAACAATGGATGGGTGCGACACTTTCATCAGCCCCATTTCTCCTTCCTCCCCACTCCCATTCCCAGAGGAGAAAGCAGTAGGTACATTTCTAAACAAGTGAAACATGCTCCCAAACTAAGCGGACGTGTTTGAGACGGTATAAATACAGTTGTCTTTAAAATGAGGTCATAATTAACACCCAGTCACAAAGGCCCCGGACGTCACAGACTTGGGGATGATGAAGCTCACGGCAATCAGTACGGTGGCTCCACCCGACATCAAAACAGATCGTTCACACGCAGTCATGGAAGGCAGGGAGCACATGACAAGGCTCTGTTGGGGGAGGGGGGACCCTGACAACCCAGCAGTCAGGGACCCGGATAATGGCTGAGCAAGGCGTCCACCTGCCCACGCGATTGATTCCCAGTCTCTCAAGGAGAAAGCCAAGCGCGAGAGGAGAGGAAGTGTGCGCACCTCGTCCAGTTCAGCCGAGTAATTCAGGATTTGCTCCGCGTGGAGGTCGTCAAATCCAAACCAGGCCTGCAGGTCCGCCTGCACCTCCTGGGGGGCCCGCAGCAGGCCACGCAGGGACAGGCCGCGCACCGGCTCTGCAAGGCAGCAGGGGGGACAGGTCACTTCCTCAGCACTGTGGCAGGTGCTGTCGCCGCAGTTCAGAGAACAGCGCCTTCACTTTCAAAGGGAAAGCAAAGGGCAACCCAATGCTATTGGGTCAGTCAAGTAGGAGAAGCAAACCCAGGCTGGCCCTGGTGCGGCCGTGTGGGGAGGGCGCCTGCTCCCGGCGGGAATGACTGCGGATCTCTAAGGTTCTGTGCATCATCCAAGTTACAATGATCACAGAATTCGGGAAAGAAAGGGAAATAGTCACATCAGCCCAGGAGCGGGTGGAACACTGTCCGATCGGTCTAACATCAGAACGACAACTTGGGTTCTGGAAGTCGGGGCTAATGACAGCTCAGAGCACGCGGATGAACAATCCCGAACAGAGCACGGCCGGCCCCGAGCCGGAGCCACTGAGGGCCTTCCCCTCCCCTCGCGCGCTGTCCTCTGCTCGTCTTTGGAGACACAATTAATGAAGACAATTTGTAGCTGCCTCCGGAAGCTGTTCTGTGATGGCTCTTAGCTCTCACTCACTGAAAGTTAACAGCACATCACTAATTTTAATTACATTCTTAACTGTAATTATATTTCCAATTGTAAGGTAAGTGGATCGTGTAATTTGGATGACGCACAGAGCCTGAGCTTCCTAATGACAACGCATTTGTTAACGGAGGTGGCGGAAGGGTTCCGCGAGGGGGTCTGTGTGTCCCCCACTCCGCTGGGCTCTGTGCTGAATTAAGAACCCGTGGCTCCTGCTGCGATGAGCCCACAGGAGAGCGAGGTAAACACTGCAGCCTGGCTTCCCTCCGGCAGGGCCAGCGGACCCCTTCCTGTCCACAGGTCCTCCCTCCGCTGAGCCACCGGCAGCGGGAAGAGCTGGGGGCCTGGGTCTGGAGGGGGTCGTGCGAGGCGGCTCCACAGGCGGGACACTGGGAAGGAGCACAGAAGTCTCTGTGTAAGCTCTCCCTGTGCAGGTCAGAGGCGCCAATTCCCAGTCTACTGCTGCCTTTTCTTAAAGAAACAGCTATTCTTGTTGCCTTTATATTTTAAGTGATTTGAACAGCACTTGAGCTCCGTCGGTTGTCAATAAATTTAACAGGTGAACCACTTGAAATACCGGAACCGCTTAGGTACCCACCCGCACCAGCGGCTGCCACTCCATGGTCCTGCAGGAACGTCAGCGCGGAAATGGTCACCTTCAGCAGCATTTTGGAAACCCTGGAGGTAGCAGGGTTGAGTGGCAGCCAATCTAGATCTTCCAGAGAAGCTAAGGAACTGGAACCAAACAAAAGCAAAGCAGCGTGAGCTGGTCGCTGGCACAGGGCATGGACTCCACTCTTCCGCCCCAGCCACTGTGCCAGCCCCTGCAGCTGTGCCGGGCCAGCCACACGCAGCATTCGTGGTGGCTTTCAATGTGGCCGCAACGCCCTGGACTCGGGACTCCACAGAACAGCCCAGTCCCTCTCATGAACACTTGGCACCCGGGCCACCTCCCGCTCTGCCTGGGACAGAACCCGAGTCTCTGACACTTTCCAACCATCAGCAGGGCAGCCAGGGTGCGAAGCACTGTCATCGCAGAAGGCAGGTGAGCATCAGCCCAGCTGCCTCCAGGGCAGGTGCTCAGCTCACGTCTGGAAGGCGCCCCCTGGGACGCCGTCTTAACCTCCGGATCCGAGTGGTCAGCGATCGTGTTTATCTAACCCCTTCACACACAGGCCTCAGGGAGTCCACATGCTTGTAGTGTTAACGTTGTTTTTATATATCAGTATTTTACTTCATAACTAATTATGCTTGAACGTGTAAATTTGAAAATCCATTCAACTGACATGGGAAAATATCTGAATTTTAGCAACACGAGACCAAAAAGACGTAAGTTGTGCTCCAGAGAGGTTCTTCCCTGCAGCTTCTTGTGAGGAAGATCTCGCGTGGCATCCTGCACACCGCAGAGCCCAGGTTACAGGAGACGCCACTGAAAACCGGTCGTGCCGGGGAAGCACTCCAGGTGTGCAAATGTGTAAGTGACAAATCAAACCAACAATTGTCAAAATACGTTCCTTCTTCCTACACTGACAAATACGCCTTCGTAACAACTTGGGAAGCCATGCTCAAATTAGTTAAACTTATTATATACGTGTCATATCTCTAATAGTGAAAAACTCAGGAATAACCAAACATCCAAGTACATATGGTAGGTGGCATGGTACCAAAAGGGAATGTTACGCAGGCATAAAAATGTTCACTTGAGCCCTGACTGGTTTGGCTCAGTGGATAGAGCGTCGGCCTGCGGACTGAAGGGTCCCGGGTTCGATTCCGGTCAAGGGCATGTACCTTGGTTGCCGGCACATCCCCAGTAGGGGGTGTGCAGGAGGCAGCTGATCGATGTTTCTCTCTCATTGATGTTTCTAACTCTCTATCCCTCTCCCTTCCTCTCTGTAAAAAATCAATAAAATGTATTTTTAAAAAATGTTCACTTGAGGACTCTAAGAGCAAATGAAATGCCAATGGTTAAAAAATTTAAATCAAGGAAAATGTGCTCTGAACAGCATTGCTGCACTTATGTAAAATATTTACACAGGTACATGAGGGCAGGCGGAGACCAGGAATTCCAGCTTTGGGATGACATCACGGTGGAGTTTTTCTTGTCCAATCCTATATAATTAAAGGCTAATATGCAAATCGACCAAAAGGTGGAACTACAGGTCACTGTGACACACAGTGACCACCAGGGGACAGATGCTCAACACAGGAGCTGCCCCCTGGTGGTCAGTGCACTCCCACAGGGGAAGTGCCGCTCAGCCAGAAGCCAGGCTCATGGCTGGTGAGTGCAGCGGTGGTGGCGGGATCTTCTCCTGCCTCCGCGGCAGTGCTAAGGATGTCTGACTGACGGCTTAGGCCTGCTCCCACCCCCACCCCCCCCCGGGCCTAAGCCGTCAGTCAGACATCCCCTGAGGGCTCCTGGACTGAAAGAGCGTGCAGGCTAGGCTGAGGGACCCCACTGAGTGCACAAATTTTGTGCACTGGGCCTCTAGTTATCCAATAATTACTCGGAGCCCTGGCTGGTGTTGCTCAAGTGGTTAGAGCATCGGCCAATGCACAGAAGGGTCTCAGATCTGATTCCTGGTCAAGGGCATGTATCTGGGTTACAGGTTTGATTCCCAGCCCTGGTCAGGGTGCGTGCAGGAGGTAATCAATCAATGTGTCTCACATCAATGTTTCTCTCTCTCTCACCCTCCCTCACTCCCTCCATTCTATTCTAAAAATCAATGGAAAAAATACCCTTGGGTGAGGATTTAAAAATAATAATTACTCAGGTATATATATAATTTCCCATTAAAAAAGTGAGGAGGAAGCACCCCACACCTACAATTCGTTGTACTTTCTTTGTATCTTACTTCAAGACAGCCTGGAGAAGGCGGGTGGCACCGCGGAGGCCATCGTCGATGGGGACAGGATGTGCGTACAGTCTGGGCAGGAAAAGCAGGAAGTCCCAGACCTGGGGCTGCTGGTGAAGGCTTTCCAATGCCGCTATCACCTCCTCGGTCTTGTTGAGATCTACCTGATCGAAAAAGATACCAAGGGTTTTTCTCTTTATTTGTGTTAATCAATTAAATGATGGGGCATGGGCTGCAGAGTGTAAGAAGCCAGAACCTCAGCTGGCAGAGACCATGCCTGCTACGTCACAGTGCTGTGAACAGATAGATGTACAAAGACTGTGAGGTCGGGCTTTTAAATGTGCCAGTGTGGACCGGGAAAGAGGGGCCGAGGTCTGCTCTTGTAGCCAATTTCCCTGACTGCAAGGCAGGTCTTAGCAATGAAGGAGTGTTCCATTGTGCGTAAGGGACACCCGCTGCGACGGGCTTTTCTGTTACCGCAGCTAAACCCAATGGCAGTGACACACCCTGTCCGATCGGAACACTCCCCACGGACATCCCCAACCCTTCCCCAGCCCCTCCCCACCGCCGCGCAGGGCTTGGTGGCACCACCACTGAAACGTCGGTGCGGAGAAAGGGAAATAAAGATGACGGCCAGCCCTGGCCGTGTGCTCAGCAGTGAGACCCGAGGGTCATGGGTTTGGGTCTCAGCCCAGGCCCGCGGTCACATGGATGGCCGCCTCCCCCTCCCCCTCCCTGCCCCCTCCCTCCCCCTTGCCCCCCTCCCTCTCCCCCTCCCCCCTCCCTCTCCAAGAACCAATGGGGAAGCATCCAGTGAAGATGAACAACAATGACAGCTACAGGAGCGTTTTCCCAACAGCCTCGGTGAGAACCCACAGCGGCCTCTTCCTCCCGGAGAAGAACGAGGCCGGCGAGGAGCCGGTCCAACCTCGCGGAGCGCCCTCCGGGCCGGAGCTGCTTCCACCGCAGGCGGCGGCCGAGGTGCGGGCGGGGCGGGCCCGTGGGCACCGGGCGTGGGCCCAGCTCGCGAGGCGAAGCGCAGAGGGGGCGCTGGGGGCCGCCCGGGCGGTGGGGGACCCCGGCCGCACCTGCGCCCCACGTGCTGTCTCCTGGCGGCAGCGCCGTCATGTCCGGGAAGGGCCTCCCTGTGCCCCTCGCCGCCCGGGACACAGGCCCCACGTCCGCGGGCCCCGGGCTCGGCCCACGGCCACCGCCCCGGCTCCCCCCCCCCCCCCCCGCGGCCCCGGCCTCCCCCCGCGGCCCCGGCCTCTCCGTCTCTCGCGGCCCCGTCGGGCCTGGTCCTCAGGCCAGTGGTGCCCGGACCTGCTCCTCGGCGCCGGGCCAGGCCGTCCGCGCAGGCGCAGTCACCGCCCAGCGCTGAGCGGAGACCTCGGGACGCGGAACCAACCTGCGGGGACCGGTCCCCGCGGACCCGTTTCAACGTTTCAATGCGCTCAGTGCCTGCCACTGCGGCTGGTCAGAGTCGGAAGGAAAAGCCGACGCACAGGGAGTGATGTCCTCAACCAATCAGGTCCCACCAGGACGCGGTACCATCCGGGTCCTGCTTCCTTCCAGCTTCTTCTCGGGCGACTCCAAACCCCGGCCATCGAGTCAGACCCGCAGTAGAACCAGCGGATGCAGAAGCCCTACCTCCTCCTGTGGTGAAGGTGCTCCACCCTCCCGGCCCCGCTGGACCATCCGGGCGCAAGGACCCCTCAGTGGCGACACCTGGGCCGCAGCGGGAGTCGTGCCCAGGGCGAGTCAGGAGGACCCAGATGCGGGATTCAGCGCTAACCTGATGTCACAGACATCAGAGCTCCGCCCCAGGCCTCACTGCACCTGCTGCTCCGCCCCAGGCCTCACTGCACCTGCTGCTCCGCCCCCAGGCCTCACTGCACCTGCTGCTCCGCCCCAGGCCTCACTGCACCTGCTGCTCCGCCCCCAGGCCTCACTGCACCTGCTGCTCCGCCCCAGGCCTCACTGCACCTGCTGCCCTGAACCCAGACCAAGCTCCTCTTCCAGCCCATCTCCTCCGGGAGTGTGCCTTCCCCAGACCAGAGTCCACAGGCTGTTGCTGAAGATAAAATCAGGAGATTGAAACCGTGTTTGCAGCCTAACCGTTTTGTCTCTGAAGACCATGTTTCAAACTTCTGGCACAATACTTACTGTTAAGAAGCTGGGGCCATAAGGAGAACCTACAACAGAGAAGATTTCAGACGTGTTAGTTCAGCCAGCAGTCAGAGCGCACTTGCTCAGCGGCCGTTTAGTTCTAAAATCAAAAGGCCCAACACAGAGTCTGGGCCACAATATGGTTACATGCCTGACTGAAGGATAGACAGCCACTTTCGATTTCTAAAACACATGGATAGTAAAGTAAATTCCTGGGGAAATTGGTAAACTAGACTTCACTAATTTGCAGAAAAAGTATAATTTTATCAATCTCTCATTCCACAGGCATTGTGACCATTCAGGACAGAACAGAGAACGTGAAGGAAAAGAAAGCAAAGAAAGAAAAAGTTGAACCAAGATGGCGGCATAGGTTAACACCGGAGTTTGCTGCTTTGAACAACTACTTCAAAAGTGAAACCAAAAAACGGAAGGGACATCACCCAGAACCACAGGAACGCTGGCTGAGTGGAAGTCCTACAACTAGGAGGAAAGAGAAACGCATACGGACACTCAGAGGAGGCGCAGTGCTGAAGTCAAATTCTGAGGTGCGGAGTGCGCGGAGCAGGCTGGCGGCGGAGGGCGCGGTTGGCGTTTTCAATCGGGAGGGAGTCGCAGACTCTGAGCTCCAGATACGGGCGAGTCTTTAGGGGCCCAGACTCAAACGGGAGAATCGGGACTGTCTGGCTTCGGTCAGAGCGAGTGCAGCTTTCTCTCCGAGGTCTGCAGCGGGTGCTGGGACTCAGAGAGGCAGAGCCCCTGGGGACAGGACTGAGAGCCGCCATAACTGCTCTCTCCGGCCCACCCTGTTGATCCTGTGCGACCCGCCCCGCCCAAGCCCTGCACAGAGGCATTTGCCGGATAGCCTCAGGCAAAGGCTAGATTAGCACCTCCCTAGAGGACAGAAGTTCTCTCACTGCTGACACAGCTGATTCTCATAGCCACTTGGCCTGGAGGTCAAACCCTCCCTGGAATTAGCTACAACAAGGTTTAACTATAAGACTGCACACAAAGACCACTAGGGGGTGCACCAAGGAAGCATAACAAAATGCGGAGACAAAGAAACAGGACAAAATTGTCAATGGAAGATATAGAGTTCAGAACCACACTTTTAAGGTCTCTCAAGAACTGTTTAGAAGCCGCCGATAAACTTAATGAGATCTACAAGAAAACTAATGAGACCCTCGATCTTATATTGGGGAACCAACTAGAAATTAAGCATACACGGACTGAAATAATGAATATTATACAGACTCCCGACAGCAGACCAGAGGAGCGCAAGAATCAAGTCAATGATTTGAAATGCGAGGAAGCAAAAAACACCCAACCGGAGGGGCGGAATGAAAAAAGAATCCAAAAATGCGAGGATAGTGTAAGGAGCCTCTGGGACAGCTTCAAGCGTACCAACATCAGAATTATAGGGGTGCCAGAAGATGAGAGAGAGCAAGATATTGAAAACCTATTTGAAGAAATAATGACAGAAAACTTCCCCCACCTGGTGAAAGAAATGGACTTACAGGTCCAAGAAGCGCGGAGAACCCCAAACAAAAGGAATCCAAAGAGGACCACACCAAGACACATCATAATTAAAATGCCAAGAGCAAAAGATAAAGAGAGAATCTTAAAAACAGCAAGAGAAAGAAACTCAGTTACCTACAAGGGAATACCCATACGACTGTCAGCTGATTTCTCAACAGAAACTTTGCAGGCCAGAAGGGAGTGGCAAGAAATATTCAAAGTGATGAATACCAAGAACCTGCAACCAAGATTACTTTATCCAGCAAAGCTATCATTCAGAATTGAAGGTCAGATAAAGAGCTTCACAGATAAGGAAAAGCTAAAGGAGTTCATCACCACCAAACCAGGATTATATGAAATGCTGAAAGGTATCCTTTAAGAAGAGGAAGAGGAAGAAAAAGGTAAAGATACTAATTATGAACAACAAATATGCATCTATCAACAAGTGAATCTAAGAATCAAGTGAATAAATAATCTGATGAGCAGAATGAACTGTTGATTATAATAGAATCAGGGACATAGAAAGGGAATGGACTGACTATTCCTGGGGGGGAAAGGGGTGTGGGGGATGCGGGAAGAGACTGGACAAAAATCGTGGACCTATGGATGAGGACAGTGGGTGGGGAGTGAGGGCGGAGGGTGGGGCGGGAACTGGGAGGAGGGGAGTTATGGGGGGAAAAAAAAGAGGAACAAATGTAATATTCTGAACAATAAAGATTTAATTAAAAAAAACAAAAAAACAAAACAACAAAAAAAAAAGAAAGAAAAAGTTGAGGAAAAGCAAAAAATTGTGATTTTCCAGACCTAGTGAGTGCCCACAGAGAACTGAAGAATTACTTGGTGTAGAAAACCAAGACATTTGTTGTGCTGTGAATAGAGATTTTCTTTTATCGTGAGAAATGGCTCAAATAGTGGCAAACTGAAAATGAAGCGGAGATTGCCTCTCATAAAACTTAGTTCTCTCTTTAACAGAATGTTGAGAAGCTCATTTGAAAAACACATTTTACTAAAGTACAATGATCCCAAGGGCACCTGCTAATCAGGACTCCATCGTTCGTGTTTGGAACCGTTCTAGTCCGTGGTAATGCATCTGGTCCATGGTGAAGTCTGCCCCTCCTGGCTCCACCCTGCACAAAGGTGCTGGTTTCTCTCTTAGAAATAATACATAACTTCACCTGCTTCGTTTCTCTGCCAAACTTTCTATTTCACTTTCTTGTATTACTCTATAAAGAGGGAAAAAATCACTTAAAAAGAAAAATTGGACCTAGCCTGCTTGGCTCAGTGGATAAACTGTTGGCCTGTGGACTGAAGGGTCCAGGTTAGATTCCAGTCAAGGGCATGTATGTATCTTGGTTGCAGGCTCAATCCCCAGCCCTGGTCTGGATACATGCGGGGGACAACCAATTGATGTCTCTCTCTCACATCAACGTTTCTCTCTGTCTCTCCCTCTCCCTTCCACTCTCTCTAAAAAAAATCAATGGAAAAATATCTTCTGGTGAGGAAACGTTAAAAAATTGCAAGTGGGTTCTTAGGGTTGCCAGATTTAGGAAATAAAAACACACTTAAACTAAAAAATTGTTTACCTGAAATTCAAATTTAACTGAATGTCGTGTATTTTACCTGGCAACTCTGGATGGGGTTGTGTTAAAAAGTTGCGGGGGAAGCACGAGAACAGGATCACTGTGACCCCAAAGTATGGATGAAGTTTGTAGGCAATAACTCAGCTGTGGAAAGATAGGCAATTACCTGCCCCCCACCCTGAGGTCCAAGCATAAGAGATCATAACTGAAGTGTTATGAGCATAGAAAGACCCATTCAAGTCTACCAGAGGGAGGAACCAAGTGATCAAGGGGTGTGTGTGTGTGTGTGTGTGTGTGTGTGTGTGTGTGTGTGTGTAAGGCAGGATCGGACTTAAAAAAGGAAGAGGGGATGAGAAGGAAGCAATAACAGGAGAAAGGAGGACAGAGAATGGAGGGGGGTCTGCAGAGATGAGCAGGGTGAGCTGCAGCCGCTCTGAAGGCTGTGCCCAGTGTGCCATCCCGGGGGAGGTGGTGGGAACCTCGCTCGCCCTCCGCAGCCTCTCTGGGTGCTGGGCCTCATCCAGGCAGGGCGCCTATTCTAAGAGGAAGAAGGGCCGCCCGGCCCAGTGCAGGGCTGCTCTGTGACCCGGACTTGACGGGCTGCTCAGGCCCGTGTCCAGGTGAGAGGCTGACAGTGTGAGCTTGACTTGCCTGGAGCCCGGGAGCGTTCCACCCACAGTTGTTTTAAGTCTGTTGCCTTGTCCATCAGCTCGCGCACGTCATCGGCCAGGTCCTGCATCTCTTGTAAGAAGGCCAGGTCATGGATCTCGTGATGGGCATCTGTGGCTCCGAACCTAGACGGACTTCAGGCAAGCAGAATGATAGCCCAACAGAGCCCTCTACAGGAGGACGTGTCCTGCGCGTTTTTAAGATTCCTGATGCCAAGTATCAAGTCATTGTCAATGCAACCTGTGCCCATTTCCCCTTCCACCGGCTGCCCGAGGAACCCATTTTCCTTGCTTGTCATCCAGAGTGGAATTCAGGTTTTCACAACCTTTGCCAACTTAAAATTAGAAAGTTGCTCTCAATCCCGTTATTATCTGTGAAGTGTAACCATTTTACATGGTTATTAGTCACTTTTTTTCATTTATTTTTCGCATGTGCTGCAGCACGCCCTGTGCAAGGTGCTGGGAATAAACGCACCAGTGAACGGAGGCACCACCGCCCCTGGGTATGGAGGACACAGGAGGGGAGTCCACAGATGCGCCTCGAAACTGTGGGTGAAGTAAATGGCAGGAGGACGGTCAGTGAGATCTGATGAGGCTGCGTGTGCGTGGAAGTGTGTTGTAGAGACTGCGCTCAAGATTGGCCTGAGCGGAGGTGATGTTGGGCTGAAACCTGAGAAAAAAAATGGTTGGCCAGTGGGAACAAGTGGGGGTTACAGGCTGGTCAGAGACTATCAGACGGCCCAGAGGTGGGGAACGGCTGAGGGCAGGGGGGGTGGGGGGGAGGAGAGGGGCATAAAGTGAGAAATAAAATGGAGTCACCACAGTCAAACTGAAATCACTAAAATCAAGTCGGCTGAGGTCTGAGGAAGCAATTCTGCTCAGGGACCCTAGCCCCCTGCACCCTCCAGCCCTGCCTCCTGCCGCTCTCCACCAACCCCCAATGACCCTGCCCGTGAGCCCCAAAACCCTCCTGGCCAGCTAAGGGGGAGGCTCCACGTAGCAAAACCAGGAAGGGAAGTGGGTTTGCAGAATCATAACAGCCCAGATGGGAGGAAACCTGGGACTTGTGCCCAAGAACTTTCCCGGGGGGATTAGGAAGGGCCTGGAAGTTCACACTCAATTAGCCGAGATCGTGTTTCCACAGACTTGAATGGAAACTGGCCTCAGAGCATCTGCAAACTGAGGCCACGTGGATGTTTATTGATGGCAATAAAGGTCAACTGACTTCATCGTTGAACCAACATAAGAACCAATGAGAAAGGGCCGTCGGGGGCAGGGTCAGAAGCCAGAGGTGAGCTAGCCCGTGTGTGGGCACCTTCCTGGTGCCTCTTTCCCCCCTCTTTCCTCAGGTCTTCCTCTACTGCACCTCATTTCTCACACGCGGGCCTCCCTGCTGTCAGTCACAGCCCCGAGGTGCCGCTGCTGTGAAGACCACGGCTCTCGCAGGCGGGGGCCCTGTCCGGCTCCCGCTGTCATCCCTGCGTCCAGCACACTGACCGGAGCCTGAAGTGCAGGGACCCAGAGGAAAGGACAGTTACTCCCTGGCGTGGAGAAACAGGTCACTACCAGCCAGGGACGCGAGCTGGCTTCCGGGAACCCCCTCTGCGCCAGGCTTGCTGTGTTAAGTGTTTGGCCTTTGCCCGGCCGGTGTGGCTCAGTGGTTGAGCGTCGACCTATCGACGGTTTGATCCCTGGTGGGCACAGGCCTGGGTTGCGGGCTCCATCCCTAGTGTGGGAGCGTGCAGGAGGCAGCTGATCAGTGATTCTCTCTCATCATTGATGTTTCTATCTCTTTCCCCTTCTCCCTTCCTCTCTGAAATCAATAAAAATATTTTTTAAATTATTTTGCCTTTAACACTCACAACACTGGAAGTAGGTACCTGAGAAACAGGTTCAAGGGTGCGCTGATTCACAGAACTGAAGGGGGCAGGGCCAGTGCCGTCTGGTGGGAAGCCCCCCTCCCCCACTGCCCCCCGTTCCCATGCGAACAGCATTTCAGGTTCCTGTTCTGAGTGAGGAGGGACATGAGCACCTGAGAGGTGCCGGAGAGCTCGAGCCCTTCCGCTGCTCCCCGAGAGGTTCTGTGTGCTGCCCAGATGAAGGGGCCACATGCTGACCTGACAGCCCAGGGGAGGCCTGCGTGGCGGCCTTGTGAACTCAGACCTAAAGCCACCACAAGGATGGTCTGAAACTAAACTTTAACTAAAGCAGTGATGGTGGGGAGTCACGTCCTAGGCCGGTATCTTCCCTGACAAGGTTAACCTTTACCTTAATTGAGCCTGTCTGTCTTTTTTTTTTTTTTTTTTAATATATTTTATTGATTTTTTACAGAGAGGAAGGGAGAGGGATAGAGAGTTAGAAACATCGATGAGAGAGAAACATCGATCAACTGCCTCTTGCACACCTCCCACTGGGGATATGCCCGCAACCAAGGTACATGCCCTTGACCGGAATCAAACCTGGGACCCTTGAGCCCGCAGGCTGACGCTCTATCCACTGAGCCAAAGCCGTTAGGGCTGCCTGTCTGTCTTTTTGCATCTATGATAACACACTCGTGAAATGTCTGGGCAACTGGTAACTTCCCTTTTTCCGGACCCCTCGGGGCATAACCTAATGTGCTGGGCGCCAGGACAGAGACCATAAATTCCTTCATTATCATGTTAATTTTGACTGTTGACTATCCTGCACCCATCTAAGTATATGTCTATCATTTCACTTTTTATCCAGTCCCAGAGGTTTCTCCCGCCTCCCTAAGCTATCACCAGTGGATTTCATGTAACCCACCTACGTCCCCTCCTTTGATTGCAATGTATACAAATAGATGAAAACCCGCCATTCTCCTGAGCGTAATCCCAAGCTGTTGAGGTACTGCTTCCCAGCAATTGTTGACAGTTTGGCTCAAATAAACTCACAGAAATTCTTTACAGGTTTGAATGTTTTTACATTAACCCTTTGTGGACGAAAGGGGCCACATGCTGACCTGACAAGCTCAGGAGAGGCCTGCATGGTGGTCTTGCAAACTTCGAGACCTAAAGTCACCACAAAGGATGGTCTGGAATTAAACCTTAACTAAAAGCAGTTATGGTGGGCAGTTACGTCCTAAGCCGATATCTTCACTGACAAGGTCAACCTTTACCTTCACTGAGCCTATCTGTCTTTTTGCGTCTGTGATAACATACCCTTGAAATGTCGGGGTAACTTGTGACTTCCTGTACCTGGAGCCCCTGGGGCACGGCCAGGTGTGCTGGGCCCAGGACAGAGACCACAGATTCCTTCATCACCATGTTAATTGTTCCTGCACCCCCATAAGCATGTGTCCATCATCTTACTGTTTATCCAGTCTCAGGGGTTTCCCTGCTTTGCTTTATCCCTCCTCCTTAGTCTGTCACCAATGAATTTCATGGAACCCACCTACGTTCCTCCTTTGATTGGAATGTATAAATACGGATGTAACCCCGCCATTCTCCGGAGCACTATCTCAATTCGTTGAGGTTCTGCTTTCCGGCATATGTCAACAGTTTGGCTCCAATAAACTCACAAAAATTCTTTACAGGTTTCAATGGTTTTTTTACGTTAACACCTTCCTCCTCTACACACACAAGAAGACCCTCGACTGTCTTGGGCTCTGCTTTCAGACTATTTCCACATGATGCTCTTTGCATAATGCTTGGATACACAATACCCATCTCAGACAACGTAAGCGCCGTGTAGAGTGCACCAGGCTGAGAGGTAAAGAGCCTGTTTCCACATCTTTACCTTTAAATGTCTTAGCTCATCAGTGGCAGGAGGTTCCGAGGAACCGAAACGCAGGCCATTTGTAGCCGGTAAGTTCAAACTACCGCCCGGAGACAGCGCTCCCTCCCCGCCCCTCCCAGAGGCTCCCGGGCCAGGCAGGGCCTCGAAGTGACGCCCTTTGTTTTGGCTCTTGTTTCAGAAAAGACTTCCCGCTCTTTCTCTGTGTGGTCTTTGATGCCACAGGAAGCACAGGTGTGGCCTGGGGAAGGGTCAGAGCTGCACACCTGTCGCCTGGTGAAGGGAGGGGCCAGGCCCAGAAGGAAAAGCTCAGTTACGGGCGGCAGGGGCGCGGCCAACAACCACACGGGCGGCTCAGGCCAGCACTGGACACCAGCGTGAACGGGTAGCTCAGCGGGTTGTTCTGAAGTCGGGCTCAACCACAGGAACAAACCTTTGCATGCAAATGGCACGTGCCAGTTGCTCAGCAACCACTTTGGGGAACAGCTGTGGGAACCACTCGGGCTGGAAAGGCACTGCCATGCGCATCTGCGTTTAATAAACCGTTTTCCTTGGCACTCTACCTCTGTGCTTGTCATGGCCTCTGACCCGTCCCCAGTGACAGAGGTGCTACTAAAAGCCTGGCGCCTGTGCTCGCCCCGCTCCCCACGGGCTCTGAGAGGCGCTGCGTCTCTTACCGGAGATGGTGCTGCGTGGGCCCCGGGTCGCTCGTGTTCCGGCACCGCGCCCCGGTGTTGCAGAGGAGGCCCCGGACAAAAGGGAGGACACCCCGGCTGGGCAGGTCCCGGGGCTGCAAGTAACCTGGAGGTGGGTGCAAGGAGATGACCCATGCACCCGGCTGCAGAAATGCACTGCTACTGAGTTAGAATCAGAAGAGTAACCTGTCCTATCATGCTATTGCCTAATTAATTCTGTTCCACTCGGAGGGGAGGGGGGGGGTTAATTTGGGCAAAATTCTGAAGTCTATTACCCCTTGCATTCTTAAATGTTTGAGTGTAGCTGCTAATGATCATATAAAACAAAGAAGTTTAGAAAAACCAGACGGGACCCTAGGTTTTCAGGACTAATGTGGCCCCAATAAGCCACCTTCCTTAGGCAAGTGCTGCTCACGTTCCCCCCGACACTTGGCACACACTCCGCCCCCTGCCCTTCACACACACACACACACACACACACACACACACACACACGCGCGATGGATGAGAATGGCTGGGACGCTGGTGACTGTTGGGAATGTGGAAGTCACACATCCACACGGCGTGCCCCACAGAACCGGGTGGACAGCTGCCCACGAGCCCCGGTGGGTCAGCGTAGCTAGAAGAAGCAATCTGTCTGGCAGAGTGAGCAGCCATGTGGCTATTACTCCAAGAGGGAAGCTGTAAACGCTGCTGCCGACACCCCAGAACCGGAGCCTCTGTGATAGGACAGGGGAGCCCTCCCATGCGTCCACTCAGAGCCCGAGCTCCCGGGAGCAGAAGGAGGGCTGCACGCTCTCCCTGAGATCTGCAATAAGGGGACACTCACAGTTGTCTCGGTGCCGGGGAGGTTCTTGAAAACGAAGTGCTGTCAGGATGATGAACAGCGTGCATGGCCAGAGGAACTCCGCGAGGCAAAGGACCTGGGGAAGTGGTTGATTTTAAATAAAATAGTGCTGAATAAACTGCAAAGCGTTACGGTATCTCCGTCTCTTAAAAAATGGCGAACAGGCCTGGCTGGGTGGCTCCATGGTTGAGCATCAGCCTATGAACCAGGAGGTCACGGTTCGATTCCTGGTCAGGGCACAGGCCTGGGTTGCAGGCTCGGTCCCCAGAGGGGGGCGTGCAGAAGGCAGCCGGTGATGATTCTCTCTCATCATTGATGTTTCTCTCTCTCTCCCTCTCCCTTTCTCTCTGAGATCAATAAAAACATTTTTTTAAACATTATTTTAAAATGGCACACTGGCCAGGCTGAGCCCCCTGTGAAGGTGTCATCGCCAGCCCTGCCCTGGGTCTCTGAGAACAATGGTTGGGGACAGGGCCCCAGAGGTCACTGGAGAAAGGAGAGGAAGCAGAGGCCGCAGGCAGGCTCTTCTCAGGTGCCGAGGTCAAGGAGACCAGGCCCCGTCCTCACTCGCACGCCCTGCAGTGCTGCCAAGCCCTTAGTCACCCACCCTCGCCCTCCCAGCTAGCAGTGGGGAGCCCGCTTTGCACACAGCACACCAAGGACATAGCTCGTTTGCCCCGTATCCTTGCACCAGCTGTGACGGAACCTGGGCTGAATCTCAGGCCTGAAGACGAAGTAACTTTCCTTCCGCTTCAACAAAGCGTCATACAGACAGAGTTCAAACCCATTTTTTTGTTGTTTATCTGTTAATCTTCACACAAGGATTTTTTTTCCATTGATTTTTAGGGAGAGTGGAAGGGAGAAGGAAAGACAGAGAAACACTGATATGAGAGAGACACATCGGTTGGCTGCCTTCTGCACGCACCCCGACCAGGACCCAGGCCAGGGAGTAGCAAAGTACATGCCCTTGATGGGAATCGAACCCAGGGCCCTTTTACCCACAGGCTGATGCTCTATCCACCGAGCCAAACCAGCCAGGGCAAACCCATTTCTAAATCCTCCAGTTGCTCAGGGAGCTGGTGGTTTTGGTTGCAACTGAAAACCACAAGGAATAAAACATTCTGTGCAAACAATAAAACTGTAAAGGAATGAAGGAGGGAGACCTCACTGGGTGAGAGGACACACCTCGTTGGGTGCGGCTAGAATATCCAGGAAGCGGCAGGAAGCCTGTAATTAGCTGAGGCCTCTGCTCCTTGGAGACAAAGGGCTCTGCGCTGGGCGTGAAATTCCATTGTGCCCTTGGGGCATGCCGTCCAGCTTTCCCAGAGTATCAGGTTTGTTTGTAAAACAGCAAGGAACTCGGGTTCACACTAACAGGAGTCCCACCGAGAGCCTGAACCTACTGCTCGGCCCCCCACCCCACAGGAGGGCAGGGTGCGGCGGGGTCCTCGTTCCCTCCGTGCTGAGCCCAGAAGGTGAGGGGTCTTAGGGAGGACGACTTGGAGGGAGTCTCTTTACTTGACACCAGTGGGCTAAGCAGCATCTTTCTCCCTGGGGTGGGGGTGGGGGTGGCACTGAGTCTAAGCCACCTGGGGGCCCTGTACCATTCAGAAGGCCCAAGCAATGGGGGCGAGCATGAGTCTCCTTGGGCTCACAGGACAGAGCCCAGCGGACGGTGCCAACACGCCGCCATGGGCTGAACTGTGCCCCCAAATTCCCTCGATGAAGTCCTGACCCCTGACCTCAGACCATCAGCTGATTTGGGAACAGGGCTCACAGGTGCGGTTGGTTAAGATGAGGTTCAGGCAGCAGGTGGGCCTCGTCCAGTCGGGCTGCGTCCCATAAAACCAGAACCCGATGCCCTGCTCCGTCCTTTAGAAACAGCCCGAGCTTCCATCTGTCGCTGTAACAACCTGCTTCCACGTAAAAGGAATACATTTTGCCCTGCTCTGTTGTTCAGTGGTTAGAGCCTCGGCCCACAGACTGCAGGGTTGCGGGTTCAATTCCCAGTCAAGGGCACGAACCTTGGTTGCAGGCTCAAGCCCCGTTCCCAGTCGGGGTGTGAACAGGAGGCAACTAATCGATGCATCTCTCTCACATCGATGTTTCTCTCCCTCTGTGTCTCCCTCTCCCTTCTACTCTCTCTCTAAAAAAAAAATCAATGGGAAAAATATTCTTGGGTGAGGATTTTTAAAAAAAGGATGCATTTTCCCCAAATAGTTGAGTAAAATTGTCAGAAACAAAAATAAGGAGAAGCTAGGACACAGACAAACAGAGGGGAGACATGAGAGCACCCAGAGGCCCCAGGAGGACCCAGCCCGCCCACACCCAGACCTAACTCTCCTCGACGCCTCGCTGAGCTATAAGCATGTGCTGAAGGCGCGGCCTTGGTATTTGTTACGGCTGCGCTGACTGATACACTCCCCACCGTGGGGCTGCCCACCGACGGCCTTGCCGGGCTGCGGAGAGCCCGTGTTGGCTCACCAGGACTCCAGGTGAAAGGATTTGGGGCACGAGCCTTAGTCACCCCTTTTAGCACAAGATTCCACATCAGTGACTCCATTTTTAACCTTTTTTAGTGTAAAACCACTGACAGGTCATCATTCCTTTAACCCAGTGGTTCTCAACCTGCTGGCCCTTTAAATACAGTTCATGCTGTGACCCAGCCATAAAATTATTGTCGTTGCTACTTCATCACTGTCATGTTGCTACTGTTATGAATCGTCATGTAAATATCTGATATGCAGGATGGTCTTTGGCGACCCCTGTGAAAGGGTCGTTCGGCCGCCAAAGGGGTCGCGGCCCACAGGTTGAGAACCGCTGCTTTAACTCCTTCCCCAGCACTTGCAGCCCCGATCTGTTATTGCTCAAACTTCCTGTTTTTCCCTCGTATGAAGCTATTCTGCTGCTTTTTTAAAACACAACCACCCGCTTGGGTCCCCTCCCCGCAGCAGGGAGTGTTTCTGTAATGAAACTTTGCTTTTGCTCAAAAAATAAAACAACAACAACAAAACTTACACACCCAACAACTACAGCATCTTGTCAGAAACCATCCTTCCATCCTTTCCCAGCCTGCCTATCGGAGAGGTCAGGCTCCTGACCTCTAACCTCTGGGTCCTGCTCAGCCTCCTGGACCTTTCCAGCACATGAAAACCACATAGGTGATGATACAAAACCAGCAAAAATCTACCTCTAAGACTTAAACAAACTTAAAAGAAAAAGTTACTTGACTTCTGGGGCTGGATATCTGTCATTTTTTGCAATTTCCGAAAATACAGAAACTGTGAGCAACGTGTTCATTGACTCCAAGGGAGACTATCCGTCAACACCAAGTTCGGCTTTCAGCACCTGAATCCAGGGGTGGACAAAACCTCAAAGAAATGTGAGGGTTTGTTTTATAAAAGCACACCCACACGCATGCGCGCACGCACACACACACACACGCACACACACGCGCACACACACGCACGAACGCACACATGCAGGTTCTGAGGTGGGAGGTCCTTGGAGCTCAGGCTGAGGATTTTAGAGAAAACAAGTGGCTTCCCAGTGGGGCTGTGAGGACCAGGCCCTAAGGCAGGAGGCAGATACCAAGCCTTTCCTGGGGTTCTCTAACAGGAGGGGGGTGTGGCTTGAACTCAGCTTTGTGCTGAGTGCAGAGCCCTCCAGTGTGGAGCCAAGAGCCTCAGGGGCTTCCTGGGAGCCAGGGAAGAAGCCCAGGGGAAGGAGAAGCCTAGGGGGGAGGAGAAGCCTGGGGGGAAGAGAAGTCGGGGTTAGGAGAAGCCTGGGGGGGAGGAGAAGCCTAGGGGGGAGGAGAAGCCTGGGGGGAGGAGAAGCCTGGGGGGGGGGGAGAAGCCTGGGGGGGAGGAAAAGCCTGGGGGGGTAGGAGAAGCCTGGGGGGAGGAGAAGCCTGGGGGGAGGAGAAGCCTGGGGGGGGTAGGAGAAGCCTGGGGGGGGTAGGAGAAGCCTGGGGGGGGGGGAGAAGCCTGGGGGGAGGAGAAGCCTGGGGGGGTAGGAGAAGCCTGGGGGGAGGAGAAGCCTGGGGGGGGTAGGAGAAGCCTGGGGGGAGGAGAAGCCTGGGGGGGAGGAGAAGCCTGGGGGGAGGAGAAGCCTGGGGGGGGTAGGAGAAGCCTGGGAGGAGGAGAAGCCTGGGGGGGGTAGGAGAAGCCTGGGGGGGAGGAGAAGCCTGGGGGGGAGGAGAAGCCTGGGGGGAGGAGAAGCCTGGGGGGGTAGGAGAAGCCTGGGGGGGAGGAAAAGCCTGGGGGGGTAGGAGAAGCCTGGGGGGTAGGAGAAGCCTGGGGGGGAGGAGAAGCCTGGGGGGAGGAGAAGCCTGGGGGGAGGAGAAGCCTGGGGGGGTAGGAGAAGCCTGGGGGGAGGAGAAGCCTGGGGGGAGGAGAAGCCTGGGGGGAGGAGAAGCCTGGGGGGAGGAGAAGCCTGGGGGGGAGGAGAAGCCTGGGGGGGAGGAGAAGCCTGGGAGGAGGAGAAGCCTGGGGGGAGGAGAAGCCTGGGGGAGGAGAAGCCTGGGGGGGGGGAGGAGAAGCCTGGGGGGGTAGGAGAAGCCTGGGGGGAGGAGAAGCCTGGGGGGGGGTAGGAGAAGCCTAGGGGGAAGAGAAGCCTGGGGGGAGGAGAAGCCTGGGGGGGAGAATCCTGGGGGGAGGAGAAGCCTAGGGGGGAGGAGAAGCCTGGGGGGGAGGAGAAGCCTGGGGGGAGGAGAAGCCTGGGGGGGGTAGGAGAAGCCTAGGGGGGAGGAGAAGCCTGGGGGGAGGAGAAGCCTGGGGGGGAGAATCCTGGGGAGGGGGAGAAGCCTAGGGGGGAGGAGAAGCCTGGGGAGAGGAGAAGCCTGGGGGGGAGGAGAAGCCTGGGGGGGAGGAGAAGCCTAGGGGGGAGGAGAAGCCTGGGGAGAGGAGAAGCCTGGGGGGGAGGAGAAGCCTGGGGGGGAGGAGAAGCCTAGGGGGGAGGAGAAGCCTGGGGAGAGGAGAAGCCTAGGGGTTAGGAGAAGCCTGAGGGGAGGAGAAGCCTGGGGGGAGGAGAAGCCTGGGGGGGGGGAGAAGTCTAGGGGGGAGGAGAAGCCTGGGGAGAGGAGAAGCCTAGGGGTTAGGAGAAGCCTGGGGGGGGGAGGAGAAGTCGGGGTTAGGAGAAGCCCGGTGAAGGAGCCATCATTTGCGTCTGCGTCTAAGAGAAAGTGGCCCTGAAAGCAAGAATCCAGTGGTTCGTGTGGAGAGGGACGAGGTTGAGCCGAGTTTTATTATTTCTGTCGGCCTGCGAACCCACCGTCGGGAGAGGACCACGCATTTTTAGGACAAGATGTCCTTGCACGAAGCTCAGCTCAGCCCCTCCACTGGCCCAGGTCCTCGGGAAACGCTCACCACACCCAAAGGCCAGCACCAGTGCTCACCTGTCAGGGGAATTGGAGCCCGTTGACCAGGGAGGGGACAGGGCAGTCAGGCCAGATGCAGACAGAGACTGGAGGCACCTGTCTGAGAAAGGCCCCTGCGCCCCGAGAACATGACTGCGCCCCGAGAACAATCACTGCGCCCGAGAACAGTCACTGCGCCCTGAGAACATTCACTGCGCCCCGAGAACAGTACTGCGCCCCGAGAACATCACTGCACCCCGAGAACAGTCACTGCGCCCTGAGAACAGTCACTGCACCCTGAGAACAGTACTGCGCCCCGAGAACAGTACTGCGCCCCAAGAACAGTACTGCGCCCGAGAACAGTCACTGCGCCCTGAGAACAGTACTGCTCCCCGAGAACAGTCACTGCGCCCTGAGAACAGTCACTGCGCCCGAGAACAGTCACTGCGCCCTGAGAACAGTACTGCTCCCCGAGAACAGTCACTGCGCCCTGAGAACAGTCACTGCGCCCGAGAACAGTCACTGCGCCCTGAGAACATTCACTGCGCCCCGAGAACAGTACTGCACCCCGAGAACATCACTGCACCCCAAGAACAGTCACTGCGCCCTGAGAACAGTCACTGCACCCTGAGAACAGTACTGCGCCCCGAGAACAGTACTGCGCCCCGAGAACAGTACTGCGCCCCGAGAACAGTCACTGCGCCCTGAGAACAGTCACTGCGCCCGAGAACAGTCACTGCGCCCTGAGAACATTCACTGCGCCCCGAGAACAGTACTGCACCCCGAGAACATCACTGCACCCCGAGAACAGTCACTGCGCCCTGAGAACAGTACTGCGCCCCGAGAACAGGCACTGCACCCTGAGAACAGTACTGCGCCCCGAGAACAGTCACTGCGCCCCGAGAACAGTCACTGCACCCTGAGAACAGTACTGCGCCCCGAGAACAGTACTGCGCCCCGAGACCATCACTGCGCCCCGAGAACATCATTGCGCCCCGAGAACAGTCACCGCTCTGGGATGTGACGGGCAGGTGGGGCTGTGCAGCCGCAGTGGGTCAGCTTCTCGTCCACATCAAACCCCCAAGACTGCAGAACGAGGAGGACTCTGAGCAGCAGGCGTTATTTTATAATTTCTTTTATGTTATTTCTTGTTATTAATTTGTTAAACTTAAAAACATACATTTCCTTTTTCCCTGACAACATTTTTTCTTTTTGTTGTGTCATGAAATTGTTCAAATGAGAAAGAAGCCTCAGGCTGATGTTCGTCAGACTGGACATAAGGGGACGCTATGAGCTCCGTGGCCGTAGGGCCGGCCCACCCCCACCAACCCTGCCAATGCAATGAGGCTGCTCAGGCACGGCCAGGCGGGTGCTGCTGGGGGCCCTGCTGGGCGGGCAGCGAGTGGACCGGGCACAGGGCCGCCCACGGGCGCCGGCTACAGGCTGGGCTCCATCCTGGCTGCTGGGCTGGAGGGTGAGATGCCGGCGGCCGAGGGCCTGGGGTCTGATCCCAGTCAAGGGCAGGAGCCTCAGCTGCAGGCTCCCGGTCGGGGCAGGTGCAGGAGGCAACCTGTCAAGGTGTCTGTATCCCTCCCCCCTGCCCGCTCCCCGCTTCCATGTCTGAAGACCAGGGAGGGGGACATGCTGGTGAGGAATAACAGAAACCACAAGCTACTCTGAGCGCCCCCATCACCTGGATTCAGTCCAGAGGAGGCGAACCCACACGAACGCCCGGCAGGAGAGGGTAACGCTGGGCCGCCCGGCGCTCCTGCGGGGACCGGGCCAGCCGAGGGCAATGGGGTGGGGAGGGGGGCAGGACGCACGGACTAAGGGCCATGGACTAAGGTCACACCTGGTCCCGCCGCCGGAGGACCCACAGGTTCGAGTTCACAAGAGGCGAAGCCACGGCTGCGCTGAAGCTCCGCCTGCTATCCTTTCCGAGCCCCCACGCCCGCCTCTCCTGACCACACGCCACCGGCGGTGCGCGGGCCTCGGGTCTGGCGGGGCAGGTCCCGGCTCACCGCCTGAGCCTCCGGGCTCCCTGCAGGAGGGGCAGCCCCACGCCTCGGTCCCCCCCAGGGGCCCCACTCACCCGGTGCCGGCATCGGACCAGCCAGTTCTTCCAGACCAGGGCCCTGAGCTGGCGCCCGGCCGGCCACATGCTTTCTGGGCGGGAAGCTCTGTGCTCTGGGCGGAGAGCCGAAGGCGGCTTATACCTGCGGCCGGGGCGTGTGCTCCTCAGTCACACCCCCCGCAGAGGCGGTGACGCCAGCGGGGCCATGCCCCCCCCCCCAGCGGGCATCCGATGCCCTCCTGCTGAGTGTCTGCGGGGAAATCTCTCCTTTCCCGGCAGAGGGCTGAGGCCGGGGCAGCCCCGGGCCTCTCCCGGGAAGGGAGCGAGCTCCCCCTGCGCCCAGCCCCCCTCGGGCTGATGGATGGGGTCACTCCTCCCAGAGGACATGGCAGGGCTGGACCCCGGGACCAAGGGCGGAGGGTTCACCTCAGAGGTGCTGTCGCCCCTCCCCCCTCTCCCCTCTCCTTCACCCGCTCGCCCCAAAGGCCCATGAGGAGGCGCAGCCGAGGGTCCGCCCGCCCTGCAGCTCGAGGGGACGGGACCCTGAACCCAGGGGATTCCCACGCCTTCGCCTTTCACCAGCCCTACGGCTCAGACGGTTCAGCGGCAGCTGCTGCACCACTCCGTCCGAGGCCAAGGCCGGGCGGCCGGGCTCCTGGGCCCCTCGGACACCCAGAGTTTGTGGTCACCCGTTTCATAAAGCGCTTCACCCACCCTGAGTCCCGGCCGACGGCTTTTGCAACGGGAACCCGGCCCAGGCCTCAGCAGCGGGCGGCCCAAGTGCCCTGTGGGCCTGCCTTTCCCAGACCATAGCTTTCACCTTCTAGTTACACATTTCCCTGCTCCAGCGTGAGGGCCACCGCCTGGGGGTGGGGGGGTGGGGGGGGGAGCTCGCACGCACGGGCACGCACAGACTTGGGTTTGCTGTTGCCAGCGCCCTGTCTCCCTGGCCTCACCTTCTCCAGGCCCATTCTGCCCTCTGAGTGTCGCTACCTGGTTCCTTTGGCAGGTAACACGACTGATCCTTTGCAGGTAACACACCTGATCCTTGGCAGGTAACATGAACAGCACTTCCCATCCTGGGAGACTGTCATTATTTCTAAAAACCAGGATTAGGAAACTCCCCAGTCATGGGGTGCTCCTATTTCAGGTCTGTACCGGCCAGTTTGCATGCACGTACGTGACTGCAACCAGCTCCAGGACTGTGGGATCATAGGTGTCTTGTTGACCTGCACCTGCAGGCGGGACTGGGTCATGACCACCCAGGGACCGATTCTCACAGCTGACAAAGGAGGCCCCAGCTGCTAAGCTTGCCCGTGTGCGCCTGCAGGCGAGGCCGGCTGGGAGGCTGAGGCGGGGCCTGCACCTGACCCAGGTCCGGAGGGAACGTGGAGCAGGCGGACAGGCGTTGGTCTGAAAGGATCCTGAGGATGGAACGTCCTGGGGACCCGCTCTGACGCGGAGGCTGTCACGAAGAAGAGCCGGTCACTCTAGCCGGGTCCCCGCTGCTCCGTGCCTACAGGGATCACAGGACCAGCCCCGCGTCCGCTCCTTGCTGCCTCCCCACCCCATCCCTTCTCCCCTGCCACTCAGCTAGATCCTGTCCATTAAGGCTGGAGTCCGCGGAGAGGTGGCCAGGAGGCCGGCACACACCGCGGAGAGGACGGGCTAATCCAGGACAGCCAGACCTGCCGGCCAGTGCTGCTCAGTGGCTGAATGTCGCCCCATGCACCACCCAGAGGTCACCAGTTCAATTCCCAGTCAGGGCACCTGCCCAGTAGGGGGCGTGCAGGAGGCGGCCCATAGATGTTTCTTTCTCATCAATGCTTCTCTCTCTCTCTCTCTTCCTCTCCCTGAAATCAATTTAAAAAAGCACAGGAAGGACTGAGGACCGAGGCCCCGAGGGCTGAGACCCTCGTCTCCGTCCCTCCGCACTCATGGAGCCCTGCTCGGACACCCGCTGCAGACTAACGTGCTTCGGTCAGAGCTGACGAGCTCCCCCGGATGAGCACGCCCCAAACCTGGATGTAGGAGATTAACACACACACACGCGGCTGGTCCCTCTGAAAGGTTATGCTAATGCAGTTTAAAAACGGAAACGTAAATTATTCCGCAGTTTCAGGTGAAACGGCCTCTTTGTCTCGGTTTAAAAGCTTTATGAGAATTAGGGGCAATAAGCAATTAGAAGTTTTAGAGTTGAAAGAACTTGCATGACCCAAATGTTCCTTATTTAATTGTAATTTATAAATCCTGAAAAAATAAATAACCTCTTGGGTGGTTTAAATAACTCATTTTCTCTGACACTGAAATTCCATCCAGCTAATTTCAATAACTTCTCATGAATCTGAATTAGTCTTGCTCCTCACTCTAATAGAAAACCATAATTCCAACTTGTAGTGAAAGCATATTTGTTCCAAAGACGGCAAATGGATAGAAACACGAGGTTTCATCTTCCCGTGCTGTCTGGTGCCCTCGGAGCTAAGGAAATTAAAGGAACCCCCATAGATCCATTGGGGACGTCGAGAGGGAGGCCACCCACACCCGAGTGGGTGGGCAGGAGGGCGGTGAGGAGGGTTCCCGCCTGTCCACTGGAGAATCTGAGGCCTAAATCACTCTCCCACCTTCCATTTGCGCTGAATAGTACTTCTCCATGAAAACACCTGAACGCCTCACCCCAGTTTCACCTACACCTGGACACCTCGCCCCGGGACCCCCCACCCCCCAGTTACAAGGTGCCTGAGACACCAGACTCAGCTTCCCAAATCGGACCTGACAGTTCCCTCAGAACGGACCCAGCATCGTCCCCAATTCTCTCTGACCCGCCCAGGCAGCGAGGGCGTAGTGTCGCTGTCACCTGCCCCTGCTCAGAGAGCCACTCTCATCACCGGGGAGGGAGGGAGCCGGGAGCAGGCCAGGACCCGGTGGGGGGCCGTGCAGCGAGGAACCCAGGTAACACGTGTTTGAGGGCGTTTTCCAGGTCACCTTGAGTCACCTTAGTAACCAGACTAAATCCGAGTTCAGTTGTCCGGATAGAAGTTATTCTTATCCCATCAAAACAAGCTCCTTTGCTCAGAGGGTGCTCCCTGCGCTGGGCACTGTCCGGCCCCAGGAGGTCATCTCGCAGCCTCACGCAGGCCATGAGGGAGGGGCCGCCCGCTGACAGGCAGCACCTGTGGGGTAAGTGACGTGTCGTCCCACCCGTGGCCAGCAGGAGGTGGTGCAGGCTGGCTTGGAGCCTCAGGTCCTCATGGGAGCCCTGGCCCCCCCACCCTGCCCCTCGGGGGCCTCAGCTCCAGGTTGTGGGAGGAGGCCCCTGAGACCAGCCCTCTGGCTGGGAGGAGCTCCTTCAGCTTCAATGTGCCAGTTGCCCAGTGTGGGTGCCCCCTCTGCTGGCCAGGTGCGCTCCCAGGAGTGGCCAGGTCCCTAGAGGCCACAGGTGCCTGGGAAGGGTGGGAGGGGCCCCCACAGGCCAGGCGATGAGCCCCTCCCCCCTCCCAGGCAAGTGTGGGGCCGCAGCCCACTGGGCCTGGCGACTATCCACACAGAAGCGAGCCTGCGTCCACGGCGCACTGGCCTCGGGGCCACTCTCGGCCGGGGCTGAGGTATGACGGGCAACACCCAGCTGGAGTCTGGGGCACTTGGGAACTTGGGGACAGGTGGCAGAAGAGGACAGTGGCCTGGGACCGGAGGACAGAGTTCGGGTCCTGCGCCTCGGGCTGGGGTCATAGCGGACAGGCTCCCCGGGCTGGGGTCATAGCGGACAGGCTCCCCGGGCTGGGGTCATAGTGGACAGGCTCCCCGGGGGCTCTGACGGCCCGGCCCTCCAGCACTTGCCCTCCTGGTCAGCCTCCTGGTCGGGGCAGCAGAGCCACTGGCGGAGGCGAGGGAGAGCCCCGGGGCTGCTTCTCCACAGCACAGCCTCCAGGCGCGAGCAGGGAGCAGCTCCTCCTCTGAGCCGACCTGACCCTCCGCCTGGAGTGACTCAGGGTCCCAGGGAAGGGCCTTCGCTAGAGCGCACGGGCCACACACAGCGACACCCCGGGTCTGACACTGCCCTGCCCCCGTCACTCAGCTGACCGCCAGAGCAGAGCCGGACACGGTGGGCGCAGGACAGGCAGGGGGAAGGGGCCTCCGGGCACAGCCAGGAAACACCCCTCCGGTGCTCACGACAGGATCCAACACCAGAGAGTGGCCACCCTGACATGGACTCCACAAGCCACGGCCGACTCGCCAGACGTGACCATCCCAACCCACAGGCCCAAGGACCCAGCCCCATCGGCTGCGCGTGGGGACCGGCCCGTTATGGCAGCATCATGAGGCGGACACAGAAGTTTCCGGAAATGCGGCTGTGTGCGACGAGGGAACTGCGTATAGACCGTGGACCGGGAAGCAACACCCGGTGCGGGCCACCTCCCGCGCAGGTGACCGACTACGGGTAACTAGAGCCGGCCTCCACGCGACAGTCCCAGCCGCCAGGCACCCCGGAGCATGTGGGTGGACACCGCACAGCAATGCAGCTGTGGTCCAACGACAGAACCCGCGTCTGGCCCAGGCTGGGCTGCTCGGCTGGTCAGAGCGTCACCCGACACAACACGGTTGCAGGTTCGATCCCCAGTCAGGAGTGTACTGGAGGCAACCGATTCATGTCTCTCTCTCTCTCTCTCTCTCTCTCTCTCTCTCTCTCTCAAACCAATTAACGACAAAAACATATCCCCAGGTGAGGATTTTTTAAAAAGCAATCAACCAAGGAATCTATGTTTCTCTCTCTCCCTCTCGCTCTAAAAATCAATTTTTAAAAAATCCTCTAAAAAAGAAAAACTCCATGTCTGAGTGGACCTGCGCAGCTCAAACCCGTGTTGCTCAGGGTCCACCGTGACACGCGTGTGCGTGTGCTCCTGGGGGCGTTTCCTCCTCAGCCTCCGTAGCTGCCTCTGGGTGTTCGTGGCTCTCGCTGCAGAGGGCTGTGGGGCGACACGAGGAAGGGAATGTCTGGCCCTAGAATCAGACCTCGTGCTTAGCGATGTGAACTCGGACAACCATTAGCGTTTAAAAGTCTGAAATTTCCCCCCAGAAATACTTTCATTTCA